CCATCCCTGCACCCAGAGCCACGCTTCCCGCATTATCCAAGACAGCAGCCCGCACGCACCACTTGCTTCCCTACTTGAGCGGTGCCTGAATGCTCTCACTCCTTCACGTCAGCGGCTTGTGCTTTCTGCAGTCATGCTCCTGGCATCAGTCTAGTTTACCAAACCCCATCCCCTCACCACATGAGCTGCAGCACACCAGTCCTGGAGTGACCCTGGGAGATGGTGAAGGACAGGGAAGCCTGGCGTGCTGCAGTTCACGGGGTCACAAAGAGGTGGACATGACTTAGCGACTGAACAACAACATCCACTCACCCCAGCTTCCTGCTTGTCCTCACACTGTCTCATCCGTGTGGGCCTGTGCTCATTTTCTTGGGTTACTGTGTTTCTTGAGAAATTTTCGAGAGGAGGCGGATTGGTGTTACTGCAGTTCTAGCTTATAGCTAGTAACCGTCTTATTTATCTACTCATTATAAGCTGTTATATGGGCTTTCCCAGTGGCTCAGCAGTGAAGAATTTGCCTGCAATGCAGGGGAAGCAGGAGATGCAGCTTTGATCCCTGGGTCAGGAAGATATCCTGGAAGAAACGCAACACACTGCAGTAATCTTGCCTAGAGAATCCCATGGACACAGATGTCTGGTGGGCTACTGTCTGTGGGGTTGCAAAGAGTCTAACACAACTTAGCAACTGAACAAATTATTATTTATGTTATCATATTATTTCAGTTTTCTTAGGTGCCAAACTATGTACCCAGTAACCATTTTATTTATCTACTTATAATGTTATTGTTATTATTTCTTAGGTGGCAAACTAAGTCCATCTGCTTCTGGAAGTACTCCAGGCAGTTTGTTTCAGGCGGATTTCAGAGTCAAGTTCAATTTGTTGGGTAGTTTCAAAGAAAGAAAAAAAATAGGATAAATCAAATATGGCACAATATTGACTCTTGATCTAGGTGTCAGTGTTACGTGTTCATTTGACCATTCTTTCAGCTTTTTTTGTATTCCCTAGAATTGTTTAATTGCTAAGTCATGTCTTACTCTTGTGATCCCATGGACTGTAGCCCTCCAGGCTCCTCTGTCCTTGGGATTTCCCAGGAAAGAATACTAAGGTGGGCTGCATTTCCTTTTCCAGGGCATCTTCCCAACCCAGGGATCAAACCCACATCTCCTGCGTTGACAGGTGGATTCTTTATCAGTGAGCCGCCTTGGAAACCCCAGGTGTCTGTAGGGGGAGGCCATTCTCAGGATCTTTCATGGTGCTGGTCTTGTTTTCTAGCTGTGCCTATATGGTAGTTCTGGGGAGCATATGTTTAACATCCTTGTTTTAATACCTGATACAGTTATCAAGTTGAAAAGAAAAGACCAGTTCTCCATTGAACTGAGACATCCAAGTGGATGAGTCTAGAAAACCAACCTACATACAACCAAGGCTGAATCATGAATAAACAGAAAATTTGGAGAAAATGACAAGTAACAAAATTCAAACAGTAATCAAAAATCTTCCACCAAAAAAAAAAAGGGCAGGACTCAATGGTTTCACTGGTAATTCTACCAAACATTTAAAGAAGAATTAAGACCAATCCTTCTCAAACTCATGGAAAAAACTGAAGAGCAGAACACTCCAATTCATTTTACGAGGCCAGGATTATCCTGAAACTGAAGCCAGATAAGAACATTAAAGAAGACTATCAGCCAATACCCCTGATGAACATAGATGCAAACATTTTCAACAAAATACTAGCAAACTGGGACTTCCCTGGTGGTCCAGTGGCTAAGACTCTATGCTCCCAATGCAGGGGGCCCGAGTTTAATCCCTGGTGAAGGAACTAGATCCCACATGCTGCAACTAAGAATCGTGAGTGCCACAACTAAGACCCAGCACAGCCAAATAAATGTTTAAAAAAAAAATACTAGCAAACTGATTGCAACAGCATAGTAAAAGGATCATGTAACCATGATCATGCAGAATTTATCCCTAGAAAGCAATGAAAAGCAATAAATGGGATTTACCATGTTAACAGAATGAAAGGTAGAAATTATATGTTCAATAGATGTAGAAAAAGCATTTGACAAAATTCAACACCTTTCATGATAAAAGTTCTCAACAAATTGAGTACAGAAAGAATGTGACAGAGAGAAAGTTAAACATCATACTCTTGGTGAGATGTTCAAAGCTTTCCCACTGCGACCAGGAATAGGACAAGGGTGCCCACTCTCACCGCTTCCATTCAGCACTGTGCTAGAAAGACCTAGCCAGTGCAATTAGACAAGAAAAAGAAATAACAGGCATCCGAATGAGAAGGGAAGAAGTAAGACTGTCTCCGCAGATGATAAGATCTCAAATATGGTAGGTGTAAATATGCATGTGTGGTGAAAGCGGCATCCCACAAGGGGCATAGTAACAGGGATACTGCTCTCTTTTATGAATAAATAACTAATTGTAATTCATCATCTCTACTTGGGCTAAAAATCTAGAGTTTGATTTTCTATTTACCTTTTACAACTACCCAAGATTTTATTAGTTCAGGTGCTTTACTTTGATTTTCTAATTTTTTTTTCTATTATCCTAATTTCCTCATCTATTTATTTTGTCCTGGTATAAAGAGCTTCAAATCCTTTTTGTAACCAGAGGGTATACATTTACAAACACATCATAACCCAAATTGATTAACAAAAGGCCAAGGATTCTTATCATCTGCCTCCAATCTATTTTCTCACCCTTCCATAGAACTCCAGTCATAATATCCATATGGAAGAACTGTTATATTTTGGCTAAACTTGTGTACATTTTTGCTTAGATGCAGCTAGGAGCACAGGATTAACAGATAAGCAGATTTGATTTGGGTCTTGGATTTGCCTAAGGCTATGTGGCCCCAGAATTTCCCGGTGGTGCAGTGGTAAAGAATTTGCCTGCAAATGCAGGAGACACAAGAGATGTTGGTTTGATCCTTAGGTTGAGAAGATCCCCGGGAGGAAATGGCAATCCATTCTAGTATTCTCGCCCGAAAAATTCCATGGACAGAGGAGCCTAGAGTCCATGGGGTGGCAAAGAGTTGGACATGACTGACTGAGTACACACACACAAGTTAGCTAAAAAAGTTTATGTGGCCTTAGGCAAATTACTTAACTCCTCTGAATCTCATCTGTAAAATAATACCTTGAAGGAATGTTGTAAAGATTATAAGTATTTTACTTAAGTCAGTAAAGCATATTTTTGTTGTTTAGTGTTGCTAAGTCTTGTCTCTTTCTTGACCCTATGGACTGTAGCCCACCAGGCTCCTCTGTTCTTGGGATTTCAAAAGCAAGACTACTGGAGCAGGTTGCCATTTCCTCGTCCAGAAGATCTTCCTGACCCAGGGATAGAACATACTAAGAAGTTGAAAAACAGGAAATGTTAATAATTGCTAAATTCCATTTGCTTGCTAACTGACGTTGGGAGGTTGAACACCCTGAGCTTGTCTCCTTTTACACAATTATCTGTCTAGTTTTTCCAGGAGTGGGATGTATAACAAAGCACCTAACAGATACAACTCTTTAAGTTTTTTCCTTCTTTATCCTGTTGCCTCCACATAGAAAACCCAACCCTTTCCATCCGTTAATACCCAACCATTTACTAAGTTTTAATTAAGAGGGCCTTTCCTATTTATTTTTGAAATTAATTGTCCTGTCCTTTTCAAGGCACTGAGGATTTTTTTTTTACTAGGCCTGTGTCCTTCTTGTCTTAAGGTTCCAAGTATTTTGGGAGACAGGCTGTTTTGGTATTCCCTCAAAATACCCTGCATGTAGTTGGTGGTCATTAGTTATGGCTTTGAATTAATTTTTCGGAGGATACTAAGATAGTGTTAGACTACTTTCTTTCCGCTTACTTGGCCTCACTTAACACTTAGCTGTCACCTTCCTGTTACAGTTTTGTGAAAATGTGGGCAACAACAAAAATAAAAGATCGACATATTTGGAATTGCACAATTTTAGTGGCTTACACCAAAGGAACATCAATGATTTCTGGGTATGTCTTCCTGGGCCCAAGATGGATGTTTTGGGTAAATTTAGGCTCCCAGGCTTTTTGCCCCTGTGGTCCGCACATGGATGCCTTCAAGAGCCTTCCTGAAACAACCCGGAAAATGAAGCGCTGTTTTCCTGGAACTAGAAAAGCACATAAACACACAGGACGGAGATCAAGCAAGAGGCACAGGCAGAAGACCTGGCGGTTTCTTTTACCTGCCTCCACCTGAAAAGCTCCTTCTCACCGCCTCTGCCCTTTAAAGGTGCACCTTTCCTACTTTGGCTTTCCCCGCTGGCTCAGACGATCAAGAATCAGCCTGCGATGCGGGAGACCCGGGCTCGACCCTTGGAGCGAAGATTCCCTGGAGAGGGCATGACAACCCACTCTAGTACCCTTGCCTGGAGAGTCCCACGGACACAGGAGCCTGGCGGGCTACAGTCCAGGGTGCCGCACAGTCGGACACGACAGAGCGACCAACACACTTTTCCCCCACTTACTTTACCGATGGCTGTACCAGCCGGGTGAGTTCGGCTGCTCAGCACCCCGGGAGACCCGCCCGCCAGGGTGTCCATCCGCCCGAGCCGAAGCCCCGCCGCCCGATCCGAAGCCCCGCCGCCCGGCGCCCGCGGCCGTTCGCCCTCCGTCCGCCCAGGCCCGAGCGGCGGAGCGCGCATGCGCAGGGCGCCGCTCCCCGCCCCCACCGCGCGCCCGCGCTCAACGCCCCTAGCGCGGCCCGCCGGGCCATGGAACCCGCCGAAGTTGGCGCGGGTCGAGCTCTCCCGTCCGCTCGCTCGGGCGTCTTCCCGCCGTGAGGCCCGCGGGCGCTCGCCCGGGGCTAGGCGGCCGCCCGGGCCGCCCCGCCCGCCGCCCTCACCCGGCCGGGCGCGCGCCGCGCCTCCGCGGCCGGTCCCCGCGCGTGCGCGCTCCGCCGAGTGTATGTGTGTGTGTGTGTGTGCGGCCGAGGGGTGGGCCGCCGCCGCCGCCGCCGCCGCCGTCGACGATGCCGCGGGGCCGCCCCCCGAAGCCCAAGGAGAGCAAGGCGCGCGGCGACACCGGTAAGTGGCCCCGGCCCGGCCGGTCGCGCTGTGCCGCTCCGCGCGAATATAGTTCCCGGATGCGGCGCGGGGGGCGCCGGGAGCGGGCCGGGCCGGGGGCGGCAGGGCGGGCTGGGGTCGGGGCCCGGGGCCCCTGGGGGACGCCTCTCGGCGTCAAGCGCCAGCCGCCGCCGCCGCCGCCGCCCGACTGCCGGGCCGAAGGGCGCGGGCGGAATGATACCGGCGCGGCGCGGCCGGCCCCTCCGCCGGGCTGGGCCTACTTTCCTGGGCCGCGCGGGCGGGCGGCGGGGCCGGGGGCGAGGCGCGCGCCGCCGCCCTCCCCTCCCCCTCCCCCGTCCTCCTCGCGCGTCCCCGCCCGCCCGGCCAGGCTCCCGCGGGTCGTGGGAGGCCTTTTTGAGGAGAAAGAGCCAGCCCAGGGGCGGCGGGCGGCCCCGGCGGCGGGGGGGCCCGGTGCGGGGGGCCCCCGCTGACACGTGGGGCCGAGGCGGCAGGGCCGGCGTCCGGGGGCGCTGCCTTCCGGGCCCGCGCTGCCCGGGGGCCCGGGCTTGAGGAGCGGGGGTCGGGGTTCTGGAAGCGCGGCCGAGCCGTGGGTCCCGCTGTGCCCGCCGTAGCCCTAGGGGCCGAGAGCAGGCTGGGCGCACCCTCAGGGCGGGCGGCGGGCGCTCCCCTCCGGCCGTGACCTGCGGGGCCGGCCCCCGCACAGGTGCGGAGCGGGTCCTGACCGCCCGGAGCTCTTGCGCGTGCCAGATGCAGTCTGGAGGGACGTCTTCAGGACTTGTTCTGTGCAGTTTATTGATTCTTCTTGTTGCTAACGACTTCTGCAGAAAATAAAAGTGCAGTGTCTTTCAACTGTCTACTTGGAAGAAGGTTTACGGTGGAGAAAAAAGACAGTTTGCATTAGGATAAGGCTGGGACCTCCTGTTCCAACAGTGTTTTCCGTCAAACTAGTGACATCACGCCCTGTTCACCTGGCTTTTCAAGTCCCAAACTAAAAAAAAATAATTATCCTATTCTCCGTGACGGCCCATGGCTTTGTAGCTTCTCCTCAGAAACGCGTTTTCTGTTGGCCTTCCTCTTTCCCCTCTCCAGGGTTAGTCCTTGGCCCACTAGTTGTCGCCTCGGCTTCTGTGGGAGCCTTCTGACTGGTCTCTGCTTGTCCTGTTCTGTAAATCCATACCCTGTCAGCCCGAGGCAGCTCTCTAAAATGTAAATGAGATGGCCACACCCGGATTCAAACTATCTGGAGGGTCTCTCACCCCTTTAATTTAAGATCCCCGCCGGGCAGGACCCTCATTGGCCCGGCCTTTGTCCAACTCTACTTTCTCTGCCCTTGCACTCAGCCCTTTGTTCGTTGACGGTGCTGGTGTGTCTCCGCACCTCTATTCTGAGCGCCTAACCCTGGCTCAGTCTTTGGGTCCTGTGCTTCAGCTTCCGAGGAGTAGCCTCCTCAGACCTTTCTGAAGGTTAATCCCGCCACCATCAGCCATTCTCTACCACAGTGGTTCTCGAAATGTGATTCACCGACCCCTGGGCGTTCGTGGAGACACGTTCAGGGGTCTGCAAGGTAGCTGTTTTCTTAGTAGTGCTAAGACTGTTGGACTTCTTCACTCGGTTATCATTTGCACTGATCATAAACAGGCCGTGGGGGGCAAAACTGCTGACTCAGCAGGAGTCAAGGTGGCCAAGGCCACCACCTATTCTGAATTTCACTGAGAGACAACAGAGAGAACGTGGAGGCAGATGTGAGGAGCCTCCTGTCTTCTATTAAACCAGACATTGAAAAGAATTTACAAAAGTGAAAACTTCTTCCTATTGTTTTTGAAGAGTATGTTTTTCATAAAAATATTTGTTAACATAATATATTTTTTCAGTGAATAAGTGTTTTAAAAGTTGTTTGGTTTTGATTTCTAGTAGGGCTGCTGTCAATAGGTATAGCCCATATAAAGTTAGGATTTGGGGGGGGTCCTCATTGATATTTAAGAATGTCCTGAAACGAAAAGATCTGGGGAACATTGCACTAACAATTTACGATTTTAATGTTTTTCATAATCTGAAATTATTTTGTTTTTTGGTGTCACACATTATGAATTTTATTCTAAGAAAAACCTGGAAGGTAGGTGGGGATTTTTACAGATAGAGAATGAGGCTCAGACAGGTTAAGAGATGTGGAAGGTGTACCCAGCTGGTAAATGTCAGAGTTGAGTTTGAATCTACATTTGAGTTCAAAGTGTGCAGTACATTGTTCTGCTGTGATCAGTATAAAGCCCTGCATGTGGGTTAACTCATTTCAACAAGTATTTTAAAGCACTTCTTGTCATAGGTGGGCACTGTGCTGAGGGCTAGGGGTGCAAGGGTTAACAACAGAGACAGAGTCTCCGCCTTGGCTTCCAGGACAGTATGTGTTCTCTGATGGCAGGAACACTTTATGGCAGCAGATGACAACCACTAGAAGTCAGGCTTCCCAGGGAAAGTGATGTCAGAGCTGAAACCTCCAAAAATGACTGGGAGGAGGCCTGCTCAAAAATGTCTCCTTTTTTGTTAAAATGCAATTTGATAACAGTTTTAAAAGATTGAACTGTAGCTAATTTATGATGTTGTGTTAGGTTCGTGTGTACAGCAAAGTGATTATTATACACATTATTTTTCAAATTCTTTTCCATTATAGTTTATTACAAGATACTGGGTAGAGTTCTGTGTGCTACACAGTAGGTCCTTAGCAACTAACACAACACAACAATATTCCATTATACATACATATATATACATATATATATGTGCCACATCTTCTTTATCCATTCCCCTGTTAATGGCCATCTGGCTATTGTAAATAGTGCTTCAGTGAACACTGGGGTGCATATATCTTTTCAAATTAGAGTTTTCTTTGGATATACATCCAGGAGTGGGATTGCAAGATCATATGGCAACTCTGTTTTTAGGTTTTTAAGAAACCTTCATACTTTCTTCATAGTTTATATTCCCACCAACAGTGTAAGAGGGTTCCCTTTTCTCTACACCCTCTCCAGCAATTGTAGACTTTTTGATGATGGTCATTCTGACTGGTATGAGGTGATAGCTCATTGTAGTTTTGATTTTCATTTCTCTGATCATTAGCAATATAGAACATCTCTACATGTGCCTGTTGGCCATCTCTATGTCTTTGGAGAAATGTCTGTTTATGTCTTCTGCCCATTTTTTGATTTTTTTTTGTTTTGTGTTTTTCCTATATTAAACTGTATGAGCTATTTGCATGCTTTGGAGATTAATCCCTTGTTGGTAGCATAAAAATGTTTCTTAAAGTAATACTTAGCTTTAGGCCATAAGTGGGCTTCACTGGTGGCTCAGACAGTAAAGAATCAGCCTGCGGTGTGGGAGACCTGGGTTTGATCCCTGGGTTGGGATGATCCCCTGGAGGAGGACATGGCAACCCACTCCAGTATTCTTGCCTGGGGAATCCCCATGGACAGAGGAGCCTAGCAGGCTACAGTCCTTGGGGTCACAGAGAGTTGGACTCGACTGAGCGACTAAGCACTGCACAGGCCATAAGTAAAGAAATAAGCCTCATCGTCACTACATAGTCATTAAACTTTTCCCTCTTATCTCCTGAGAGTTTTATAGCTTTAGTTCCTTAAATTGAAGTCTTTGATCCATTTTAAGTCCGCATACCTTCTTTTACATGTGGATGTCCATTTGTCCCCATAACCATTTGTTGAAGAGACTGTTCTTTCAGTGAATGGTCTTGACCCCCGTTTTGAAAATCAGTTGGTGATGAGTGGTGTGGGTTTATTTCTGACTCTTTAATTCTGTTCCATTGGTCCATATATCTGCCTACGTGCTAGTACCTCATCTAAATTTCAAGTATACTTTAAGACTTTGTAAATACCTAGCCAGGAAAATTGTGAGTTCTTGTTATGCTGCCTCAGATCGCCTTACAAACTGCTGGTGGTATGCTTGTCATACTTAGAAAACACTATCTCTGCATGCTTTTAGGAAATAGGTGATTGCTAATCATTATTTCCTAATGCTCATTGTTGTGTTGATTGAAAATGCTTGGCAGAGAACATTTAGCAGGTGGGGTAGAAAGGCATGAAGTACATACATAGGTATCCGGCAGAATGGTGAAATGCAGAGATAACTGCTTTTATTGTGTTAATATCTGAAAATTGTTATTTAGGGGAACATCCAGTCTTTCTATGCAGTGACTAAGATAGAAGTCTTAGTTTTAAAGAGATTATGCGTAAGTAAATATGAAGGCTACTTATTGTAAAAGGTAAGGGATAGTGTATACCAGCCCTGAATGCCTCTTATCACTCTGAAACGTCACTGTGGTGCTTCAGGCGGAAGGTCACAGCCATTCCAGGGATTGCAGTAGTAATGGCTGGCGGGTGTGGAGTCCTGGTTTCCTGGCCAGGGCAAGGGCTGGCAGACTTTTTCTGTAGGGCCATATGGTAAATATTTTAGGCCTTGTGGGCGTTAAGGTCTTTATTGTAAGTCAGAATTGCTGTTGCAGCTGGAAAACTGCCACGGTCATACGTAAACCCATGAGCGTGGCTGTGTTCTGTGAAGCTGAGTTTACCCGAAAGGCTAGACACTGGTTAGTTGACCCCAGTCTGGAAGGAAAGACAGGAATACAAAGGAAAGTTGCATATTTTATCACTTTACTTTGAGTAAACTTCATGTTGGTATATAACATACAGAGAAGAATGAAAATTATGTTCAATGAATTTTCACAACATGAGCTTTCTCATATAATCAGCACCCAGCTTGTATAGGTTATAATAATAATTCATATGATTATAAATGTAATTTCTTAGATTAAGAAATGGGATATTACAGCACTCTAGAAATCACCATCTGATCAGTACCCCTGTAAGACTGACCACTGTCCTGGTATTGCACAACCTAGATTAGTCTTGCCCATTTATCAAACTTTTTTAGGTGAAGTCATTGGTAATATCTTCTCAGGCCTGATGTCTTTTGGTCAGTTTTCTAATTTCAGTCTTTGTCACAGTATCTGAAACTCCAGCTGCTCCATATCCTCATCAGTCCTTGGTTTTGTCTGACTTTTTAATTTTAACCATCCTCTTGGACATGCATTTCACCTTTTTGAAAGCTGTTTTTTGTTTATCATGTTTTGTAGCTTGGATCTTCACAGCAGCCCTGCCAGTGGGCCGCATGCAAACATATGGTGGTTGGCTGCCTTGAGATCGCTCTCGTGACCCCCAGTCCGGCATTCTTTGCTTTTCCATGGCTTGTACCCTGTGACCCATGCCTTCTGTGGACGCCTCTGTTGTAGGATCCTTACAGTAGAGAGGGCGTGCACCGGGCAGGCACCGCTCACTGGAACCCGGGACTCGTCTCGGGCTGAGCTCTCGCGGGTCTGCACAGCGCTCTGTGGCCTGCGTAGTGCTGTTGCAGCGCTGCCATCAGCTGTATGTTTGCGGAGATGAAAAGCAGAATGGCAGACAGATCAACCAGAGATGATTCTGTATATGTGCAGAAATTAACATTTTTCCATTGTCATAGGAGCCGTTACACTCAGCAGGGCTGAATCCTTCTCAGAAAAGCTTGGTTGTGTTCAGACGCTGAGCCTAGAATTCGGTATGTTAGCTGAAAGGCGAGGCTGTAGATAACTAGGGCTTTATTTTGCTATGATTTTAATGTTCTGTAGTTTTGTTAAATTTGGATAATGTACATGTATATCTGAATGTACATCTACATGAATTTAAATCCTTTCTTTAGAAGCAAAGTTTACAGGTGGGTCTGAGCTCGTGGGTCCACTTATACATGGATTGTTTTCAGTAGTAAATACTCCAGTACCATATATTCGTGGTTGGTGAATCCATGGATTCAGAGGAACCGTGGATATAGACGGCCACCTGTAAGTTACCTGGGTTTTCACCTATTAGAGGATCTGCACCCCTGACCCCTGAGGTATTCAAGGGTCAACAGTATATAAGCAGAAGAAGAGCAGTTGGTGGACACATGACAAGCTGGAAGGGTGTTAAAGCTAAGTTAGGTATGAGTGGAGGGTGTGAGTCAATGAGGCCAAAAGTGGAAATAGGCATACTGGTCCTGGGAGCCTCAAACTCATGTGAAGAGACCAAAAGTCATTAGCTTTGATCTCATCTCCACGTGTTTAGCAAGTATTTATAAGGCACACATTATACACCAGGCCCCGTGCAAAGATTTGGAGATGCAGTGACAAAGCAGAAAGGGTCCATGGGCCCAAACGCTTCATAGAGTTTTACCTGAAAAAGCCCAAAGGAATGGTGACATAGATGGGAGGAGCAGTAGAAAATTGGAGAAAAGAAAGTAGAATTTTTCGTTTTATTAAAGTAACAAGAGGGAAAGAATGGTAGAGAGTAGCCAAGGTGTTAGAGGTTTGAAGTAGGGGTGATAACTGTCAGACTTCACAGAGGCCTGTTGATGATGTCAGAGAGCATTGTGGGGTCAGAGGCTGACACGGTGAGGCCATGCAGTTGATGGCTAGGGGGCTAGTTCTTGGAGGAATGTAGGGAAAGATGGAAAAAGGGAAGTAGGGCAGGTGCCTGTTGAGAACAGAAGATAGGGAGCTCAGCTCTATTTTGGGAAAATTCCTATTCAAAACAAAATAAAATCAGGTTAAAAGCTTGGGGCAAAGTTACTTTAGAAACTGAAAATGTCTCATCAGAATTTATGGGTAGCTGAGATCTTAAATGCACAGTACTGAATAGTTTTAGTCAGGGGATGCAAATATGAGTTAAATCCCGGGAACACTGTGAATGCAGTAGGCCTTGCTGGAATCTGGTGTCACATCATAGGCATTTTGTGTAGAAGAGATTGACCTTGATCCTTCAGGTTGGGGATGTGGACCACCTTTGCTAGAAAGGTGAGCGGACCGGCCTGATGTGCAGGCCTGTTCCAGGGAAGAGCAGCGTGTAAGCCAGCTCTCTGTCCCCTTCATCACAAGCCAGGCCTGACTCTGGGTAGTCATGGCATGGCATGATTATGGGGTAACGGGTAGGGTGTCGAGGAGCACGGATGCCTGTTAGAGAGATGGCCGCGCTCCTGGATTGTCCCTACACTTCTGTCGCTCCAGCCGCAGGAAGCAGCGTCTTAATCTGCAGGACTCTGTGACCTTCTGTTATTTGGGGCGGTGGAGAGACAGCTGTTTTCATGTGCTCTTTAGGGTCTCTGTGTACATAGAGTTAAACTGATCTTCAAACTGGTCTCCAGGTTTTTCTCAAGAAAGTGAAGTGCTCAGTTTCTGATCTTCCTTGATCAGTTTTTGTTTCCTTTTGCTAGAGAGTTGGAGGAGGCGGGTGAGCAGTTGAAGAGTGGTGGGCGTGTCTGTGTGAGGGGAGCATCTGGGTGCACTGCCTGGAATTCTAGAAAAGTCGTAATCAATAAGCAAAATGACATCATTTTTCAGTTTTAAATATACCTTTTTTTTGTCCCTTAGGGTTTTATCTATCAATCGCAGTCAATTTAATTCTCAATTTTAGATAGCATATTAAGTGTAGTTTCAACATCGAGGCTATGAAAACTGTTTTATTCTGTGTCCTGAAATAGCATTTTAATTTTGCATTTTAGAAATTAAGTTGAGGGGCTTTTTAAATACCATTTTCAGCCTTTAGGTTAAAAGACTTGGCTCCTGAGTTCTTACAACATGTTTGTCAACACGTATTTCACTCATGCTTTCAGTATTTCTTCCCATAACAGACTTTTCCAAAGGAAACAGCATATTAATGTGGTCCCAGCAATCATTTTATTTAGACCTGAGGAGTCTTAGAACATTTTGTTATTAGTTTAGTGTAGAGATTTTGAGTGTATGGGCTTTGGATAGGCTGTGGATAGAGTTAAGAATAAATAGAAGTTATGAATATCTTAGTCAATCCATTTTGCTTATGAATGAAGTTACAGTCTCTTGAATTAACATTAGTATTTCTTGAAGCTGTAATTTGCTTTACTTGAGGATCTGCCAGGAGAATTTTTGAAGCTGTGGTCCACCTTCTCTATCCCCTTCTGCTCTGTCTCCAGCGTTGATTCACCACACCTCCCATTCATGGGAGTTTCATGGCTCTTGCTTTCAGGCAGATTTTGCTGTTTTTCCCGGGGACTGTTGGCCAAGGCAGGAGGTCCAGGCTGTCTACTCAGAGAGGGACATAAAAGTCTAGAGAAAATACTCGAGTGCTGTGTTCACCACATAGGAGACTTTCCTGAGCTTCTTTGACTCTTAAAATTAACCCATTACCCTACCTCCACATTTCTGAATTCTACTATTTGGGGTCAAGTTAGATATAGAAAGTTATATGTGCCATATTTCTGTCTCTGTATAGTTAATGTGTATTATGTATTTGTGCCCAAATTATAAGACTTAGAGTACTTACTCTCAAAATTTGAAGAGATTTAGGACATCTTTTGGAGAAGGAAATGGCAACCCACTCCAGTATTCTTGCCTGGGGAATCCCAGGGACTGGGGAGCCTGGTGGGCTGCCGTCTGTGGGGTCGCACAGAATCGAACATGACTGAAGCGACTTAGCAGCAGCAGCAGGACATCTTTATTTCATGACATTCTTGGTAAATTTTTGTGATTGTTGCATGTTTAATCTTATTTGGCCTGCAATGCAGGAGACCCAGGTTTGATCCCTGGTTTGGGAAATTCCCCTGGAGAAGGGAATGGCTAAGGAGATCCAACCAGTTCATCCTAAAGGAGATCAGTTCTGGGTGTTCATTGGAAGGACTGATGCTGAAACTGAAACTCCAATACTTTGGCCACCTCATGCGAAGAGTTGACTCATTGGAAAAGACCCTGATGCTAGGAGGGATTAGGGGCAGGAGGAGAAGGGGACGACAGAGGATGAGATGGCTGGATGGCATCACCAACTCGTTGGACATGAGTTTGAGTAAACTCTGGGAGTTGGTGATGGACAGGGAGGCCTGGTGTGCTGCGATTCATGGGGTCGCATAGAGTCGGACACGACTCAGCAACTGAACTGAACTGAACCCATTCCACTATTCTTGCCTGGGAAATCCCATGGACAGAGGAGCCTAACGGACTATAGTCCACAGGGTTGCAAAGGGTTGGACAAGACTGAAGGACTGAACAGTTTAAATTTATAGCTATTAACCTAAATGGGTTTATAGAAAGCATGCAGTAGAGCCTGAGGGTTGTCCGTAGCACTGCAATCCTTTAAAACCTCATGAACTACAGCTGTGAAAGAGAACAGAAGTTTTTACCTCTTGCCTTCATCTTGCTTTGCAGCAGCTTTCAGAGGTAGATTGAATTAGTGAATTAGCTTTTATATTTCTATTAGCATTTTGTTTACTGAGTGATTTAAGAAACTGGATTATTGATGAACTCTCACAGTGACTAAGTGGAGAAGTGCCTCCTGATTTGTTGTGACTTAGAAACAGTATTGAGCTGGCAGGCAAGGTTAAGAAATATGATGGCTTTTGTATGTTGCTGAGTGGGTATCAAGCCTCAGGAGTTTAGTTTCAGGTTTCTAAAAACCCTGGGCATCGTCATCTCTGTCTCAGTCATCACAGCATGTTTCATTTCTAATGTAAAAACATGTCCATTTAAGAAATTTAAGGTATCATTAATTTCATCTGAAATTTCTCATAAATCTGACATAATTTGGTTTTGAAACAGTAACAGGATAATTTAGTTTCATTTATGTGCTGAGAATAACAACTGGTATTTATTGTTTATACTTATGCAATTTTATAGATGGAGTTTTAACATTGAATGCGGAGAACACTAATTATGACTATCAAGTTCCAAACTTCCATAAATGTGAAATCTGTCTGCTATCTTTTCCAAAAGAGTCCCAGTTTCAACGCCACATGCGGGATCACGAGCGAAATGACAAGGTATGTATTTATAAGAAGGATGTCGGAAATGTGAGCGTTGAAACTGGAGGAACTGTCAAATCAGCATTCTTTCTTATTCCTACATTGCTTATTATGTAAATGAAGATTTTGACGTTTTGTTTTTAGCTGTAGTATTTCTAGCTATGGTTAGGTGGTGAGAGAAAGTGAGAGCTTGTCTAGTGAATCTAATGAAATTATTTGTGAGTGGACAGAGAAATAATCTTAAAATATGACTTTCTTTCAATTTCCCATGTCTCGATGTGTTTTTCTCTGGTAGGCAGTGTTACGCTCACGGGGTCTTGCATCTTAAGGAATTTGAGGTATTTTAGATCATGTTTCTGCAGGCAGCGTCCCTCTGGTACACAGGGGTTGAACTCTAGTGCCTCTGGAGGGATGTGTCAGGGTGGTTGGAACTTAAGCCCCGTGAAGAGAGTGAGCGCAGAGCCCTCTGGGCTAGCGCAGCTTAAGCCAGTGAGTCTTCTGGGGTGGGACTTGAGCCCAGGCGCTCTTTTCTGGAGGGCGGGGTGTGAGCAGCTTCAGCCTCACTCTGGGCACGAGTGATGATGTTGTAGCTGTGACCATATGTTGCTAACACCAGAATCCACAGGGCGTTAACCTCCCAGGTGGAAAATCTGAAAATCCTGACCCATTAGGGTCTGTTTATTTCCAAGAGAAATACCAGGCATTTTCTTTGTACAAGTAAGTGGCAGAACACCTTCCATTTGGGGAATTTTAGGTGGGGCTAGGCAGCCGTGTGACAATCCAGTGAGAGTTTTATGGTTACTTACTTTGTTGGAAGTGATTTTGTTTACAGCAATGGAGTTGTCATAAAAAGAAGGGGAAAGTCCCACCCAATAACTTGAAGTCTCTCACTTTTGCTTTCATAGAGGTTTCATTCTGGTACATTTATATGCAGCATTTCTCATTAGAAATAATTTTCTATGCAAATGTGATGTCTCTGTATACTGCTTTGAGAAATTTTGTAAGGAGCTTTCCTGTGTCCATTTTGGATTTATTGACTTCAGGTCCAGAAGGACTTCAGAAGTTGCTTCTAAAGCTTGTCTGTGGATTGTGGTGCTTGCTAATGTTTGAATGACGTTTATTGTGGAAAGACTGTGTTTCAGTAGCTTTTCGACTTTTCTCTCCACCTAGCCACATCGATGCGACCAGTGCCCCCAAACCTTTAATGTTGAGTTCAACCTGACCCTTCACAAATGTACCCACAATGGGGAGGATCCTACTTGTCCCGTGTGTAACAAGAAATTCTCCAGAGTGGCTAGTCTCAAAGCACATGTTATGCTGCATGAAAAGGAAGAGGTAATTATTTCGGCCTATACTTTGTTCACTGATTTTTAAAATGCATCTCATCTTGGTTCAGGAGGCTTTTAGTTAGAAAAAGTCTTTTGTATAGGTGTCATGGAGCCCATTATCCTGAAACTTGCCTCAGCCAGTCTCCGGGTCCCTGGTAAAGCCTCTGTTTTTGGGTCGTGTCAGCAGCTTAGGTGAGACTTTTTAATTTGTGGTGTATTCGGAGGATCAAAGTTCGTCCACAGTGGCTGGCGGAGGTGACCCCTGTTTTCTCCTTAACAGAAGTTAGCTTCTGTAGAATTCTGAGTGGCCAAAGGTAAAATTTCTGCCTCTGAAGATGGTAGAGTCTCCTTGCCTGGCTCCTGCATCCCCTGACACATGGGCATTTGGGAGAAGAGAGGAAATTCATGAAGACACAAAGCAGTTTATGCCCCCCAGTAATAGTCTGAAAGGGGACAGTCTTAAGATGGAGTAGAGAGTGTTGGGGGCACGCTGCCCAGAGAGGCCTGCCTGCTGTTGGGTGGGCGCGCGTGAAGTGTAAAATATCACCCCTCACTGTTACTGTAGACAGTCTGGAACATGCAAATGTAGCAAAGAGAAAATAGCAGTCACCTCTAATTCAGCTACCCAGGGGTGATTACAGGTAACTATTTGGTGTGGTTTTCTCCTGAGACAGAAAAACATACAACATTTAATTGCACATGTAAAATCTGCATCCTGAAAACTGAGTTTGTACATCATGTATAGGTTTGTGTCCTCTTTTTACATCTTTAATTTTTTTGTATAAAATAATTTCTTTTTATCTTTTAAAATCTTATTATATAAGTAATACATGTTCATTTTGGAAAAAGTTAGAAACTGAAGATTAACAAAAGTGAAAGAACCAATAGTCACACCAGTGGGAGAGAATGCATATATAGTTGACCCTTGAGCAGCGTGGGTAGAACTTTTAAGTAAACACGTCTGACAGGACTGGGTGGCTCCAGGACCAAGGATGGGGAACCGTGGACATGGAGGGCCGCTGTAAAGTTATGCTCAGATTTTCACCTGTGGGGTCGATGGCCCTAGCCTTCCATGCTTTTCAAGGGTCAGTTGTGCTGTTTCTGGCTTTTTGGGGGGTGTACATCTACTTCCATAATAGTTTGTTTAAGAATAGTGTTTTTAGTGCAAATGTAGTTATATACTATTATGTCATCTGCTCTGTTCCTTTCGTATTTGTGAATGCCTCTTTCCCTCGTTCACTGAGTCAACCATGAGTGTTTCCCCCACATCGCTATTCTAAACCGCTTTATTAAAGCCTTCAGCACCTGGATAGAGTCATGGTATTTCTACCGTTTCCTTTATTTTAACATTTAAGTTGTTTGTTCTCCTTCAGTACTATAAATGATGCAGATAACGCATGTGCCTTTCATCGTTTCACTGAAATAGACTCCTGCAATTCGATTTACTGAATTAACAAGGCTTCTTCAGGTTCTTTGTAGAGTGCCACCTTGTATTCTAGAAAGCGTGTGCCCCTCTGTACCTTCTGCAGACTGTAGGCCCGGCTACAATCTGGACAGCTATAGCACTGTCCAGAAATGGCCAGTGTGTTCTTTTCAAAAGGCAGAATGTGTTTAATATGGTATTTTAAGATATCTGGGAGTCAGTTCATATAGTGAGACTCAAACAGTAGAGAAAGGGGTAGAGAGTTAAGCCTCCTTCGGCCCCGGACCTCAGTTCTCCCAGGAGCAGCTTGTCTGGGGGCGGCAGTGCGCACACAGACCTGTGCGCCCCACGAAGGCGGCTGAGTACTGGCGTTCTGTGCTGTCCTCTTCAGCTCACTGAGTCTCGGATACTGTTTCGGCCCTGCGGTGCTATATGGCATCCGCTGCCCTGGCCCGTGGGGTTGCCCTTGGGCTGGGCGTGGCCAGCGCAGCCTCGCGTTGCTCTGTGAGGGGCTGGGGGGCTGCGGGCACGGGAAGCCTACCCTGGGGACCTAGGGCTGAGCTGACCAGGGGCGCGCGTGGACGCGCGCGCACACACACACACACACACACACGGGGATCGTGTGAATGGAATGCTGGGATCACTGCTGCGAACTGATGTGCGTGTGTTCTGTGGGAGGGGAGTGTGGGATGTGCCCGCAGCGCCCGTCAGCTGGGTGGCGGTCCGCATTGAGGTTCGGTTTGGGGACACCTGTGTGATGGGAGCGGGGAGCCGGGTGTCGGCGGAGGGCTGCAGTGCTGTGACGTGCTCGAGGCCGGCCGCCATGCGGGGAAGCCTGGCGGCGGGGGCCCTGTGAGTTGGACCTCCACTCCCCCGGTTCTGTGTGCATCCGCCGGCTGGCCCTGCCTGCCGTGATCCCGGGAGACCATGTCTGGGGCGGGTTGCTGCGCTGGGCTCAGGAGGGCGGGGTCGGCTGGGGCGTCTCCCGAACACTGAGTAGCACCTTGAGGCAGCTTCCTGTGGGCAGGGCAGAGGGCTCTTGAGACAGTCTGGGAGGGGTGCCCGGGGGGCGCGAAAGAAGGGCCACGGTGGCCCCCGGGAGGGGGCAGAAAGGGCAGGTGTTACAGGCAAGGAGCCTGAAGGTGGTTGCTCGTTATCTTGTCTCATACTCTGACTTAAAAAATTTCATCTTAAGCCAGATGGGGACTGATAAGAAAGGCACACGTTTCCTTGACGGTCTGCTGGCCACTCGGCAGTCACTGACATCACCCAGGACCACCTGCCTCTGCAGGAGGCATGAGCAGGAGCTCCGGCCTCAGGAAACGCAGTGCAGTGGACAGGCCACCTGCTGCCCTCCAGGCCTCACGCTGCCACCGGGATGTGCCCGGGACCTGGGCTGCTGGGGCCCAAAGGGATGGGAGGCCCATCCAGGCCTTTGGGGTTGGCGGGTGTGAGGTCGCGGCAGCTACAAAACCTCCCATCCGATAGCCCATGTGAGTTGTGGTTCAGCGTGTACTCCATCCTGCTTTCACCACGTGAACTAATTGTACACAAGCCAGGGTTTACTCAGAAAGTTCAGACAAGTTTCAGAGGAATATCCATGTAGATATCTCCTGAAATGTACTCACCTGCTCATTTGGTTTAAAAAAAAAAAAGCATGTAAAAAAGAGGGTGGATCTGAGCCAGAGCAAATAAACAGGACTGGGAATGGGGGATAAAAGTCAGGGTTTGTGTCATGACTGTAAGCTGTCAGTGCAGGGTGAATGTTTTGCCTGCAGAGTCAGGGTACACGTGGCCCTACCACTGCATTCGAGGTGGGCAGCAAGTTTTGTTGTGAGGTGTTTTTAAAAAATTGTTGACAGTTCGCAAGAAAGAAATGTCTTTATTATCAGCAAGATACTACCAAAACAGCAAGTTTGCTATTTCCCTACATTTTTAAATACTAACACTAACTTAAAGTTATTTAAGTTGAAGTCATTGGATTGCTCCAAGTATCCCATTCAACTTCATCCATTCTGCGAAGGATGCGCTGAGTAGTGTCAGTGAACGGCCTCATTCAGTGAGGAGTTTCTGTGCATTCGAGAGACCATCAGGTGCAGTAATTAAAAGTCTGGTGGGAAGAGATAGCTTTGTATTCTGTTGTTTAGAACTAGCGGTTTAGGCTCACTAACAGGTTACGCTCGTCTTTTCCACGTTTGGATCTTTTAAATAAATAGTTGTATTAGGGGCCACCTCACTTTGTACCATGTCGGCAGTTCATTTCTGAGCACTGCCTGTGTGTGCTGAGCTGTCCATCATCTTACGTGCATCTCTGGACTTAACTGTGACAGCCCCGTGAGTGCCCCGTGAGGGCAGGTGTTGCTGTCACCACTGTTTCACACACATTGGGCGGTCAGCACATTCAGGTGCACATGGCTAGTGATTAGGAGCCTTAACGTGAACCAAGGCCCAGCTTTGGAACATTGGACCTGCGCTGTCCTAACCGAGACACGAGTAATTTAAAATTTACCGTAGCTGTATTTTCAGAAGTCAAAACAAAACAGATGACATAAATTTTATTTATGAAAATATATCCAAAATGTTGTAAGTCGCACATTAAAAGTTACTATGCTGTTTTACACCTTGTCTTCTTTTCAGTAAGCCTTTGCAATCCTGTGTGTATCTAATGTTAGCCCCACAGGTGCTCAGCCAGGCACATCTGGACGGAATCGCTGACTGTTCTATAATCGACCTTCCACATAAACCAGACGGAAAGAATGATAGGTGTTTCCATTTAAGAACTTACCAGCTGTCAGCTTGTTTTAAGGAAGTCTATTAAACTATCATCTTAATTTAAATTCTTTCCTGACCTTTTTGTGGTGTGCAAGTCCTGCTTCAGAGTTTCCACAGTGTAGATGGACAAAGTGCTGTTACCCAGCAGTCAGTTTGAAGCAGCTCACTTTGCTCAAAAGCTGTAGTGTTCTCTCATCATTTTCCCTGTGTTTCTGTCAACAAAGAAGTGATTTCTTGTATCCTCGTGTTTGGACCCCGCGGTGTATCTTTTGAGAGGCAAGGCAGTGTTTGTTCCCCAGGAGGGCGCACTCCGTGTGTTAACGGTTTAAGCAGCCATGCTCCGGCGCGTCCGCATGCTCACTGGTGGCCTCTCCCCCTTAGAACCTCATCTGCTCCGAGTGTGGGGATGAGTTCACCCTGCAGAGCCAGCTGGCCATCCACATGGAGGAGCACCGCCAGGAGCTGGCTGGGAGCCGCAGTCACACCTGCAAGGCCTGCAGGAAGGAGTTCGAGACGTCCTCACAGCTCAAGGAGCACATGAAGACGCATTACAAGATCAGGTGGGGAGCCTTTCCCAGCTAAAGAAGATTACACCATGTATGAAAAATTGGCACGCTGCTTTAGGAACAGGAGCAGGGCGACTCGGGAGTGTGGTACTGGGATGGCTTTTATAACCTTTGTTCCGTGTCGTGTCTGCAGTAAGGCAGATAAGGTAAAAAATGAAACATCAGACTGAGGGTAGAAGTTTTTAGCTGTATTACAATAACAGCTGTAGAACAAGGTATTGGCAGTACACTTTTAATGGGCAGGTAAGAAGGTGTGTAGAGTGAACTCACAGGGCCAGAGTAGCATCCTTTTTAGTGAGTTGGTTTATTTGTACTACCTGGAGCTTACACGTATCCAACACTGCTTCGTGTGTCTGCAAACAGATAATTAAAACTTCATTTAATCGTTAACAGACCACCCTTCAGGCCAGGATACTGCTGTGGTCTCCGTTTTGCAGATGAGAAAGCCTAGGCTGGAGGTTCCTGCCCAGCCTTCAGGATGCGGCAAGGCTGCTTGTGGGGGCTGGAGCAGGGAGAGCCAGGGCGCAGGGCGGCAGCTGCGGACTGGGGAGGTGGGAGCCTCCTCGCTCCTGTGTGTGCAGTTGATCTCTCCTTAAAGCTCTCGCTGGTTTTGAAGCAGTGGGGACACAGGGACCCCCACTTACTGCGTGCTTTCCCTCCGGGATCCCAGGGTGGCCGGCACCAGGTCGTACAACAGGAACATCGACAGGAGCAGCTTCACATACTCCTGCCCGCACTGCGGAAAGACGTTCCAGAAGCCGAGCCAGCTGACGCGGCATGTCCGGATACACACAGGTGTGGGGCGCACTGGCTCCTGGAGGACCCCTGACCGGGCCTCGGGGCCAGACTGTGCCCTGGAGCCTTCCGGCCTGGACCAGGGTCTCAGCTTTCCCACTGCTTGCCGGGGGCCCCCGGTGCTCCTTTGTGATGTTGAGGAGGCGGTGGGAGTGTGGGTCTGCGGCCACAGGGAGGTGTTCTGCCTGGAGGGGGCAGATGTGCGGTCTTGAGTTTGGGTAACTTAAGAAGTATTTCTCTTAACCCATCAGATGCTCACACAGTGCAGAATCGTATTTTGATCATCTTTCTCCCTCTCCAGGTGAAAGGCCATTTAAGTGTAGCGAATGTGGAAAAGCTTTTAACCAGAAGGGAGCACTGCAGACTCACATGATTAAGCATACGGGTGAGAAGCCCCACGCCTGTGCCTTCTGTCCTGCCGCCTTTTCTCAGAAAGGGAACCTCCAGTCCCATGTGCAGAGGGTTCACTCTGAGGTGAGCATGTCCCCGGGGTGTAGGCGTGTGGTGGGCGGGCTAGGGTGGAGCAGGGAGGTCCTCACGGGGGTGCAGACGTCACAGGCTGCACAGGTGCCCCCGGAGTGAAGGGTGAGCCCACTTGCTAAATGTAGATGAAGGGTTTATGCGGAGCAAACCCTGTTTGTGTGCAGTGCAGGCTCAGTCATGTCCAACTTTTTGCGACCCCATGGACTGGCCCGCCAGGCTCCTCACATGGTATTCTCCAGGCAAGAATACTGGAGTGGGTTGCCATGCCCTCCTCCAGGGGATTTTCCCTATTCAAGGATTGAACCCACTTCTCCTGCATTTCAGGTAGATTCTTTACCACTGAGCCACCTAAGAAGCTCCCCCAAATACATATATATGTATATATATACACAAGTACATACATACACATGAATAATATATATCTATATATATATATAACATTTGAACCTTTTTGGCTTATATGGAAATATAAAAGACTATTTTTTGTCTTTTTACCGACAATATTATAGCTTTGATGAATAAGCTTTTGAAAATAATCATAATACCGTTGGTAGTCACGGTCCATCAATCTGTGTCACGTCATGCCTTTAGTGAACCTGAAACACGGACGCGTCTGAGTGTAAGGAACTGAGAGACGAGAGATGAACTGAGGAGGCAGTGTTTTTCTGTGCTGGTGTTGCTGCCCTCGTGTGCGTCCCCACTCCCCTTTTCTGTCAGCAGAGTCCTGGCCAGTGGATTCCCCTCCATACTGCACGTTAACTGATCATTTCAGCCAAACTGATGTTCCAGTGTTCTGCTGTCTCCAGATAATACTGATTTGTCAGCCTCTGGGGGTATCTCTCTTCATCCCATTCATGTTTGCTCTTGTTAACTGTCGTGATTTGGTGTCTTATTTAGTCTAGTTGGAGATGATGAAGACGTATGTAAGCAACACAAAACTCTTACCATGGATCATTTATTTTATGTAATTGCTTTGGAGGATGAAAAGTATCACAGTCCTAAAAGCAGGTGTATGTCTTTTAATTTTTCCCTTGGTAAATCCTTAGGTAACAGTAAATCCTTACGTAACAGTAAAATGAAGAAAAGCTTACACAGTTCTGATAGTTTACAAGCAGACTGAGAACTCATGCAGTGAAGCTGCTTTTGAAGACTGTTCACTGTGTAAGACCCAGGGGCCCTGGGGAGAGCACTTGTGAGGGTGCCTTTTGGTCCGCGTCGGTGCCTCCTGGAGCCACTCCGTGTGAAGGCGATCGCCGAGGATCTGTGTCTGCACACATAGCACCAGGGAAGGAGGCTGAGCACTGCCCGGCTTACGGGAGCCCTGCAGGGAAGGCCAGGGCCGCCCGCCCCCGGCCAGAGACCCCTGGGGCCTGTAGTGGGACCAACTCTGGTGTTCCGGGAACAACCCCTAAAGGTTGCTTGGAGTGTTATCTAATTCTGTGGCAAGCCTAAAGCCGTGGACTTGCTCTTCTCGAGGTGCTGGGAGGATGGAATCTCTTTCCCCCTGAGTGCAGGGCTGGCAGGCACAGCTGACAGGGTGGGTGTGGGGCCTGAGAGCCGGGCGAGGACTGGCGGGCACCGCCTCCATGCCGGCGGCCCTGTTCCCGTCACTGCTCCATGCTCCACTTCTGCTCCGTCAGAGTTTTAGAAAGTGGTCAATGATGTGACGTGACTGTTGCAACTGGCGGCCGCCCTCCTGACTTGTGTGTTTAAGACTCAGAGTAAAAGTCTGTTTGGCCTTGGTTGTTGAACACTTAAACCATTTTATTGAATGCTTAACCATTTAAGAAATCGAGAACAGGTCAGACTTTTTTTTTTTAACTAGAGCACAGTAACTGAAAATTGTGGTTTTTCACTCCCAAGCCAGTTCTGATTTATAGAAAAGACTGAAATTTCAATTAATCCCAGACTGAAAATATTGATTACAGAGTCAGGTCATTGATTCTAGACCTCTCTAACTTAAAAGGTATAATAAAGAGTTACGTTATTTCTGTCGTTTTAATTGAATGGTTAGTTATAATTTGCCATCATTTAAATATTTTAATCTAACATTAATTGTGAAACATTGTTTTTTCTTTTTTGTTCTTTAAGGTCAAGAATGGCCCTACCTATAATTGTACAGAATGTAGTTGTGTATTTAAAAGTTTAGGTAGCTTGAACACTCACATCAGCAAGATGCATATGGGTGGACCACAGAATTCAGCAGGCGCTACAGAGACTGCTCATGTCTTAACGGTAAGCTTGGCCAGCTGATTGACAGAAGATATTCTTTTACCAAAATCTGTCATCTTAATTATGACCTTGAAAATTGAATAGTAGTATCATAAAGGTGCTATGAAAGTTTCCTCTATGGAAGTATGGGTCCTACTTTTATTTGTTTGCTTAATTAATGAAAGAAAATCAAATTTTTGGAAGCTTTAAAATAATTTTTACGTGATTCTGATTTATGGGGTGTCATCTGAACCAGTTAGAAATAAGGTCAAATGTCATCACTGTCATGAAGTTGTAATTCCTACAGTCAATGTTAACTGATGATGATTATTGAATATTCTTTATGCTTGTATTATCATTGAAGAATCACTTCCCTTTTTAAAGTGGTATTTCCTCAGGTCTGATGTGATGGTGATTCTTTCTCCTGAAACCTTGCACTTTTGGGAAACTAAGTTGTATTTTCCAGTTTAACATGCAGTTAAGGTTGTGACTCAGCACGCCCACTTGACTCCTTCCTGTAGACTGGTAGCTCAGCCTCCGTCTGCTTCTTCTCCTGCCCTCTCAGCTGAGCTGCCTGGCGGCGTCTAAGTGTGGAGCGTGGTGTCCTGACCACAGCAGACTAGTCTCGTGAGTGCAGAGGGGCCTCATGAGTGCAGCCAGCCAGTAGCTGGTGTCAGGTCGGCAGCTTCCTCTTAGTGCGGACAGCGCAGGCCCAGTTGCTATTTAGTCTCCAAGCGTGGGGCTCCCGTTTAGGGTTGGCTTTTTCCTTTCTCACAATGTCTGTGGCTTGGGATGAGTCCTCAGCTTACTCTTGATTAGGGAAAGTGTTGTGAAGAAGTTCTAAAACTGGAGAGTAATCATTCTTGTAATCAGGTCTTCAGTTTTATTTTGGACCGAGTAGTTTTAAGTAAAATTTTCAGTACATAAATCAAGCAAGTGTTAGAGTTTCTTCCCTTTTCTTTTGGCAGTACACAAATCCAGCATGCAGGCGGAGTGAATTACCTGGAATGATAATCCAAGTCATTTAAAAATCTACATCCTCAGTGAAACACTGAGGGTGTCGTGCAGGGGTCTGTCCTGATATCTGCCATGACACTGCCTTGCAGTTTCTCTGACCTCATGTCTTGTGTGTGTGTTTTTCAGATTTCTGGGTTTCTGAGGAATCAGATCAGCTCTCCCCTTACATACTGCTGGCTGTGGCTTTACAGAGCTATGATTCCTCCAATGCCCCTATTTCTTAGGAATCAAGAAAACTTTTAGACCACAGTGATTTCTTTCTTATTTTCTCTATTTGGTAACTTTTTTCTCCTTCATTTTAGTGACCAACAGGGGGATGAGGTTTGTGTGCTTAATCCCTCATCTTGAAGTGATAGTCTCTACTACCATGTAAAAGACTTAAAGAGTTACAGAAAAATTCATTGAATATGTTTTTCTAAGAGCCAGTTTTGGTCTAACTTAAAAAGTCAGTGAGGCATATTTGGAATATTGTTAGATTTTGATGCTCATAATGAAGATAATGCTGGTTTCTTTTTTTTAAAAATTGGTGTACGAATTAGCATACTTGTTTACCATTTTTAATGAAACATCGGTGTGTTTCAGGCCACGTTGTTTCAGACTTTACCTCTCCAGCAGACGGACGCCCAGGTCCCGTCGGCTCCCGGTCAGCAGAGCTCGCAGGTGGTGACCGACGTCATCCAGCAGTTGCTGGAGCTGTCGGAGCCGGGGCCGGTGGAGGCCAGCCAGCCGCCCCAGGCCACCCAGCAGCTGAGCATCACCGTGGGCATCAACCAGGACATCCTGCAGGTGAGATGCGCTGCCCCTGCTGTCCGTGTCCACCAGGGCCAGGGTCATCGCTGGGAATCAGTGTTCAGGGCTTGTCTCAGTAAAGACGTCTTCACGAAAGATGTGTCCTAACTGAAACGATTATATTGAAACAAAGCATGCTTATTTGATTACTTATGGAAAGTGCAGATTTTGAAATGATTTGTTAATCTATAAACAGAAAGTTTAAAAAACCTAACTTTTTTCTCTGTAAGTGAGTTTCCTGGAAAAGAACAGGCTTTTCAGGGCTTTCTTGTATCTGTCCCTGGTGACAGAGGGTGAGGACTATTTGATTCTTGCCCGAGCTCCTTGGAGACAGCGCTGTGTGTTCTGACCATATTCCACGGCCGAGGAATGGGCCTGGAGCTGGCGGAGGAGGGCGCACGGGGCCTCTCTCGTTCTCCCCCAGGCCCATTCCTCGGCCGTGGCCCTCACCCCCGCACCCCTCTGTTTCCTTGCTGATGGTAAATGCTGACCTGTGTGCTCCACCTTCGTGGTGACAAATTGGCTGGGGAGTGAAGAGTCAGGCTGTCAGGACCCTGTGACAGCTGGTGTCCTGAGGGCGAAGCCCCTCTTGTCTCTTAACAGTGATTCCCAGATGTGCTATAGACAACCAGGGTTGTCTGATATAACAGTTCTACCAGGCAGTGTAATTAATTTTAATCCCCTTTAATTTTAGAACGCAAATGCTTGCCATGCCAGATTTTGGGTAGGGGTAAGATGTCAGATTTCAAAAGGGACGTTTCCACCTCCAGAGCTGGACGTTTCGCTTATGTTAATAGAGGACTGCTTGGCGATGGAGGCTTTCCTCCTGGTGGGGTTGAGTCAGAATTCTGCAGGTCAGGCTTGCTCGTGTCTTTGTGATTGACTTTGGTGGGCAGGTGCGGGCGTCACCCCTCCTAACCTCCTAGTTCTGTTCTGTCTCAGCAAGCCTTAGAAAACAGTGGGCTGTCTTCAATTCCAGTTGCAGCGCATCCGAGCGACCCCAGCCACACCAAGGCCGCGGCAGCTCAGGGCCAGACCCCAGATGCTACGAGCGTTTCAAGTGAGCCAGCTGACCCTACAGACACAGAGCAAGAGAAAGAGCAGGAAAGCCCAGAGAAGCTGGATAAAAAGGAGAAAAAGATTATAAAGAAGAAATCACCGTTTCTACCAGGTAATTTTAGCATGCCTAAGGTTCCGACATTTGGCTGGTCAGTTGCTATTTAAGAGTCGTGCCCTCCTTTTTCCTTCTGAAGGGGATGTGTTGTTGAAGGCCCCGATCATCTCTACCCAGTAGCATTTGTTTGTGGTGAGCCTTGTTGGACTTGCCCCTTTTCCGCGGGCGGCCGATGTCCCGTGATTGAGCCCTCCTTCCTGCCAGCCCTTCCCGCCAGTCTCTGCCCCATCGTCCCTCAGAGCCCCCACCTGATGCTCCTGAAGCTCCCCTGCGCCCCCCCCCTTGGCCCTTTCCCAGTGGCGCCATCTGTTCCCCGGCTCCTGGCCCTCGGAAGCCCGCCCCACCTGCGTTTCTGCCTCCCTTCCGGTCTTCTGGACACAGCACGTGTCATGGTGAAGCTGGGTGCCTGCTGTCCCCTCAGCACTCTCGCGTCTGCTGAGCGGCGTGCGTTCCCACAGACGTAGCTGCGTCACACGTGTCTCCTTCCTCGCCCTCTTCTCTCATTCTCTGGGGTACTCGGGCGGTTGTTGGAGGCCAGCTCATGTTGCTGCCTCGTAGGAGCAGGGGTCTTCCTTCCTCAGTGCCGAAGACAAGCAGGACCCCTGGTTCCCTGGGTCACTCGTGTGCAGCTGGAATGCGTTCTGTGCATTTCCGAACATCCCACGGGGCTTGGTATGGCTCACCATGCCGGAGCGGGCCTTACTGTGTCTTTCATGGTTAAGATAGATCCCTGCCTTTTGGGAGAAGTGGTCCTATAAAAATGTTTGCTTAATGCACTAACTATTCTTGGGAGGCATGGACTAACCCTGTGATCTGTGTTAACACTTCTTTCTCAGAGTGTATTGTCTCATTGCTAACATGTGGTTGTGAAATCTTTGAATTTCAGCCCACAAAACATCTTGGCCCTACTCTCCTCCTTCTCCCTCCTCTTTTGATCCAACCCTTCCTCCCCAAGTGAAAAACAGGATGATGGAACCCAAGCAGTTTATTGTCTGGGTTTTCCTGGGATCTGGAGAGGCAAGAAGGGAAAAAAGGGCCATTGCCTCACATTTTTGTCAGCTGTGTGGTGGCCTTGAAGGTCCCGTGTTAGCCGTGCGTTCTTGAACACCTCCTTTTTGTACACCTGATAAAGTGACGAAAGCCCACGGTCCCTTTGAAACAAGTTGCTGCATGTTGCCGTGAATGTCCGGAGATGCTCAGACGTGGCTGAGGGCAGGCCAGGCTGGCCTGCGGGAGGTGCTGAAGGGGAGACTTCATCCCACATTGTCCTCCGTCTCCAGGGTTAGAAACGGCTTTCTCTTCTGCACTGAGCATCAGATGAAGATTTCAAAATGGAACTGCAGTTAACCCTATTGTACGTTATTTTAAGATGGAATGTTGTACTTACAGAGTTTGTAAAGATTATGCAAATTTTAATTTTTGAAATACTTGACTACATTAAATATTTAGAGTACTGAGCAAGTTTATGTAGTTCTAGTAAATTTTAGATTAAACATGATCTTTAGTATAGGTTGGAGCAAGCTTTTTTTGTTTTAATCATCTCTGATGTTGAGATGAGAAAATTACTTGGGGCATGTCTCAAGACACCCCTTTTGATTAAAAGAAGTACCTCTTCTTACAGGAACCAGTATACTTTTAATGTAATGATCATTTCCGAAAACAAAAACACTTCTTCAAGGGTAGTTGATACCATCTGGTACCCTAAGAAGACCCTGAGCAAACTATTCTTGTCTCATAAGTCATAACATTTTCTTAACAGCTGATAATTAACCTTAATTACATTTCCAAGTTGAACATATGCAGCCATCTAAAGCCATCACTCTGATTTACTCAGTTTTGCGAGAATGAATATTTTTATTGGAATTTGCTTTGTTATTTTAAGAAGTATTTTATGTATGAGTTAAATATTTAACAAATACTTTTATATTTATCATAACACTTATGCCATGTAAATCATTACTTCTTGTTGTTCAGTCACTAAGTTGTGTCTGACTCTTTGCAACCCCATGGACTGCAGCGTGCCAGGCTTCTCTGTCCTTCACCTTCTCCTGGAGTTTGTTCAGACTCATGTCCATTGAGTCGATGATGCCATCCAACCGTCTTCATTATGAAGCTCTAATAAAGTCAGTTAACCTTTCAACTTTCTCATCTGTAAAAGGGCCAGGGATAGGATAAATAAAAGAGAATCCAGTAGTGCCTGACACATAGTGAGTGTGTAACAGACACGTGTATTTTTAAGGTTTCCTGAGACTCGGTGGAACTGCTCATCGCACACGCTGGTGGGCGGAGGGGCGCGCACCTTTCTGCTCCTGCCGGCTCTGTGCGCCCCGTCCGGCCTCCAGGCCGCTGCCTCACGATGGCCTTGTGTCTCCCAGCAAGCACAGGCGTGTTATCATGCATTACACATTGTTGTCCTTGGTGAGGTGTGTGCCGTGCTCTCTGTGATGTTTACTCCCTCACCGTGGTGTCTTACATGTGCACTATGCGTGAACAGTGTTCTCTGTAGCATGTGTTCTTCTCTAGTTTGCTTGGCTTTTGAGTTAAAAGGGAGAAGTATTTTTTGTTTTCATATAGCAGAAGGGAGAGATAGGTTTTATTTTTATATAGCCAAATTTGTCAGTGATTTATGACTTTTGGACTTGGTTAACAGACTTCAACACTGACATTATGGAAAAAGTGCCTTTTACCTAACACTTTTACACTTAGTTTTTTTTTAACATTATAAAATGATCACCACCATATATCCATTTACCATCTGTATACTTTTGTATTTTAAACCAAATCTTTGACTTAGTTTTATTTTTTGTTGCCTGTGGGCACTCAGTTCCCCAGACACCATTTGTTGAGTAAGTCGTGTTTTCCCTGCTGAAATGCAGTGTCACCTTCATCATATATTACACTCTCAAACCTGTGTGGGTCTTTTCTGGTCTTTATTCCAGTAATCTGTCTTTTTATTCATGTGTTGTAATACCAAATGGTTTTAGCTTTATTGTGTGTTTTATAACTAGGAAATCTGGTCCTTTCTCACTTCACTTGTTTTAAAGTTTTTTTTTTTTTTTTAACTATTTTCCCATGTATATTTTTTTCATATGTACTTTAAAAACATCTACTAAACTTCCAGAACTAGTTCTGAAAAACTCCTATTGGTATTTGTATGTACTATGCTAAGTCGCGTTAGTTGTGTCTGACTCTTTGAGACCCTATGGTCCGTAGCCCACCAGGCCCCTCTGTCCATATTCTCCAAGCAAGAACACTGGAGCGGGTCGCCATGCCCTCCTCTGGGGGGTCTTCCCAACCCAGGGATGGAACCCACTTCTCTTGCATCTCCTCATTGGCAGGCAGGTTCTTAACCTCTAGCACCACCTGGTAAGCCCTGGTATTTGTATGCAAGTGACTTAATCAGAGAGAACGGATGCCTTTGTAACTTTGTCTTTATACCGAAGAATAGGGTTAGTATGGGATTATATGAAATCATGTATGTGAAACTTTTGAAAATTGTAAAGCACTATATATCTTAAAGAATCATTCAGTAAAAAAAAAAAATTAAAAAAGAATAGGGTATGCATTTCCACTTACTTAGATCTTCTTTTCTTTTCTTCCTTATTTTAGTAGTAGTTTAAAATTTTCTTCTGGATTTTGACTGTAGATAGGAAGGATATTGATTTCCATAGATTAAAATGTGGGCCTTTTTCTGAGTTTTAGTTTTTTAGGTATATAGCCATATCATTTGTAAACAATAATTTTACCTTTTCCTGTATACTGTGTGTTTTTGTGTCTTAACTAGTTACATTGGCTAACATCTGTCAAACGTGAGAAATTAATGGCAGTGTGATAGGTGAACTTTTTCCTGACCTAATTTAGTAGGACTGCTTTTCATATTTTCCTAATAAGTCAAACATTTTATTGATAGATTTTCTTCACCTCCTCCTGTTTTTAGGCAGTTTTTTTAAAACTTAAAACTAGATGTTGAATTTTAGTAAATGCCTTTTCATCTTGAGGATGACTATATATATTTTTCTCTTTTAAAATTTATTGATGTGTTTGAAGAGAAAAGCTATTGCCCAACTCCAGGAAGGATTGCCTTGTGGGAATGAAGAACTGGTTTTCTGGATCTTACATTTTGTCACAGGATCAGAAATCTGGATTCAGTTTTCTCTTTCTAACACTGCCTGGGCCAAGCAAAATACTTGCAGGGTGCATTTGGAGAGCGTCAGGCTCAAAGCTCCAACTGCCAGTTTGTCTCTCTGTTCTCCTTTATTCCCAGAAATAATTAGAACCTGGTGACAGTTGTGTGTCATCTTACGTAATTAAAGATATATTTTCATTTTTGCTTAAAAAAAATCTGATTGAGAGAGGTGATTTCCAGACTTTAGCTAACAGAGACTTTCTTTTTGTTCCTTGCTTTTCTGATTTGTCATGGTAAGACATTTAGGTAATTATTGCACTTTTCTAAATTAGTTTTTGTCTATTAGTTTAAGCAGTCTTAAGTTTTAGATGTTCTCAATATGAGAAATATTACCATAAAATAAATATCTTTCTCTCATTTAAAAAACATATTTCGCTTATTTCCTGCTCTTCTCCCCGCCACCTGCCATGGTTTGTGTATGTTCTTCTTTGTTCTTGTTTTCAGAAAAAATATTATTTTGAATTCTTTTACTTAACCTCCTTTCCTGTATTAATTATTCCTGCAAAGAGGATTATTTTCAGGAATATACATGTTCTCTCCTTGCAAATTCACTTGCGCATAAAGAAAATTCCTTGTATTTACTGATATCAAAGAAAAGGAAACAACTTTTTCTCTTCCCCTAATAAAATAATGTCTGTACAGACACAGTTCAATAAACAGTGAAAATTTTCTGATGAATTTCCTCAACATGGCCCAAACCTTTTTGATTTCAAGTGGATTCTTATTGTAGGCATCTGTTTAATTTCTGATGAATAAATCTAATTGAAATTTTAAAAGATGATTCTGTCAAATTAGAAATTTGCCAGTTTAGATATTACTTTACTTGTTATGTTTCCACAAATAGTACTTGTGATTTTTCTTCTGGTGGAAATAGTTTTAAGCCTGGTTCAAGGTTGAATAAAAGTGTTGAGAGTTTTTTTGTATTTGAAGAATTTTCTATATTTGTTCATGAATCATGAACTCATTCAAATGAGTTTTAACTTTGTTTTAACTGTTTAGTTCCTTTCTATAACATGAGAACTTAGCATTTCCTAATCATTTTATTTGCATTTTTATTAGTATTTTTATTTTTTTATTTGTATTTTTTTATTAGTGATAACAGATTGGCTCAGACAAGACTTACTATAACTTCGCTCCTTCTCTTCTTGTTCCTTGAGTTAATTTTGTAGCCTTTGGATGAGATCTGCTATTCTTTGCCTTTCCAGCAGATGAGTCTGTACTGCCCATTCTTGATTTATGCTATAGCACCTGTCTCGTTAGAGTTCTTCTCTCTCTCAGCCAATGATTTGTGTCTTCCTGAGCCTCTTAGGATTGTCTGCAGGATTCAGTCATAGTCGTCGTTCATTTCAGTTATTACAGAGATTTCTGTCTTCCCCGTAGTTGATCGCACATACCCTCTGCCGTGGCAGAAAGCACACAGAGGTGTGGCGTGCTGTCTTGAGGGTCCCCCCGGCCCCCAACAGGGTGTCAGTCAAATTTCAGTTATTGTGGAGATTTCTGCCTTCCCCACAGTTGATTGCACATACCCTCTGCTGCAGCAGAAAGCACACAGAGGTGTGGCGAGTGGTCTGAGTGTCCCCCCGGCCCCCAGCAGGATGTCCGTGCTTGGCTTAGCACGGTTCTGAGCCAGGCTGGGCCCGTCTGTCACCCTCCCCAGGGTCGATCCGCGAGGAGAACGGTGTGCGCTGGCACGTGTGCCCCTACTGCACCAAGGAGTTCCGCAAGCCCAGTGACCTGGTGCGCCATATCCGCATCCACACCCATGAGAAGCCCTTCAAGTGCCCCCAGTGCTTCCGGGCCTTCGCCGTGAAGAGCACGCTGACCGCCCACATCAAGACGCACACGGGCATCAAGGCCTTCAAGTGCCAGTACTGCATGAAGAGCTTCTCCACCTCGGGGAGCCTCAAGGTGCACATTCGCCTGCACACAGGTGCGCGGGGACAGTGGGGCACAGCGGCTCGTGCCGGTGAGGGTCACGGGGCCGTGTGACCTTCTGTAGGCTGAGCCACCTCCACACGAGCAGGTCCTCGTGGAGCCCATGGCCCAAAGAGGGAGCCTTTCCCGCCCTCTTAGGAGTGAGGAGGGAGCCGCCGCAGCAGCGGGCTCAGACGCAGGCCAGGATCGCGCGCCTCTGACGCCAGCACCTGCTGCTGGATTGCTTGGCTGGGCCGGCTAAGCGCTGCCGAGGCCCGAGCATGTGGACTGCCGGCCACAGGCCTGGGGCTGTGCTGGGCCGGCTAAGCGCTGCCGAGGCCCGAGCACGTGGACTGCCGGCCACAGGCCTGGGGCTGTGCTGGGCCGGCTAAGCGCTGCCGAGGCCCGAGCACGTGGACTGCCGGCCACAGGCCTGGGGCTGTGCTGGGCCGGCTAAGCGCTGCCGAGGCCCAAGCACGTGGACTGCCGGCCACAGGCCTGGGGCTGTGCTGGGCCGGCTAAGCGCTGCCGAGGCCTGAGCACGTGGACTGCCGGCCACAGGCCTGGGGCTGTGCTGGGCCGGCTAAGCGCTGCCGAGGCCCGAGCACGTGGACTGCCGGCCACAGGCCTGGGGCTGTGCTGTGACTGCAGTCACAGGTGGTGAGCCACGCGAGAGGAGACCCTAGGCGTCTTGGTGTCTGAGGACTCCTGGTGGTTTAAATGCCCAGTTTACCGTTTTAGGCTTTCTCCTGAAAATAGTAAAGGCTCTTTTATACATAAAATGCTCTTATTACGTGCCTTCACATCTATGAAGTGCACTGTATGCAGACAAGGGAAATAATTGATAATATCCGTGAGATAATACATACATATAACATGAAACGACAAATTAAGTATTCAAATCAGTATTTCTATACTAGAATTTTATGCTGACCTTAACTGAGATGTATGTGTCTGGAATAATTCCACTGTCATTTGTTTAGGAGTCAGACCTTTTGCTTGTCCTCACTGTGACAAGAAGTTCCGAACCTCAGGCCACAGGAAGACTCATGTTGCCTCTCACTTTAAACACACGGAGCTGAGAAAGATGAGGCACCAGCGTAAACCTGCCAAGGCCCGCGTGGGCAAGGCGAGCGTCCCAGTCCCAGACATTCCTTTGCAGGAGCCGATTCTCATAACAGACGTAGGTGAGTCCCCTCCTCGGGTGCCTTGCAAGGTGGGCGAGTGCTGTGGTCTGCACAGTTAGATAGCTGTACGCGTGGAGCAGCGGGAGTTGCTGCAAAGTGTTGTTTTGCTCTGTGGGCCAGTATGTCCCACAGAGAAATTAAAATCCTAGTTCTGTCACTCCCTTAACCTGCTGCTCAGATTATGTCCCTGGTGAGAGGAAGTGGTGTGTGAGTGAGGGTGTTGGCATCCGAGTCCTCGCCGAGCAGGACTGTTCCTCTGGGAACCTGTTGGGTGGAGCGCCTGGAGTGCTGTGTCATCTGCATCACAGATCATCCTTTGGGCAGCTTTCACCTTCTGATTAAAACAAAAGTCTGCCAGCTTTTAAATTCTTTTTAGGCTTGATGTTATAATGAAGGGATATTACGATTTTGTTAACTAAAAAGAAAACACTGCTTATGAGAATTTTCGGGAAAATGTAGGTCTTAGAGCAAAGTTAAATTCATTAAATTCTGTGCAAGAATTTACGTTTTTATTCAGTTCCTGTATTTCATCATCTTAGGCAAGATATTCTGTGAACAAAATTAGTATCAAACAAAATATGATTTGGTATAAATAAAGCTCAAATGATATAAAGAGAGATATTGTGGATTAATGTCAGTGGTAGTCCACTGATCAGATGATCAACAGTCATGAGCTTTTATGTATCTAGGTGCATAGCCGGAAAAGGCGATGGCACCCCACTCCAGTACTCTTGCCTGGAGAATCCCATGGACGGAGGAGCCTGGTGGGCTGCAGTCTAGGGGGTCGCTCAGAGTCGGACACAACTGAGCGGCTTCACTTTCACTTTTCACTTTCATGCATTGGAGAAGGAAATGGCGACCCACTCCAGTGTTCTTGCCTGGAGAATCCCAGGGACGGGGGAGCCTGGTGGGCTGCCGTCTGTGGGGTCGCACAGAGTCACAACTGGACAGGACACAACTGAAGCTACTTAGCAGCGGCAGCAGGTGCATGAAAATATATAAACCAGAAACAGAAGAAAGGAGAAATATTCAAATTCTGCACCATAGTGAGAGGTCTTCAATTAGATTAATTTAGACACAGCAAGACTGAAGAGAATTTAAAGCACACATATAAAAAGGTGCATACTAAAACAGTTTTAATACCTTTAAAACTATTCACTTCAAAGTACATGTGCTTTTAAATGTGCGTGAAGTAGAAGTTGATCACATTCTGGGGTATAAAGAAATTTCAGGTTTTCAAAAGTAGAAATTGTAAAGGAAACAATCTTTTATTATAGTTCAGTGAAAACATAATAGAAAATAGCTATCTAAATTTTCATTATATGGAAAAGAAAGACTCAAAACTGCAATTACAAACAAGAAATGGAACATTTTATAAGCAGGTTGAATGGGCCAAAGCTGCTATCAGGGAAATTAAGCCTTTTAAGAATTATTTCTTATTAAAGAAGAATGAAAATAAATACATAACTCAAAAAGGTAGAAAAATGGAAAACAAGTAACAAAAAGGAATTAATAAGTATAACAGTTTAAGACAAAACGAAATTGTAGTGAATATAATTTTACAACTTTTAGAAAATAAACAGATAATTTGACATGTCTCTGGTAAACTGAAGACTGAGAAAATGTCTAGAGTATTAGGAGTGAGACTCAATCTATAAGCACAGGTACAGATGAGATAAACACTTTGCAGATACTCTGCAACTTTTTGCTAATACATTTGAAAATATACATGAAATGTATTTTTTCTAGAGTAGTATACTTATCAGAATTGACTCTAGAAGAAATGGAAAGCCCCGAAAGACAAGTTTAAGAGCATCCTCCCCCAGACACCAGTCTGCAATGACTTTATGATTTCTGCCAAGCTTCCTAGGACTGTCATCCCTGGGCTGTTCAGTTGTTTAGTGTACAGACACTGATGGAAGGGCCTGTGGTAGGTTAGAATACTTTGATGCTGTTACACAGTTTCAGCAGCTCGCAAAAGCAAACAGCACAAAAGACCAGTTTCACATAGTATATATTTAATCTTCACTAATGTGATCTCCAGGACTGGCGAATGGCAAAACCTAACAAGCAGCTCAGAGATGCTGAAATCCTGGCCCCTGTGTGACTAGGAGGATGGGCTGCGCACACTTGGAGGGCCGGGAGGAAGAAATAGGCTCTAGGGCACAGGGTTGAACTGTAGCCTGCACCGTCAGGGGCAGTCCAGAGAGCCGTGTGTCAGAGGAGCCTGCGTACCCTCGCGTGGAAGTGCCCAGGGCCGCGGAGGGGGCAGAGGGTGTGGCAGGGGCCTGTTCTGGGACGGAGGAGGCACAGCCCAGCCAGTGCTGACTCTGTGTGTCTTCCCCTTATCGTTCCAGGTAGATATTAAATAATTCAGAGGGTTCAGTGTATTCTTGTCCTGAATTGCATAAGTTATTGCTTGATGAAGACATACTTATCACACGGTCAGGCTAAGGGAATTCTTTATTCCTTGAAAGTATGTAAAACCTGAAATATATAAGGTTGTCATTTTTATGTTTGCAGATATTCCTTTAATAAAATTCCTATGAAAACCCTGACTTTTTTAGAACACAGAAATGATGCTGGAATTATTTCTGTCTTGAGTTTGTTGTAGTACCTAGGGTACCGTCTTCATACTGAACAAACAAGGGACTGAGAACTCGGACTATCTTACATGTTGATATAGTTGTAGAAATTTGATGCCAGTAGATGCTTACATAGAAAGTAAATGTAGAAATCTGTGAAAAAACTGGCTCTAGAACAAAGAGAAGTAACTGTGATAACATAAATATTCCTTTATGTTGGAAAAAAATGTCTGTCTTACGTTAACTTTGTGTTTCCTGATAGCTGTTCTTTCAATAGCTAGTTCCTAACACAATGAAAATAGCATTTAGTTCCCACATTGGAATCTAGCTTCTCAGGATTCCTATCTTCTGGGTAACAGGTGCCTTTTAACATTTAACTCTTTTTGGTATATTGACAGCGAATTATTCCTGATTTTCCTTTGGTTTGTAGGTCTTATCCAGCCCATTCCAAGGAACCAGTTATTTCAAAATTATTTTAATAACAGTTTTGTAAATGAAGCAGATAGACCATACAAGTGTTTTTACTGTCATCGTGCCTATAAAAAATCTTGTCATCTTAAACAGCACATCAGGTAAGGTGACAGATTCAGAGATGGAAAGTGATTTAGTGACCTGGTGACTTGTAGAAATACTAAGAATGGTAGTGTTAACTCTTGTTATTTAAAATGTCACTTTTGACCCCCAAATGTTTATTGATCATTGGTATTCTATCCACTCCAGTACTCTTGCCTAGAGAATTGCAGGGACAGAGGAGCCTGGTGGGCTGCAGTCCACGGGGTCTCAAAGAGTTGGATGTGACTGAAGGACTAAGACACACACACACATTTTCATCCTTTAGTGTCTTGACCAAAATATTTCACCCACATATTGCCCCTGAATTTTTTTTCACTATTATTTTTCTGTTTTTGCAGTTTCTAGGACTTGTCAGAGAAGTATCGGTTTGTTTCATTAGGGTTAATGTTCTTTCTCAGTGCTTTAGGTGTGTTCATCAGAGTTTAGATTAATTATTGTCACTAGCCACAGTGAAAAGGAAGTAGAAACCTGGTCATGAGAGACAGTGGGGTCGCGAGGAGAGGATGGCGCGTGGACAGGGACATGGGGCCTGGTCCTGTGTCAGGCACGTGTGAGCCCCGGGACTTTAGGTGGGCCACCTGGCGTAGAGCCTCAGGGGTCCTGCTGGAGTCAGGGGGTTCAGCGCAGGGGGCGTCAAGCGCGATGGTTACGAGGGTGCATTCTAAAGGATGAGGCACCGTGGAAGCGTGAGGCACTCATTCATTACTGTCGTCATTCTTTTTAGGTCCCATACAGGCGAAAAGCCCTTTAAGTGTTCTCAGTGTGGAAGAGGCTTTGTTTCTGCAGGCGTGCTCAAAGCGCACGTGCGAACGCACACAGGCCTGAAGTCTTTCAAGTGTATGATCTGTAATGGCGCTTTCACGACCGGGGGGAGCCTCCGGCGGCATATGGGCATCCACAACGACCTCCGCCCCTACATGTGCCCCTACTGCCAGAAGACATTTAAGACCTCGCTCAACTGCAAGAAACACATGAAAACCCACAGGTAGGTGCGGCTCTGCGGGCACCTTCCAATCGTCTGCGTAGTTCCACGACTTTGGTGGGAGTGTTTTTAGGAAATAGTTTTCTTTGTTCTCCTATATTATTACTTCTAGCTTGATCTAGTGAAGCTTCTACATCCATGTTTAAGGATCTATTAAGAACCATAGAGTAAAGCATAACATTTTTATTTTTAATATAATATTGAAGTAGGCTGTGTTAGGCTAAATGCTTTGTAAACTCTCTTAAAACTGATCATCAGTAGTAGATAAAATGCTAGATAGACCATGTCTACTGTAATTAGGTAATGAGGATTGCAAAAAAGGAAATCTTGGTCGACTCTGTGACTTCTAGGCATATCATCAGTGTTGTCTGCATGGTAATTATTCTAAGTTGTCGATAAAGGGAACATATATTTTAGCTATCAGGTCATCTTGTCATTGCCGCTGACTTAGATTTTTGCTTGAGTAGAGGGCTGTCTCATCTCATCTGCATTTCTTGCAGAAATGCATTTCTCACCACATCAGATCTATATTTGACCTGGGTTTTGGGTTTGTTTGTTTTTTTTTTCCAGTTTTTTGATGCACTCACTGAATTCATTGCTCATTTTTCTCTTTGAAAGAAAAGTTGTTGGCCTTGATGAAAATATGCTGGGTATATTTTGTATATGGAAAAGTGATATTATTAACAGGAATAAGGCTCCTGCAGAAAATGAACTTGGCCACATGCCTCGCTGTCCAGATGCTGTAGCCTGTGGACCTGGTCACTGGGCCGAGCACAACCTGGCAGGTCCCAGGACTTAGCGCGTCTTCCACGCATGTGTGTATGGCGCTGAAAGCAGTCTGACGGCTCCGCCTCATTTCATGCAGGTCTTCTTCCCAACACTTGGGTTCATTGCACCATTTGGGTTGGGAGGGTTTTACTTTGAAACGTGGCCTCTTGAATTTTTTTAAGCTTTAAAAAATTTCTTATTGCCTTCAAGTCCATATAATCTGTGCAAGTGTGTTTAAGAATAAGGGGACATGATTTTTCTTTCAGAATTATTAATAGTATTTAACTTTCAACTGGATTGCCATCATGACTTCAAAATGAGATAAAGTAAATTTACTGAGTAAATTATATCTTGGGCACTAGTAGCCCATGCCCCTGGTTTTTGACCGCACCTGACACCATGGACTGTTGATTCCTTTTGAAGATATGAGCTCGCCCAGCAGCTCCAGCAGCATCAGCAGGCCTCCTCCATGGACGACAGCACCGTGGACCAGCAGGGCATGCACGTGTCTACCCCAATGCAGGTGGAGATTGAAAGTGAGGCGCTGCAGCCCAGCGCCGAGGCTGTGGCCGCCAACCCCGGGGCCATGCTGGAGTTGGGGCCGCCGCACGGTGTGAGCGCCGAGGAGGCGGGGCTGGGCCCGCAGATGGCGGGGCAGCCTTTGGAGGCAGAGGAAGGTGAGCTTTACCTCCTAAGAGTTTGCAGCCTGCATCCCCCAGTCCTCCTTGGTCCTCTCATCTCTGACTGTTATGGTCACAACCTGTGCTGTGTGTGTACGAGTGAGCGTTTTCGAGGCATTTGGAGCTGTAGACATAGGACCTTCCAATACGTACTCTTTGTAGCGCACTGTTACCCCGAGGACACCGAGAACCCTTTGGTCTTCATTCGTTTTCATCTGTGTGATTGCGTGTGCTATGTTCCAGCGACTCCCAGACTCCACAGGGTGAGGCTGCCTGCTCTCTGTCTCTGGAGCCTCGGCTCCTCATCCAGCCCGCTGCCTCCTGCAGGAAGGTCTCACTCAGAAAGACACGGAGCTTAGTGACAGAGCCCAGCCCAGGGTCTCCTACAGGCCTAACGGATGGTTGGCCAGCTGGCTGACTGTTTTGTTACGGTTCCAAAACGTGTTTGGTCTATGATTAGAACTTTGTAGTTTTTACCCCCAAATGTATAAATTTATATACACTATGTTTGCATTGTCTTCCTACTGTCTTTTCAAAATAAGGAAGCTAAGTTTTGGAAAAAAAGAAACCTATCCTTTTGGACAGACTGGTAGGCCTGCGGTAACTTCCAGGTCTGTGAGCCCCTCTTACTTCTGTCTTCAGACAGGTTCGTGGCCCCACAGCAGGCCCTGCAGGGGCACGTGGACCAGCTTCACGAGCAGGCACCCTCTCAGCAGTCCTTCGAATCGTCTGGCTTGTCTCAGGGTCAGTAGTGGATCTCACCTGGGGCTTAACAATGAGCGGTGCCTGGCTGGGCTTAACTTGACAGCAACCTTGAGAGCTTCCTTTAACACTCTTCTGGAATGTATGGTTTCAATCCACATGCTTTCTTGCATGGATTTTGTGTGTGTGTTTATGTGTGTGTGTTAATGCTCTTCTGGAATATATGATTTCAAACCACATGCTATCTTACATGGATGTTGTGTGTGTGTACCTGTGTATGCACACATTATTTTGTAGTCTGTTCAGGTTTTCCAGAAAGTGATTTTAATAACCACGCTACATGTGGTTTCTAGCCAAGGAAAGGAAATTGAGTAGCAATTGGGACTTAGAGGTAAGTGCATCCTTGTGGCTGGTCTGTCTGCCGGCCCTGCGAGGATGCAAGCCTGTACACAGGTCACTTCAGAGCCTGCTGATAAGACTGATGACCCTGGTTCTAGCTCAGGAAGCACACATGTTACTTCAATTAGCTTAATATGTAAAACCAGTCTTTTTTTTCTTGTGTGTGTGTGTAGCTTTAGCATTTTTGGTGGAATTCATGTTTTCTGACTTGTTTCAGGTTTTACAGTGACTGATACGTACAGTCAGCAGACCCCATTCCCCCCTGTCCAGCAGTTACAAGATTCTAGCACACTGGAGTCCCAGGCCCTCTCCACGAGCTTCCACCAGCAGAACCTCCTTCCCGTGCCTGGCACCGACACCATTAATGTAGTGAGTGTTACAGAAGTGTCCTCATGAACAGATTCTAGCTTATTCTTCACTGTAAATTTTTAGGTGCCTGGCACCGACACCATTAATGTAGTTAATCAAGAATAAGCTAATTCTAACTTATTCTTCACTATAATTTTTTAAAATTCACTTAAGAGCGTATGCATGCTCGTTACAACTTTAACACTGTTGCATCACCTGTGAAAAGTTGAATGTTTGTCCTATAGGACTTCTTTTCCCTTAAAACATTTTTGTATAACTTTAATATTTCATTCCCATCACTTGGCTTTACATTTTCGGTTGAAAGTTAGGGAAGTCAGGATAGTGGAACGGACTTTGGTAACATCTGAAGGATGTCATGGTGCGTTAGCAATCAAACCTGAACATTTTAATCTGTGGGATCTTGAAAGAAACATGTTAGAATGCATGCTAACAGACTGAATATAAATATTGAGATGCATCATTTGAGATGTTATTTCTTAGTCAAGTCGGACTTCCCTGAGAGCTCAATTGGTAAAGAATCTACCTGTAATGCAGGAAACCCTGGTTTGATTCTTAAGCCAAGAAGATCTGCTGGAGAAGGGATAGGCTACCTACTCCAGTATTCTTGGGCTTCCCTTGTGGCTCAGCTGGTAAAGAATCCACCTGCAACGCAGGAGACTTGGACTTGATCCCTGGGTTGGGAAGATCCCCTGGAGAAGGGAAAGGCTACCCACTCCAGTACTCTGGCCTGGAGAATTCCGTGGACTGTATATAGTCCATGGGGTCGCAAAGAGTTGGACACGGCTGAGCGACTTTCACCATTTACCGAGTTGGAGGCATGTAGGTTTTTGTCCTGGTGTTGATTTTGCTGTTCTCGGAGATCTTTCAGTAGTGGTGGGGTGATGGGCCCGTCAGTTGTTTCCCTCTTTAAAAGCCTCTGTGGGAAGCTTTTGTCAAGTGGAAGACCTGGATCCTCCAGTGAAATTTTCAGGGCCTATTTTCCTAGCTGCTTCTCCTGGACTGGGAACATGCTTCCCCCAACCCTGTGACTTTGTAGCAAGCGAGGAGACTGAATATTTTAAGAAAGTGGGGCTTTTTGTTCACTCTCAGTAAGAGCAGAGCAAGTGCAAGAGTGATCTCTTAATATACATGGAAAATATGGAAAGATCAGTTTCATTCTTGGAAAACTTTGTATTACACAAGTTAATGGAAGATAAATATTTCTTTAATAAAATTGGTATAAATGATTTTTGTTGTTTTATTTGGCCCAAATGATTGCAATGGCCTAACTAGGCTTTCTCCATTATTAAATCCACATTTATGATTATGCTTATCCTTGGTTGTCAGGTGTTCATGTTCATTCATAGATATTCAAGTAGTCCACTCTGTGCTTCCGTTACATTTTAGACAACTCGTTTGATTCAGGAGTCCCCGCAGGAGGAGATGGACCTGCAGCCTCCGCGCCCCCCGTTCCTGGAGGGGACGGAAGAGCAGAGCCGACGCTCCTACAGGTACGCGGGCTCCTCGAGGCGCTCAGGCTCCTGCTGTTGCACTTGCAGCCACCCCGCTGTGCCTTGTGCCCACTGCAGCATTCCTGCGGCGTCACAAAGCTCTGCGAGAGACTGGCTTGCAAAGCTTGTGCAGCTAATGAGTGATGTGGCCAGAGTCAGGACGCAGCAGGCTCTCCCTGTAAAGCATCTGCTGCAGCTTCCTATCCCCACTGCAGGCGGCTGCTGCCTCGTTTTCAGAAATGGCTTAAATTTCTAATGTGCCTTTTTGTCTGCCGACATTTTATTCACACTCTGATTTAAACATTAACAAGTGTTTGTTAATGTTTAATTTGGGATTTTGCATTGACATCTTCAGGTGAGGCTAGTGAAGTGTTTCCTCGTGATACCTCTGTGACATCTCCCTAGGCTTTCCTGACAGTCAGCACTTTCCAAGAACTGCTGTGTGCCAAGCTGTCTGCTTTGTGTTCCTTCCTGTCACAGATGAAAGCCTGGAAACAGAGAAAATAGGGGAATAAAATAAAATAATTTTTCTAAAATTTTGTTTTTAATAATATATGAATGGGAATTTTGATATTTATAATTATTTCATCCTTAATATGTTTCACAACACCCGAGAGGAGATAAACACTGGATATTTATATATTATTCAGAACAGCTCTGTTTTGTAAAATATTTTACCAACCAGTGTATTAATTGACATTTCCAGGTGTCTAGATACTCAGGTGATTCTGACCCTAATGCAGCAGAAGGGTTTGCAGAGTTTTATGACTTCATAAAGAAAACAGCACATAATGAGTTTCCTGTTATGCTTAAAGGAATAGTTTCTAATTAATCAACTATTTTGCTGTAGGATTGCTATAGGTTTTACTGACTTTGAAATAAAATCATTGCGGGTATAAGCACTTTTGATCTAACACATTTTTATTGCTAGCATCTTACAGTTTTGTTTAAACGTTGGTACATACCTCCTTTCTGTGACAGCTCTGCCTGACTGTGTATAACTGTTGGTGCGCACACCTCCTTTCTCTGACAGCTCTGCTTGGCTGTATAACTATTAGTGTGCACACCTCCTCTCACTGATAGCTCTGCCTGACTGTGTATAACTGTTGGTGTGCACACCTCCTCTCACTGACAGCTCTGTCTGACTGTGTATAACTGTTGGTGCGCACACCACCTGTCTCTGACAGCTCTGCCTGACTGTGTATAACTGTTGATGCACACGCCTCCTGTCTCTGACAGCTCTGCCTGACTGTGTATAACTGTTGGTGCGCACACCACCTGTCTCTGACAGCTCTGCCTGACTGTGTATAACTGTTGATGCACACGCCTCCTGTCTCTGACAGCTCTGCCTGACTGTGTATAACTGTTGGTGCATACACCTCCTCTCACTGATAGCTCTGCCTGACTGTATAACTGTTGGTGTGCACACCTCCTCTCTCTGACAGCTCTGCCTGACTGTATATAACTGTTGGTGCGCACACCTCCTGTCTCTGACAGCTCTGCCTAACTGTATAACTGTTGGTGTGCACACCTCCTCTCACTGATAGCTCTGCCTGACTGTGTATAACTGTTGGTGCGCACACCTCCTCTCACTGACAGCTCTGCCTGACTGTGTATAACTGTTGGTGCACACGCCTCCTGTCTCTGACAGCTCTGTCTGACTGTGTATAACTGTTGGTGCGCACGCCTCCTGTCTCTGACAGCTCTGCCTGACTGTATAACTGTTGGTGCGCACACCTCCTCTCTCTGACAGCTCTACCTGACTGTATAACTGTTGGTGTGCACACCTCCTCTCTCTGACAGCTCTGCCTGACTGTGTATAACTGTTGGTGTGCACACCACCTGTCTCTGACAGCTCTGCCTGACTGTGTATAACTGTTGATGCACACGCCTCCTGTCTCTGACAGCTCTGCCTGACTGTATAACTGTTGGTGTGCACACCTCCTCTCTCTGACAGCTCTGCCTGACTGTATATAACTGTTGGTGCGCACACCTCCTGTCTCTGACAGCTCTGCCTAACTGTATAACTGTTGGTGCGCACACCTCCTCTCACTGACAGCTCTGCCTGACTGTGTATAACTGTTGGTGCACACGCCTCCTGTCTCTGACAGCTCTGTCTGACTGTGTATAACTGTTGGTGCGCACACCACCTGTCTCTTGACAGCTCTGCCTGACTGTGTATAACTGTTGGTGCGCACACCACCTGTCTCTGACAGCTCTGCCTGACTGTGTATAACTGTTGATGCACACGCCTCCTGTCTCTGACAGCTCTGCCTGACTGTGTATAACTGTTGGTGCATACACCTCCTCTCACTGATAGCTCTGCCTGACTGTATAACTGTTGGTGTGCACACCTCCTCTCTCTGACAGCTCTGCCTGACTGTATATAACTGTTGGTGCGCACACCTCCTGTCTCTGACAGCTCTGCCTAACTGTATAACTGTTGGTGTGCACACCTCCTCTCACTGATAGCTCTGCCTGACTGTGTATAACTGTTGGTGCGCACACCTCCTCTCACTGACAGCTCTGCCTGACTGTGTATAACTGTTGGTGCACACGCCTCCTGTCTCTGACAGCTCTGTCTGACTGTGTATAACTGTTGGTGCGCACGCCTCCTGTCTCTGACAGCTCTGCCTGACTGTATAACTGTTGGTGCGCACACCTCCTCTCTCTGACAGCTCTACCTGACTGTATAACTGTTGGTGTGCACACCTCCTCTCACTGATAGCTCTGCCTGACTGTGTATAACTGTTGGTGCGCACACCTCCTGTCTCTGACAGCTCTGCCTGACTGTGTATAACTGTTGGTGCGCACGCCTCCTGTCTCTGACAGCTCTGTCTGACTGTGTATAACTGTTGGTGCGCACGCCTCCTGTATCTGACAGCTCTGCCTGACTGTATAACTGTTGGTGTGCACACCTCCTCTCTCTGACAGCTCTGCCTGACTGTATAACTGTTGGTGTGCACACCTCCTCTCTCTGACAGCTCTGCCTGACTGTGTATAACTGTTGGTGTGCACACCACCTGTCTCTGACAGCTCTGCCTGACTGTGTATAACTGTTGGTACGCACGCCTCCTGTCTCTGACAGCTCTGCCTGACTCTGTATAACTGTTGGTGTGCACGCCTCCTGTCTCTGACAGCTCTGCCTGACTGTGTATAACTGTTGGTGCGCACGCCTCGTGTCTCTGACAGCTCTGCCTGACTGTGTATAACTGTTGGTGCACACGCCTCCTCTCACTGACAGCTCTGTCTGACTGTGTATAACTGTTGGTGCGCACGCCTCCTCTCACTGACAGCTCTGCCTGACTGTGTATAACTGTTGGTGCACACGCCTCCTGTCTCTGACAGCTCTGTCTGACTGTGTATAACTGTTGGTGCGCACGCCTCCTGTCTCTGACAGCTCTGCCTGACTGTATAACTGTTGGTGCGCACACCTCCTCTCTCTGACAGCTCTACCTGACTGTATAACTGTTGGTGTGCACACCTCCTCTCACTGATAGCTCTGCCTGACTGTGTATAACTGTTGGTGCGCACACCTCCTCTCACTGACAGCTCTGCCTGACTGTGTATAACTGTTGGTGCACACGCCTCCTGTCTCTGACAGCTCTGTCTGACTGTGTATAACTGTTGGTGCGCACGCCTCCTGTATCTGACAGCTCTGTCTGACTGTGTATAACTGTTGGTGTGCACACCTCCTGTCTCTGACAGCTCTGTCTGACTGTGTATAACTGTTGGTGCACACGCCTCCTGTCTCTGACAGCTCTGCCTGACTGTGTATAACTGTTGGTGGAAAGTGCTTGCTCTTCCTCCAGCCTGGGGTGTCTCACTCATGACCCCGCCGCACACTGACATGGTCTCTGTTGTGCTCAGGTGTGACTACTGCAGCAAAGGCTTTAAGAAGTCCAGCCACCTGAAGCAGCATGTGCGCTCACATACAGGGGAGAAGCCCTACAAGTGCAAGCTCTGCGGACGTGGCTTCGTCTCCTCTGGGGTCCTCAAGTCCCACGAGAAGACGCACACCGGTCAGTCTGCCTTGCGCTGGGCACAGTGCAGTTCCGTGTGTTCACAGGTTGTGTTATCCCCCAGCCCCATTCTAGAGCATTCTCGTCACGCCCCAGAGGAACCCCCTACTTGCCTCCACGCCCAGCCCCTGGCAGCCGCCGCCATCTTCCTATCTGTGGACTGGCCTCCTCTAGGCATTTCCCATCAGAGGAGCCAGGCGACCCATGGCTTTTTGTGGCTGGCTTCCGTCCCTCAGCAGGCGCTCAGGGTTCGTGTGTTGTAGCTTGTGTCCCACTCCAGTCACGTTATGGCCGAGTCAGAGTCCACTGTGTGGGGAGACCACATCCTGCTCGTCCACTCATCATTGTTGGACCGCTGAGCTATTGCCAGTGTTTGGCTCTCAAACTTGTTTAAAGCCTGGGCTTGATCAAAACCACTTTCCAGAGGGGCTATGCCATTTTCCTTGCCCATCAGCACTGATTTCACATCTTGTCAGCATGTCCTGTGGTCTGTCTGCTTCATGATGACCATCCTTAGAACACATGACATCAGCTTCCATCCCTTAAAGTAACCTCCTCCTAAGACACGCTCGGTCCCTAAGAGATTGGAGGCCACAGCAAGCAAATGGCCTTCAGTTCTGTGCTGAATGAGTGCATCCTCGTTTACGCTGACATGTGGCTTCAGGTAGTGAAGTGTGTCTTCACGTCGTTTGTCGTCGCAGGAGTCAAGGCCTTCAGCTGCAGCGTGTGCAGCACCGCCTTCACTACCAACGGCAGCCTCACCAGGCACATGGCCACACATGTGAGCGCAAAGCCCTACAGGTGTCCGTTCTGCGAGCAGGGCTTCCGGACCACAGTGCACTGTAAGAAGCACATGAAGAGGCACCAGACAGCTGCCTCGGTCGGGTCCGCGCCAGGAGATGAGGACGGAGGAGGTACTGCCCCTTGGCTGATTTTGGTTTATTAACCGGAGCTTTAGTGGCTCGTTCACTTCAAAGGTGATTGGTGCATGAGCATTTCCCTTTCCGATTATGGAAGCAGTACATGCTCTTTGAAAGAAAGGTTCGGGAAGGCACGAACAGGACATCGTTTATCTCACTGGTCACGTCGCACCACAGTGCCAGCGTCACGCAGGGCACAGTCTCCCTCCTGTGCACACACGCACGTGTAGGTGGGTCTCAGTTCCTTAACCCACAGGGAGTCAGACCCCATGCAGTGCTGGCGTCCACTTCACCTTGCCCCACTGATGTTCACCGCAGACACTGGTCACTGGGGGGCACAGGCCTGCCTCAGTGTGCACAGCTGCACTGACTCTGTTGTGGTTCACGACATGAGTGCCTGTTATGGAGGCGCAGCAAGTGCCCAGGGTTTCCGTGTGGCAGGGAGAGCGCCCCCCGCGGCACTGTGCCCACCACGTGTGTGCTCTCAGCCTGAGGGACACGACGCCATGTGCAGCTCAGTCAACATTAGACGAGGCTTTACCCCGTCCCCATGCTGAGTGCAGTAATCCTGAGAGTGTTACTTCGTGCTTACACTTTGTGTTCTTACCAGATGATTTCTTCTGAGCAATTCCACGAGTGAAATTACAGTGATAGGAATGTGCAACATGCATGTATTTTGACATGTTGACGTGATGCCAGTGCACGGCATTTTAACTTTTGTAACTGACGTTGTCCCAAGCACAGTGTGAGTCGTGCCGTTTTGCACGGTGTCCTGGGCCTGGGCTCCTGTCTGTGCTGTGTGTTTACAGCGCCAGCGCCTGATGTCTATGGCATGGACGTGCTGCGCAGGGGGCACGACGGGAGGACTGTGAGTGGGTTGGTAGCTCCCTCCTCTGGCTCTGCCCACCGTCCACTTGGCTATTTAGTGTTTCTCTTGTTCTTTTAAACGTGTTTTAGCCATCTGTGCAGTAATGATGTCCCTTCTCTCCCCCAGCCAAAGCTTTTTTCCCTCTCAGTGACATTTTAACAGCAGCTTATTCCTATTTTTAATGAATGTAAATATGTCCTTACATTTCACTGAGAGAATACTTAAACACACATGTTTTTAAGTGTGTTTTTTTTTTTCCTTTCGGTAAGTCTTTTTAATTGAGAGCTGTTTGCTGATTATCAGTTCTGTCTCTCTGGGCTGCTTGTTTTCTCAGGCTAACTCCCTTTGTGCCATACTGGTGAACGCTCGTCTGTGAGTGTGAACATGTTGACTCATGTGGATGCTGGTGTCACAGCTCACCACTGGCCTGGCTGCAGGGGTGGGGGCACCGTGGCCTCGGCATCCTCCCCGTCAGTGATCCCTCTGCCGGGGCGCCGCCTTCCCAGTACCACTCCTTTACCAGGGACTGTGGGCCCCTTCTCCATAGGCAGTGGTGAGAAGAAACCCTTTTCCATCCCACAGATAACTGAGCTGCAGATTCTAACCACCTACATTTAAGGTCTATGTTCATTTTCAGTGGGTCTGCCATGACTCAGTGTCCCTTAGGAGCTGGTCCCTTGTCCTGTGTGTCGTTTAGAGATGGGTCTGGAGGAGGAGGAGGACGGCTCCGAAAGAAGCACGTCCAGGAAGGCACGTCCCGAGGTCATCACCTTCACTGAGGAGGAGACGGCGCAGCTGGCCAAGATCCCGCCGCAGGAGAGCGCCACGGTCTCGGAGCAGGTGCTGGTACAGTCGGCTGCTGAGAAGGACCGCATCAGCGAGATGAAGGACCGGCAGGCCGAGCTGGAGGCGGAGCCCAAGCACGCCAACTGCTGCTCCTACTGCCCCAAGAGCTTCAAGAAGCCCAGTGACCTGGTTAGGTGCGGCGGCCAGTGGCTCCGGTGTGGGGGTGGTGCCCGGGCCCCCTCGCTCCCCCTGGTGTGCTGTCTGAACCCGGTGCCCTGAGGGGCACCCCGCTTTCTCCAGCTGCGTTCCGGGCTGGGGCGTGTTAGAGGCTTCCCTCAAGCTTCTCCAGTGCATTAGTACAAAGCCTGCTTACTCTGTAGGTTCTTCCCTGTGCTTTTTTCTGTGTGACTGTGGTGGAAGTGAAAAAAGTTAAGTGTTACCAAGGACATCAGGCCCTGAGATGATGGCCCCGGGTGCCACCTGCCCATAGCCCAGGGGGAGGGCCCTGGGGTGGGGCGGTGATTGACTGAGTTCTGGCAGCTCAGGGGAGATGGCTGGGGAGGTTCCTGGGAGGAAGGCCACTGTGCAGTGCTCCCAGACCTTGGAAAGCTCCTTACAGACAGCACGGCGGACACTTGGCTCTGCTTAAGGAGATGGAACTAACAGGGAGGGTAGAGGGTGACGGAGAGGAAGCGCTGTCGGGGTTGAGGATGGGTGGTGATAGAGCCGGCTGCTTCGGGAGCTCCAGCAGGTGTCCTCCCGTCCTCTTCACACAGGACAGGAGGGCTGGGGGACTTGAGGCGCTGCTGGGTTGGAAGTGCCCATCTGAGCGTGGCCAGCAGCCTCCAGATCCCTGTTGATGAACGCCTAGTTCTCGGTGCTGAGTCCCACCGCCCTGTGCTCTGCGGGCACCTGTGTGGGTGCGGGGTCAGGGCTGATGCCTGCCACCACAGGCCTCAGGCCGGTGCTGTTTCTGGCCCCCAGTCCTTGAATGCCTGCCCCCTGGCCACCTGCCAACAGTGGGTCATCAGACGGGCGGGACAGCAGCATCTTGTCATCTTAACTGGCTCCCTTTGATTCTGAGTCTGGGAAAATACCTTTTCATATGGCCTTTGGATGCGTGTGTTTCTTTTCTAAGCTTCCTGTCTGTTGCCTACTTTTCTCCTGTGATATTTGTTGTCTTGCTGCTGATCTTTAAGAGCTCTTTGGTTTTTAAGAAAATCAGCCTTGTTATCATTGGTCTTGCAGTTACTTTTTTGTTGGTGGTATTTTTTTATATAGAGTAAAGCTGAAAATTTTTGTTTTTTATGAGAATTTTTATTTTGCTGAATTTATTTAGTACATTGATGGTGTTTAGTTGATCAGTTGTGTCCCACTGTTTGCAAGTCACTCTTTGAACTGTAGCCCGCCAGTCTCCTCTGTCCATGGAATTCTTCAAGCAAGAATACTGGATTGGGTTGCCATTCCCTTCTCCAGGGGATCCTTCCAACCTAGGGATTGAACCCTCGTCTCCTGCATTGCTGGCAGATTCTTTACCACTGAGCCACCAGGGAAGCCATATTGATAGCTATAAATTTAAAAGCATTAGGTTGTTTGTAACATCTAATTGCCAATGCTTCCCGTCTAGGCATGTTCGAATCCACACTGGAGAAAAGCCATATAGATGTGAGGAATGTGGGAAGAGCTTCACAGTGAAGTCCACCCTAGACTGCCACGTGAAGACTCACACAGGTAGGAGCAGACGCCTGCATGTTGCTCCGTGCCTCCCGACAGCATCTTATACTTGTTCCTGTGCATTTTGAACACACAGACTTGTCAAGGTTATAGAAAGCTTAAAAATCAGGAGTCATGAAGAAATGAATGTAAAAGATTTGAGATTCCTGATCTAGCACTGAAGGAAAGGATCTGGGTCTCCAGTGTGGAGTTACCGGTCGTCATTCAGACTTAAATACCTGTGTTAGTTAGAAAGATTACCTTCTGGTCTGGTTCAGGCTGAGAAGAGGATGGTGATAGGCAAACTCACCCTTTCTAAAAGTGGGGAGCAGAGACCCTGATGCAGGGTGCAGTGTGCCTCTGTGTTGTGAAAGATGGAACTCCGAACTCAGGTCCTAAACAGTGACCTTGACTTACTTTTAAGTTTTCCAGCCACATGTCCTGCAGGAGCCAGGGTCCTGGGAGCACGGGGGTGGGGGTGGGAGTGGGGAAGATGGCCGAAGCACATGGGTCCTAGGCAGGAGGGGAGGAAGGGCGGGGCGGGGCCCGGCGGGGGGGGGGGGGGGGGAGGGGAGGGGAGGTGGGGCGGGGCGGGGCCCGGGGAGGGGTGGGAAGGGAGGAGGCAGGGGTGAGTCCTCTGCCGGGCTGACTCTGGACTCTCCCCCAGGCCAGAAGCTCTTCAGCTGCCACGTGTGCAGCAACGCCTTCTCCACCAAGGGCAGCCTGAAGGTGCACATGCGCCTGCACACGGGCGCGAAGCCCTTCAAGTGCCCGCACTGCGAGCTGCGCTTCCGCACGTCGGGGCGGAGGAAGACGCACATGCAGTTCCATTACAAGCCGGACCCCAAGAAGGCCCGGAAGCCTGCGACCCGGGCGGCGGCCGAGGGCACGCAGCCCGTGAGCGCGCCCCCCGCACCCTCCACCGACCCCGGCGTGTTCATCATGAACAGCCCGGTGCTGACCGGGCAGCTGGACCAGAGTCTACTGCAGCCTGGCCTGCTGGGCCAGGCCGTCCTCCCAGCGTCAGTGTCAGGTGGGCCGCGCGTGCTGGAGGCGCGGGTTGAGGCTGCGGGACGACTCATGCGCTGTGTCCACCCAGCCGACTTCCACGCTTCCCTTCCTGAGATTTTCCCAGGAAGCAGTGGGAAGGTGGAATTCCATCTTTCAGACGTGCTATCTTTCCGTTTTCCATTCTCTCTACCATCCTTTCTGCATTTTAGTCAGCTGTTTGGTCTGTTGGGCTTAAAGCTGTCTATTTCTAGGTATCCTCAAAACTTAACAGACATAATTTATTACCGCTCTTAAGCCTTATTTTTAATACACTGCAATTATTGAATTGCTCTTGGGTCATAGTAGTGTTTGAAAAGCATTACATTTTAGTCAGGTAATATTTACTAATAATATTAAATAAACATTAGCTTTTGTGTACTTAAAAGCAGTGAAGCAAATGTTCATATTTACTGGATGTCTTAAGTGGCTGTCTCTCTGTCTAATGACCCATGGCACAGTTAAAGCCCAGTAGAATAATAGCATTGTCTTCCGTTGTGGACTTAATCAGGGTGATCTCTCTGAGCCTCGTTTCCTGATGTGTTAAAGATGGATGTTACCTGTTTCACAGGGTTTGTTTTGTGACAGTTAAGTTGGACACGTGTTAGTGGTGCTGTTCAGACATTCAGTCACTCAGTCGTGTCCGACTCCTTGCGACCCCACGGACTGCAGCACGCCAGGCTTCCCTGTCCTTCACCATCTTCCAGAGTTTACTCAAACTCATGTCCATTGAGTTGGTGATACCATCCAACCATCTCATCCTCTGTCTCACCCCCTTCTCCTGCCCTCCATCTTTCCCATCATGTATTTATATATGTATGATATAAAGTAAATAATAGTATTTGTTAACTGTTTCATACTGATATGTGTGTAAAACATACTTGGAAATCCTTGTATAGCGTTGAGTTTTTTCTATTTAAGAAGGTTTCTGGCATCCCTGTTGCCTCTTGCAGCTGGTGGTGACTGGACAGTGTCTTTGACGGACGGGAGCTTGGCCACCCTGGAAGGCATACAGCTACAGCTGGCAGCTAACTTGGTGGGGCCCAATGTCCAGATCTCTGGGATCGACGCCTCCACTGTCAATAACATCACGCTGCAGGTATGACACCTGCTCAGCGCCTCTGAACTTCCCAAGTCTGAGTCATACTCCACGTGACTTTTCCATTACAAGGCCCTCTGTGCTTTCAGATTGATCCGAGTGTCCTGCAGCAGACCCTACAGCAGGGCAACCTGCTTGCTCAGCAGCTGACCTCGGAGACTGGCCTGACCCCGCAGGGCAGCTCCCTGCAGACACCGGACAGTACGGTCCCGGCCAGCGTGGTCATCCAGCCCATCTCAGGCCTGTCCCTGCAGCCCACGGTGACTTCTGCCAACCTGACCATAGGCCCGCTTTCGGAGCAGGACTCGGTGCTGACCACCAGCAGCAGCGGTGAGAGCTTATGCGTGGCTGGTCCTGGCAGCTGGGCTCCAGCTCGCTGCTCACAGTCACACACTTGACCCTAAGATGCTGTTTTCTTCTCTGTGTGAAGCTTAACAAATGCATCACATGTCCTGAGAACGCAGTAAGCTTTTTTTTTAAGGATAAATGATGTTTAACCAATACTTGCACAGAGATTATTGCATTCATAGAACTGGCTTCCTATTTCAACATAAGAGTTTTCTCTCATTTTTTTTAAATCATTTTAGATGAAGGACCTAGAGATGACTGATACTGTGTTTCGAATCTTACAAAGTCTTAGTTTTGCTAAAGTTTTAATAGGAGAAAGGAGAGCATTATGATATTTTAAGCCCAGCTTTGTTCTGTTTTATAACGGTGACCAGGGACACAAGACCTCTCTCAGGTGATGACCTCACAAGGCCTGGTCTCCACCTCCGGCGGCCCCCATGAGATCACCCTGACCATTAACAACTCAAGCCTGAGCCAGGTGTTGGCCCAGGCTGCTGGGCCAGCTGCCGCGTCGTCCTCGGGGCCTCCACAGGAGATCACCCTGACCATCTCTGGTGAGTCTTCAAGTTTTTAAAATCTGTTCACCTGCAGTTTAAGTAAATCTTAAATGTTTTTTTTTTGTTTGTTTTTTCCTGTGAGACTAAGCTTTGCATAAATCCTGTGCTTCAGGAAGTGTTTGTAATTTATCTGGGAAACTCTGTTTAGTGAAATGTTCCTGCGGTTCATATCTCATGGCAGGAATTAAACATGGTGGTTCCCCATGCCACTTCTAGTTTGAGCCAGTTAGTTTGGTTCCATATTTTTTGTTTAATCAAGAGCAGAAAACCGTACTTCATAAATGCTTGTCATGCTCCTTTGAACTGAAGGAGTGTAATTGGTTTAAGTGTATACTTTTGGTACCCCAGAGCATTACAGACACCCACTCTCCTTACCTTTCAGAATTCTTCTCGGATCATGTAGAAAATAACGATAGAAAAATAGGTAAGTGGGTAGAAAACACCCTTTGGCAGCGCAGGCCCCTGGGCCGGCCTGCCGAGCCTCCGTGTCGGTCACCAGGCCTGTGATGCTCGCCGTCAGACCGCCCCCTCGTCTCGTCTGAGTTAGCTTGGAGCGCAGTTTACAGGTGTGCCTTGTCCACATACTTCTTAGCTATGAACTCTGTGTTAACTGAGCAATTCTTAAATTTAGCAACAGCTTTTTTGACCCTTATTGTGCCCCAGGTCCTATTCTAGTAACTTTGATAAATATTAACTCATTTAAGTCTTATACAAACAACCTTGTGAGCTTTTGTTTTTTTCTTTTCTTCTTTTTTTTTTTTTTTTAAATATCTTGCTGGGAGTCAGAGTAGCCTCCCTGGAGTTCCAGTGTGATTGCAGGAAGCACTGTGTTTTCCCTGACAGTGCTGGGGGTGTGGTGGCTGGACCCTGGGCACAGACCCAAGAGAGGTCTGCAGAGTGTCGCCTCTGTTCCATGAGGCTTCTGCAGAAACCATTATTGGCATAGCGCAGTTATTGAGAAGGAAACCAAAAGCTTTCTCTTTTAAGAGGTGTCTTTATTCCTTTCAATTTGTGAGAGAAATTGGAGGAACTGTTCCTAGATGGAGCTCTTTAGTGACAAGCACTGATTTTTAGGTTCTAATATGCAGCAAAAATTAACTTATCTAATCCAGCAACCTTCTTCTGTCTGTGTATATATATATGTGTGTGTGTGTGTGTGTGTGTATTTGAATTTTAGTGTTGGAAATGGAAGAGTTAGTTTAGGAAAGCTATTTTGTTAATCAAATTAACTTTTTTTGAGTAATCTCAGTTTTAGAGGTGTTTTGCTAGTCCTAAACAAAAAGCACAAAGTGTGGGATTCTTGCTTATGGTTCAGAAAATTTGGTTTTTTGTTTGTTAGTGGATTGTGCATCTGTTTCTCCTGTCTTTTCCTATATTGATCATTCAGTTATTTTATTGCTTTCTAGTGTATTTGATGAATATAATTTTAAAAAAAATTAGCTTAAAAGGTTTATCATAGGAGAAATCTTAATTAGTTGATGAAACTGATGAAGTTTGCCCAAACTTTAAAGGCCTAAGATTTATCTCCTGTCTCCTCATTATTGTATGTGTTGAGCATGGGCTCTGAGGACTCCTAAGCCAGCAGCTTCTTAGCCTACTCCGAGAAGTCTGAAAGAGCTTTTAATTTGTGGCCACTTATAGAGATTTTCAGTTATTTTGTAGAATGTTCTTTTTTTCCATGAGTACATGGAATTATACATGCTTGTGAATGCTAGAATACAAATGTTACTTCAGTTAAGTTGTGTAGACCTTTCAGCAATTCATAGGAAGAGAAGTAAACATTGGGTGAAGATGAGGACTGTGGTCGGTCTCCCCGACTGTCTTACACAGTAAGAGCGCTCCTACCTGGTGACTCTAGTCCAGTTATTCACAAACAGCCTTTTCGAGCAGAGAGGAGAGTGATGCCACGTGGTTGTGAGCCTTTCCCCGCAGGCCTCTGGCTGCAGTCTGCTCTGCTGGTGGGAGCTGCGTTTCCCATCTCGCTCACACCTCCGCCGTTGCTCAGCAATCTGCGCTTGCAGATGTGCGCCGGTGTGGCGCAGGGCTGCCGGCTCTGGTACAGCCTAGTGCAGCATCCATTCTGTCTTTTTGCCCTCCAGTTTCGTATATTTGTTTTGCTTCCACCTGGCTTGACAATAGATTTTTTTTAAAGCAGCTTGTCTTTGCCAAGTCTTTTCGAAGCATTCAGCCTGGTTTTCATTGAAAAGGCAACAGGTTTTTGATGTTCCTGTTCCTCTATTTGCTCACTGCTTGATCATGTTATGAGATTATGAAACTAATGAGGCTGGTGGAAGCCTGAGTCTCCTGGTGGGAGGACGTCACGGTGTGTGCAAGCCTACTGTATGTGTCCAGGGTGCTGTGGGGCAGAGAGCTTCCTGCAGCAGAGCTGCCATGGCTGCCGCCCTCCTGTCCCTTCATCAGGCCCCCGAGGCTCCAGCTGGTCGTCCGCCATGTTGGGAAATAGTCCCAATTCTGTTTAAGTTGTATTCAACAAAGCATGTAGCCATAAGTGCTTAAACACGGAATTAAAGTAGAGCTGTTAAGAGTTACTTAGAAACTTCATAGGTTAAAACATGTGGACAGATACTTTCACTGAGGGCAATGCATTTCACAGTCTTTTCATTTTTTTGTATAAATGTTAAAAATGAGATAGCTTTCATTTTTAGAGGGATGTTGTTATATGTTTAGCACACTTAGCAGTGTGTAAGTTAACATGTTACTTTCAGATATCACAACATTAATTTCTGTTTAGGTCAAGATCTTATTCAACACAGTTCTAATGGAAGTAGTGAACTAAATGGAAGCATAAGATTGTCAGCACCTACAATCAATAATCAATCCACAGGTGCCACCTTGACGATAAGCAATGATCAGCTTCTCTCGCAGAGTGCAACGTTGAACTCTTCAGGTATGCAGTGAACAACCGAAAGGCTTCTTAACGTGTCCGTCGAAGGGCTGTGTGCGTCCTCAGTGGGAAGGGCTACCTGTCCTTCCAGGTGACAGCTGTGCCGGCTGCCTGTTATGCGTTTGGTGTAATTCCTGATGATTAGAGGCTCCTGTGTAATTCTGGGACCCAGAACTCTCTCAAGTATTACTGACCTTTCAGGGTTGTTCCTGCCTTCTGCAGAGTAAAGGTAAATGGTCTTGGGCAAGTGTTCGAGGCGTCGTGTGTGTCTGCAGGCCGGCCCCAATGGCTCCATCACACCCAGGCTCTGAAAGGCTCTCAGGCTCTGTGCTCTGTGCTCTGGGGGGTGAACCCTGTGCTACATTGTCCTGAGCGTACGATGGCAGAATTATTTGTAAAAGGCTTCTTTCTCAGGTTTCAAAGTGTTGACTTTAATAAAAAGTAAAAGTAAATGGGCTCCATCAAAATCAAAGTGCCACAGCTTCAGTGCCACGAGGCTTTGCCTCACAGGTGACGCCCCTATTTTCTGGACCTGACAGAGCGTCCATTCCCTCCTCAGCCCTCTTGTTTGACAGCCCTGTATTTTTTTTTCTTTTAGAGGGTCAGGCTTCATCTTTAGGTCTGTGTGGCTCTTCTCAGTACCCAGAGCAGACTTGCTTTCCTGCTCGCTTGGCGTGCCTTTTTACCAGCTGGTGGTCCGTTCCCCACAGAGCGCGGTGCCTGCCTCGTGCTGAGCGCGCCTGAAGGGCGGCGCCAGGCAAGGCAGCTGCGGGCCCCTGCATTTTGGAGCCCAGGAACTAGCAGGGCGCCGGCACTGATCGCGGAGTCCACGTGGCAGTACAGGGTGACAGCCAGTGCCGCACGGGAGGGAAGGCCGCCCCGAGTGCAGGTCACAGGGTCGGTGGGCTGACCTGGGCTTGGTGGCGTCCCGCGGGGATGCGCGTCCCCCGCCAGGGAGGCTCCGGGAGCCGTCCGTGCTGGGGCGGGCCGTGAGCCGAGGGCTGCGTGCGGTCAGGGTCCATTAGGACCCCGAGGGGCTTCCCGACCACCCTCCCCTCTGCTGAAGGGGTGCTTGAGAGCCTTGTCAGCACCTCGTGTTGGTGGACTGGGGCGGATCCACAGCCCGGGCTTCTGACGGTCGTTTCCACCTCTCCCCTCTGTTTTCCTGTCTCTGCTTTGGACTCACTCTGTCCCTCCTTCGTTGGTTTGTTGTTTAATTTTGGGGTGCTAAGAGTTGTGTCATAGAACTGCATTCTTTCACCTATTAATTTGAAGTGAGAAGCTTCATGTTTAGCTTTCAGTTAAGGGGAGTTTTCGGTTCTGATTTCATCTGTGATGGTAAGACATCTGCAGTATGTCATGCTGCTAAAGGCACATAGCATACTTGTTTCTGGAGATGTTTCCTGACGTGATTTGTGTCTGGCTATAAAGGACCAGTTCTCACCGCCTCCAGGGCTCTGACATCTCTCCCACCCTACGGAGTGCTTACGTGAAGCGACAGGAGGCTCTGCGTCTCCTGTTTGGCCCCAGTGCCTGCTGTCACGCTCTGGTGGCGGTTTCTGTTCCAGAACATTTGGGGTCGGGCCTCCTGCTTCCCTGAGGAGCAGCCTGCTACAGCTGGGAGGACCGTCCACCCCCTCGGGGGCTCTGCAGGGACCGTCCGTCCCCTCGGGGGCTCTGCTGGGACTGTCCACCCCCTCGGGGGCTCTGCAGGGACCGTCCATCCCCTCGGGGGCTCTGCTGGGTGTCTTTAGCGAGTCTTGGGCCAGTCAGTGGAAAGACAAGGAGAGTCTTGGGTGCATCCATCTAAACGGAGTGGCGTCTTGCGTGGCTTGGTGACACCGGCAGGCATTCGTTGAGAGAGCAGTTCCTTCAAGCTGGCGATGTTCCAATCGGGAGGCGCAGGGGGTCGGGGAAGCCTCATGCGGAGGGCTCTGCCCTGCTGCCGGCCCGTCTTCAGCCCTGTGTGCTGTCGGTCCTCAGGCGTCCCGGCTGGAACGCCCCCGTGCGGGGCTGGGCGATGCTGCGCGGGCCAGGACGGCGGCGGGCGGTGCGCGGCCTCGACGCGTGCCCGGATGTTTCTGTAGAAGCGGCGAGCACGCCCCTTTCTCCTGGTTTAGGTTTTCTTTTGTTTAGACCGTTTTAGAGCCGCCTGAGAGCTTTTCTCTCTCCTTCTCTTCGATGCCCCTGTAATTTAACTTGGTGTCTCATTAAAAAAAATTTTTTTTCAGGAGTTTAATATTATAAAAGACATGCTCATAATTAAAGGATATTTGTGTCAGTTATTATAAATACAGGATTAATTTCATATAAACACTTAGTTGCACTGTTAACTTAAATACCTTCGGTCCCTTTGGATAATCCTTACTGTAGGCAAAGATTCTTCACAGGTTGAACCACTCGATCTGTGGTGCCAAGCAGATGTTTTTAGCGAGGTTTGCACATTCCACTAGAGCTCATTAAGTACCTGGTCTCATCTACTATACCTTATTGTCAAGAGACTGTGTCCTAATGGGCAACATTTACTTTCGAGTCAGTCCCGGACCCAGCTTCAGGCCACGAGTAAGAGCTGAAATGGAAATGACTTGGAGATTAAATGTGCCTCTTGTAGGATGAGCACCAGAATGCAGTCACTCAGTGTGACCCTGACAGTTACGCTGCAGGCCCGCCGTCTCCGCGGGAGGAAGGGGACGCGGTGGGCGTCTGTCTTCATACTCCATGTGAATGGGACGTGGTCAGGGCTGGTCGGCTTCCAGAGCAGCATGGGCTCCTCGCATCATAGTGGGGAGACGGCTGGTACCGCCGTTTAGGGGTTAAACATGATCTGAAGTGTGACCGTGAGTCAGTTTCACGTCTGGAGTGAAGCACATGTGGTTGTTCTGCTGTGTGCCCGGCTTTGGAGGCTGTTTCTGAGTCAGTTCCAGGTTATACCCCTGGTGAATGGTTTTCCTAGAGAACTAGTCCGAATGTGTTGTCAGTATTCTTTGGGAGGCAGAAAGTCGTTACTGATGATAAAGGTCTGAATTTAGCACAGCTTTTTAAGGAATTTATTTTAAGTGGGTATTACCTTTTGGTCTTCCATTAGTCCATTTTTAAGATAATTTTCGTGAAGAAATCAAATTCTTCTTTCAGTGAGAGAAGAGATCGGTTTTTTGTTTCCTAGTTCTTTGTGAGGTTATTTTAGTTTTAACCCCTGTTTCTCCTAGACTTAAGTACAGTTATATATGACTGTGTGACCCTATGGACGGTAGCCCACCAGGCTCGTCTGTCCATGGAATTCTCCAGGCCAGGGTATTGGAGTGGGTTGCCATTTCCTCCTTCAGGGGATCTTCCCAGCCCAGGGATTGAATCTGTGTCTCCTGCATTGCAGGTGGATTCTTTACCAGGCTCTTTTCAGTCATATGGAGGCTTGCGGTGCTTGAGCCAGGATTGTCCTCCTTGTGGGAAATGTCTTGAGTGTTCCTTGGGGCTCGCTCACCACAGTGTCTGGTTGCAGTGTGGACTCCAGCCCTCCCTGCAGTTGCTTGGTGTCCTCTCCGGGCCCGGGGTCGGGGTGCCACGTGGTTAGTGGCCCTGCTTGCGCTGTCTCTGCTCTCCTGGGCTACCCGTCCTTGGCCCGTCGCTTGCTCCGACAGTCGGCAGAAGGTCAGCTGTCGCTTCTGGGTCGCTTTGTCTCAGGAGTCAGGGCAAGGTGTGGCGTCCCGGCCCTCTGCCCCAGGTGCGCCTGCCGTGAGCGGTTTGCTCTTCTCCCAGCTGCGGCTCTCTCCCGAGTGATGCCGATGGAGCCCCTGCTCCGCTGGCTGGGCCCGGCCAGAGGCTACAGTCCCTGTCCACGTCGCCCTCTCATTAGACTCACTCCTGCACGCCGCGTGTGAGCGTCCGGGCATGTGGAGGGCACGGCGGCGCAGGGTGCCACCCCTCCGCAGATCCACACTCCCCTCCGTCCCGGCGGGGCTGCGTGGGGGGGCTGGCAAGGTTCTCGGGAGCCGCGTGGTGCTTCAGAGCGGATGCACGCAGCCTCCTAATGGTTGTACTGCTTTTGAAGGTTCCAGGTCTGCGCGGCACAGTGTGCGAGTCCGGGAGTGTGGATCTGTGGAGGACGCCGGCCACAAGTAAGTAGCCTGGCCCCTGCCGCGCCTCGGAGCAGGCCCGGGGTCAGCCAGGCCCCGCGGCCGCGCGGTGTCTGTACCCAGGCGTCCCCAGACAGCGGTGTGTGGCGCTCTTTGGGAGGGCCAGTCCCGGGCCCTGGCACCGTGGCTGCAGCCAGTTGGCGCTGAGTCACCGTCAGGCCGGCGGAAGGACGGCCTGTGTGTGTACACGCGCATGTGCATGTGTGTCACGCTCACACGTGTCTTGGTTGGAGCCCCCCCAGGATCTGGGCCCTGACCCCACGCCGAGCCGTCTTGTTTGCCAGCAGGTGCATGAGTCTCTGTCGTGTGGAGAGAAGGCCCGTCTCTGCCCCGCCTGCCCCAGTGTCCTTTCTCGTAGTGGGCTGCAGAGGGAGTGGAGCAGTGCTCTGTTCTGCAGAGGGAGCTGGCGTGCCGTGCAGCATGAGTCAGGGCTCGGGGTGCCGCGAGGGCTGTTTGGACTGCCCGTGTCTCAGGCTAGGCAGACGTGCAGGGTAGTGGGGTCGTGAACGTGAGTGGAGTCGCCAGACATCCACTCTGGAGCGGGTCATTGCTCAGGGCCCTGATGAGGACGGGACCCTGGAAGTGCTTGTCTGAGTATCCTTCTGCGCTGGCCGCAGGGGCGGGACCGTGGGGTCACCTTTCCATTCTTCTTTTCCCTGCTTGTTCCTGTGTGTGATGCTGGAGGGGCAGAGTCCGTGTTCAGAGATACATGGGTATTCACGAAGGCCTTGAGGTAGCTTTGGAATCTTAGAAGCAATGGTCTTGGTGGTGCAGCCTCGTGAGCTTAGGGGTGTAGATGCTGACCGTGGCCAACTTCTTCCTCCATGAGAGCCGTCTTCCTGCACTGATCCCCGCGTGCTCTCACCGGCTTCTCCACTCATCTGTTCGCTTCACTTCTCTCGTAGAACTTAACGCCACAGCTGGAAGCCTGCCTCCCACGACGCCGCTGTCGCCATCTGCCGTCTCTGCGCAGAGCCTGGTCATGTCCTCGTCCGCGGTGGGGGCCGAGGCCAGCGTCACACTGACCCTGGCGGACACCCAGGGCTTGCTCTCCGGGGGGCTGGACACCGTCACGCTCAACATCGCTTCTCAGGTGGGTGCCATGGCCCCGCCAATGGGGTCTTCCCAGGAAACACCTACTTTCCTAGGTATCTGTTCAAAACACAACTGGTTGTTTTCCAAATAAGTTTAAAAAGTAATTTTTTGATACCAAATGGGAAATATAAGAAAATCCAAACAGTGCAGAAAAGCATAAGTAGTCCACCCCCCTAGACGGAACTGCAGTGAACGTCTGCATGTGTACATGCTTCTGGACATTTCTACGCACACACGGGTGCACGTGTTCTCGCTTTTACAGAAACAAGCTCGTGTGTATTGTGGAGTGTAAACTCTTCCCCCCTTGTTAATTTTACTGTGATTGTGTTCGCTTCAGTGATTTTAGCTGTGCAGACGTTTCAGTGACTGTGCGCCCTGTAGCTGAGGGCACCGGTGGGCTTCTAGGCACCCTGGCTGTTGTCAGTGGTGTGGGAATTCCAATACTCCTTGCTACTTAGGTTCTTAGATGAACCCCTGCAGTAGGTGTGCTGGATTGAAAGTTAAGATGCTGACAAACCTTCCTGAGCCCCGTTGGGAAAATCCTGAGAAGCGGTGATTAGCTCTGGTGAGGCAGCCGTGTGGAGTTCTGACCGGGGCTGCGCCTGCTGACCCCCACATGTACACCCTGCTGTGCGGAGGCTGTGGTGGGCAGGTGGCAGGGCGAGGCTCACCCGACTCTTGTCTGAGCCCCGCCTCCGCCTCCGGGCTCTGCGCTGCCGCGTGGGCTGTCTGCCCTGGGGGCGACTTGTTCCTCCCCATTCACACCGGTGACGCCACCTCGGCCTGCTCCTGGTCCGTCCGCATGGCAGGTGTGGCCGTGACGCACACCCTGTGCTCTCTGAGGCCCCCGCCAGCAAGCCCAGCCCTCCTGAGGGGACTCAGGACACACTGCACGCGAGGGCTCCGTCCCGGCCCACGAGAGTGCTCAGCCCCCCGGGCCCCCTGAGCAGTTGAGGAGACCCCACTCCCCTCAGCCAGTGCTCAGGCACTTACAGAATGCACGTGTGCCTGAGGAGTGGGAACTAGTGTGATTTCCACATCAGTGTAATCAAAATACAGCAAAGAAAACAATAGTCTGCAAGTAAGAATACGAACCAAAAATAAGTCATTTTTAGGTGATGTCCTTCTAGTGGATTCAAGTCACTACTTTTGTGAGTGTCACTAATTGTCAAGCATTTATTTTATCGGGCAGTTGGCTTTTAAATCAGGGCATTTGCATTGAGGATACTTAAATTAGCCATTGAGATACCAGTAATAAGCTAGTAAATGCCACTGTATTCACAATTTTTTGTTGTTGTTCTTGTTGCTTTTTGTTTTTGACTGGGCTGTGCAGCATGCCAGATCTTACTTCCCCAACTGGGGATCGAACCCCAGCCGGCTACAGTTGAAGTGCAGAGTCTTAACCAGTGGACCGCCAGGGAAGCCCCAGGGTTTTGTTTGTTTTTTTTAGCTTTTTTTTTTTTTTGAGATAATTGTGAATTTGCAGTCAATTAAAAGAAATAGCACAGATCCCGTGGACCGTCACTTAACTCAGTTCCCCCAGTGACAGCATCTTATGAAACCAGGGCATAGTGGCCAGCAGGTGTCCCCGTGTTTAGTGACAGCTGGGTGGGGTCATGTCGCAGCTTCTAAAGCAGTAATCTTCGCCGCAGGGTCAGCAGTTCCCAGCCTTACTCACGGACCCTTCTCTCTCGGGCCCTGGGGGCGCGGGCTCACCCCAGGTCATCTTGGTGAGCCCCCCTGCACAGTCGTCGTCTGCCTGTGAGGAGATCACCTACCAGGTACAGCACACGTGTTGTCTGCAGTCTCAAGGTTTTCGGAGCACCTCACTTCAGAAGGGGCGAGCCTTCGGCCGGGGCTCGGTGCGCCTGGGGCCGCGTGTCTGCAGAGGATGGGGAGAGCCGCCAGCCGGGGCTTGGTGTGCCTGGTAGCTGCGTGTCTTCCAAGGAGGAGCAGGCACCGAGCGCAGGGACCCGGGTGGACGCAGGGTTTCCTTCACTCCGTGACTCGAGGTCAGAAGGAGATGTTGTAACCAAAGCTGTGAGACCTGGTTTTCAGTTTAGCAGTGTCTCCTTGATTTGCCCACTGATAGATTGCATGTGGTCATTCCCTTGCATTTAGGTTTTTTTTGTTGGATTTCCTGTGATACCTTTGATGTTTCTTTCACGTCTTGTTATACATTTTCATAGGGATTTTCACGTGTCTGTACGTGACCTGTTTGTCATCTGACTAGTCTCTTTTCTTAAAATGCATTTGGGGGGGGGTGGACAAAACACTTAGTAAATGATAGTTCTAAATATAAAGAGTCTAAAAACGCCTAAAACTTTTCAGAAAAGTAAAATACTGATAATAAATCTCTGAATTTTTTTTTGAAGGATTAAATTTTATGCTTAAGCAGTTTTAGCAATTGGATTTTAAGGTAATTAGTTTTTGGTCTTTTGGTGAGACTAGGACTTCTTTCAAATAGAAATTAAATGTAATCAGCAATGGGAATTTCTCCCCATCTGGCCTGAGTAACCAGAGCCCATTTAGCTAGATTTTGGCTTGTGTAGCTGTTAACACAAGAGCACTTTCAAGTTCAGGGGTGCACTCACAGGTCTCAGGACTCAGAAAGGTCTGTTGTCCCTGTGGTTACAGTAAAGGTGACAGGTGCTGCATACTCCCGTCCCCTGAACGGAATGTCCGAGTCAGAACATGTCCTGTGTGTGTCCTAGTTTCTGTAACTGTTGATGAACAAGTGTCAGGGCCCCGGGGTTTTTAGTGGGTGTCCTTCCCTGTGTGTCATTTGTTTTATTGGGTGGGTTGTTTCCTGCAGTAACAGAGCAGCCTTGAGTGTCATTTATTCCCGATGGTTTTCAGCCTTTTTAAAAAAGACTCAGGAGAGAAGCAATTTTTGTGGGGAGCTGAGCACAGGAGTGTCTGTCGTTTCTTTTCTTCGCTCACACAGACGCTCCTGTGTAGACGCAGGCCCACCTGACACAGGAGGTGCAGGCCAATCGCTTTCCCACGGCGTGTGGCGTCCTTGCATCATCGGAACTATTCGAGTTTCATCCCTCCTTTTTTATAAACCGCGGCCGAGATTAGTGACAGCAGTTGGCAGGAGCCTGCAGTGGCCGCCGGGTGTTGTCTGGGAGCCGGGTCTCAGCGGCTCAGTTGGGATTCTGCCCTGTTGCAGGTGACGGACGTCTCCGCCAGCCTGGCCCCGGGCGGCGCGCCCGAGAAGGAGGCCCGGCTGCACGCGTGCCTGGAGTGCGGCTGCAGCTTCACCTCGGCCGGCCTGCTGCTGCAGCACAGCAAGGCGGCCCACGGGCGTGAGCGCATCCACGTCTGCCCCGCATGCAGGAAGGCCTTCAAGCGCGCCACGCACCTCAAGGTACGGCCCTGCCGCCAGAGCACAGGGGTGCCCATGCTGCGCTTTGGGTGGGGGCAGAGTGTGTGCACTCCGTCCTGCTGGGACGGGTCAGGTCCACTGTAGACACACACGGAGGAGAGGGCGAGGCGGGCTGGGTACTGGGACGTGGCTTCCAGGATGCCTGGCCGGGGCACAGCGCAGGGGCCGTGTGTCCGGGCCGGGGCACCGCCTCTGTGCTCAGTTACTGGAGCACCGGGCCCCACAGACGCCCAGGTGCACGCAGGGCCCAGGTCTCCTTCCTCAGGGCCCACCGAGGAGCCGCTCGAGCAGCAACCCAGCTTCTGTTTCCCAGGCCTGCAGCTGGCTACACCTCCCCCCTCCATTCCTGCCGTGTTTTCTGAGGTGGGAAACCCCAGTATTAATTACTATGCTTTGAAAAAGAGAACTCCACGTTTGTTTTTAAAAATGAAACACTGACCATCATAGCAGCTCTCCTTGCAGAGGCCACGGCCAGGAGGTTGGTGAGGTTGGGGTGCTGCCCATGACTCTCTGAATTTGACCCTGTCACTCAGACTGTCTGAGCTCTTGCTCAGGTCACGTGACACCGGGAGCTCCACTTTCCTAATAAAATACTCATGTCTGTCAGAGGAGTATAAAGTGCTTAGCTTTACACCCATAGTAGAGAGTACGGAAGTTATAGTCTGATAGAGAATAAATATTTTTAAAGAAGTAGAAGAATAAAAATGGTTAGAGAAAATTTAAATCATACACGTACCTAAGGCGTAGCTCGCTCTCCCGTGACCATTCTGGGGTGGCGTGTTACAGACAGACCACCTTCCCCTGAGAATCCTGGCGGATGCTGACTGCTCCATCAGAGTCGGTGCAGTAGTGGACGTGTGGTGATGTTACGGGATGGCAGTGGCACTGCCCCCCGCCACACAAACACACACACACACACACACACACACACACACACACACACACACACACACACACAGCCCTGGTCTGTGAGGAAAACATCAGACGTGTCAGTTAGGGAACATCCTGCCAAGCACCCAGCCAACCCTCTCAAACCTGTCACGGTGGCCAACAGGGAGGCAGTCCAGGATGAGGCCCCAGGCTCGGGGGGGCCTGGGTCTCCCTGGCAGGCCACGACCCAGCACGCACCCACCCCCGACTCTGTTCCACGGGGTCCTGACTGGAGGTGAGCCTGGGGTCCTCCTCCTGCCGACTGGCCTTTCTGCACTGGTTTTCCTGTCCCGTTTCAGGTCTGTAAGGCTCTGTTAACGATCGTCAGTGTCCTACATGTGTGTGTGTGTGTGTGTGTGTCTTCCCCAGGAGCATATGCAGACGCATCAGGCCGGTCCCTCCTTAAGCTCTCAGAAGCCGCGGGTGTTCAAGTGTGACACATGTGAGAAGGCCTTTGCCAAGCCCAGCCAGCTGGAGCGCCATAGCCGCATCCACACAGGTAACCTCGGGGAGGGCCCCAGGTGAGAAGTCCTGCCACCCACCGCTCGTGACGGGAAGGTCACATGCAACGTGTCTGTGTTCATTTGTGACACAGCACCTGGTTCATGAAGCACAACCCACCCGCTCAGGTCTCTTCCTGACTTTTCACCAGTTTACCGTGTAGCTGACTTCCCCAGATGGAGGCTGTTGCTGTTTGCATGTGAAGGTCTCGGGTGCTCCTGCCCACCTCAGTCTGGCGCCCAGCCTTCTCATGGTTCTCCCAGCCCTGGTGCCCCGTTGGCGGCCGCCTCCGACTCACTCTCAGAGGGCTCCTCCTCCCTGGTGCCCCTGATGGCACCTGGGCCTCCTGTGTCGTCAGCAGGTGCCTGGCAGCCTTCATGGGCTGTGTGTTCTCAGAGATGCCCTTGCTTGTCAGCACAGATCCTGGAGCCCACTGGGTACCAGCCAGGAGCTCGAGTGACAGACCCTGCTGCTCCATAGTGCATCTCTTCAAAACCGTAACTCAGGGCTGGAAATGACTGCCTTGCGTAATGGCACACACGCACGGGCAGGGTTTGCACACCTTCTCAGGTGCCTCGTCACCGTCGCTGGGGCCGCTCCCCTGCCCGCGGGGGTGCCTGTCCTCAGTCCTGGCCCTCCTCTCCTCAGCTCCGCCTCTGTCTGCAGGGGGCGCCCTGCTTGTGCTGGCGCTGCCAGTAGGGAGAGCCGCCTACAGGATCGTCTCCCTTTCCGTCACCCTGCTCATCTGACAGGGCCCTCAGTTCACCTGTGGCTGTTCTTTTCCTTGGGTGTGATGTCGCGGTCCCAGTCCAGGGATGAGGACAGAGACCCTGACCCGTTTCAAGGACTCTGCCTGCCATTGAGAGCAGTCCTGAGACCTCCCTCATCGCTGAGGAGGGCCGCCTGGAGGACAGCGACCTGCTGCCTCCAGAGCAGCCTTGGGGTGCTGGAACCTGATCCGGGGGGCCTCGTGGGGACGAGAGGCAGCCAAGCAGGGCATGTGGGAAAGAACTTTCTAGGCCTAGTGAAAGCTTGAGCCCTGGACAAGCAAGGACCTGGTCCTGGGGCTGAGAAGTGTGTGACAGCAGGGGAGGCGGGGCCGCCAGGACCAGAGTGGCTGTGCAGCAGGTGCTCCCCAGGGCGGTGCTCACCGGGGCAGTGCTCTCCTGGGCGGATGCTTCCCAGGTAGTGCTCACCTGGGCAGATGCTCTCCTGGGCAGGTCCTCACCTGGATAGATCCTCACCAAGGTAGGCTCCCTGCAGAGGTCATTCTTGGCAGTTTTTTCTTCCATTTGTAAGTTTATGTATCAACTTGAAAGCAATTAACATTTAAAAGATACTGTATAAACCATACTTTAATCAAGTGGATTTGGTATTCCTATGTTCTCAACATTGTTCAGCTTTTCTTTTGGAAGTGTGTTGTTTGAACCATGTTTGTTCATTTCTGGATACTTTGGGACTTTGCGTAGCTTTGTCTTCTGTCTCCCTGCAGAGCAGCCTTACTAGACCCTGGGTTAGCTGCCTGAGTGACGCGGCAGGGGCACATCACTAGGATCCTGTAGAACTTGCATCCCTTCCTGGGAGCTCGTGTGTGTGTGTGTCCCTGGGAGCTTGTGTGTGTGTGTGTGTGTGTGTGTGTGTGTCCCTGGGAGCTCGTGTGTGTGTGTGTGTCCCTGGGAACTCGTGTGTGTGTGTTTGTGTGTCCCTGGGAACTTGTGTGTGTGTGCGCCCTGGGAGCCCGTGTGTGTGTGTGTGTGTGTGTGTGTGTGTGTACACTCCTTGCACCCGTCCCTCGGGGCGCTGACTGAGCCGTCTGTCCGCAGGGGAGCGGCCTTTCCACTGCACGCTCTGCGAGAAGGCCTTCAACCAGAAGAGCGCGCTGCAGGTGCACATGAAGAAGCACACGGGGGAGCGGCCGTACAAGTGTGACTACTGCGTCATGGGCTTCACGCAGAAGAGCAACATGAAGCTGCACATGAAGCGGGCCCACAGCTACGCAGGTGAGGCGGCCCGCAGCCACCGCAGGCGTCGGGAGGCCCCTTCCTCATGGCAGCGGCCTGGACGCTGTCCCAACAGCTGGGGAGCCACTGTGGGGTCTGCGTCCTGTAGTCCCGCAGATGGGCGACCTTGTTCCCATGGTGACTCGCCAGCGTTGGTGCTGGCAGAGTGAGGCCATCTCGGTGGGGTCCTGCTGTGTCCCCCCGTCCGCCTCGTCCTGTGTCATCTCGGAGTGCCTGGAAGCTCCGGGAGATGGGTGTGCTGGCCGGTCACCTGGCGGGGGCTGTGCTGGGAGGGGCTGGACCGCAGCCTTTGTCTCTGGTTCAGGTGCTGTGGCCAGGCATGCAGTCAGGCCTAAGTGCAGGGGTGAGTACCCTAGGGTCTCCAGGAGCCACAGGGCAGGACTCTTTATGCTGGGCAGCTTTGGAGGAAGAGAAAATCCATCCTAATGTCTGCACGCTAGTGCTTCCTGCGTTACTTTCTGTTAGAAAAGTCTTGTCAGTGGTATTAATGATGGCTCAGCAATGTCATATCAGCATAACCTTGACGATACATAGAGTTTGAAAGTACCGAACAAGGGCTGTGTGGCTTCATGTTCAAGTAACAGTAATTGTTAGAACCATGAAACCTGCAGCTCAAACGGTTCTTCACTGGGGTGGAGAAGAAAGCAGTTTGGGAATGCCTCGTCTCTGTGTTGTCCTTGTGTACATGTGCGTCATCTCACGTTGCTGCATGTCTGAGGCTCTTTCTTTGTCCCACGGCAGGGGTGGTGCCAGAGCCCGTGGGCCAGCAGGACCAGGGCGCAGAGGCGCTGAGCCACGCGCTGCACCTGGACGAGGTGGTCCCAGAGCCCGCGAGCGAGTGGCAGGCCCTGGCCAACGTGTTCTGACGGGCGCCGCCCCGAGGACGTCCCGGAGTCAAGTGTGGAGGAGAACAGAGTGCTTGGGATTTCTCTTTTGAAGCCTCAAGTGTTATAAATGTCACCACAATAGTTTTTTTAGCTATAAAATGGTCTAAAGATCACTGACTTTCAGCGACTTCCAGGAAGGAGCTGGGCAAGGTGGAAGCACAGCGTTCTCATGTCTCTGCAAGCCACTAAACTCAGGTCCATGTCAACAGTCTCACCCTCCCCGTGGCCAGTTCAGCCAGCTGGACATCCGCCGGATCTTACTGTCATCGTGGTGTGATCAGCAAGACGGGTGTCAGTGTGAGGGAATGCAGAGGGTTCTCTCTTCCTTCATGCTTCCCGTGACAAAAGCGTAGCTCATGAAACCAACATAAGCTAGGTGCATGAAGTTCAGAAGAAACGCTACGACACACAGGGAAGTTTTTTCCATTTTTTTCTGTGTGCGTTTTGAGATGAGTAGAAATGTACTCTTTTTTTTTTTTTTTTTTTTTTTTTTAAGCCTACCGTATGTTAGTATACTGGGACCGTGAGAGATGGCTGGACCACTTCTCTCCACGACAGAGAGCTTACCCGTCAGTCAGGAGAAGGCAGCACCTGGGGTGTGGACGTGAGGACAGAGTCAGCCTGACCCACGAGTGAGGACTCGGCCGTCCCCGCTGGAGGCGGCCACGTGCCTGAGTCCCCGCTGGGCCTGCTGCCGGGTCAGCAGCAAGCACAGGCCGCACTGCAGACGGCAGACTGCAGCGCCGGCTCCCGCGAGCGGAGATGCTGCCGCCCATGCACCCCAGCGACCCAGAAGATAGGAGCCTGTCCGAGCCCCGTGGTGTTCTCTTCGTCCATAAGCAGGTGTACTTTTTATTTCAGGGAATCCTTTAGTATCATCAATGGTGCCACGTTGAACATGCCCCAAACCAACCAAATCCCGCCCTCGCTGGGGCAGAGCGTGCGTCGGTCCCACGGCATTCCAAAGACAGAAACTTCTTACTCCATGTGACTCTCTCCTTGGAAATTATTTATATGTTCTATATATAAATACGTATGTACATATGCAGATATATGGGCCTCTGTGTGGCTGAATAGTATATTTTGTAAATAAGCACTATCCCTGTTACAGAGAGAGCGACAGCATTTTTACCTCCAACGAGCACTTCAGATCAGTATTGCATTCATTTTGTTAATAAAGAAACGGACATCCTCGTCATTGTGACATAAAGCTGGGGTTGCTTTTTTTGTGTTTGTTTTTCCTAAGAATAATTGCCTTTATTTTTTCTCATTGCCTCACTGGTTTCAGAAGAGAGCAGTTTTATTATAAATATTGTATGGACTTTGTATATTAAGAGAGGAGCTCATTTCAGATTCCTGAAGAAAGACATTTCACTGTTAATTTTTGAAGGGGCATCTTTTGATTTTTTGTTGTTCACACTTTTGGCATATGTATATAAGTAGTCTTGATGGTGATATAAAAACTTTTGTTATGTGAAAATATTTAAGTCTGAAAACTGTTAAATATTACTTTTTTTTTTTTTCAAACTGCTTTGTGTATTGTATATTTTTTTAAAGAAAAAAAAAAGCCTTATTTGACTTGTGATACTGGACTTCTGTATCCTGAGGTTTTTCTTGAATGTCAGTGTGTGTACCTGGCTGGAGTCCATATATTCAGAATAACTGTAATTGTGCCAGAGTTTTAAAGGTTCTGCTTTTAATGCACTTTTCTTTTATAATTTTGTATTAAAATATTTTAGAAATGTTGATTAATTTTGGTGAACAAATATCTCCAAAGTTGAAATTATTGAAGTTTTAAAAATTTTGTTTTTGCTAGGTTATTTATTTTGGTTTTAGCATTAAATGTCATCTCAGGTCAGTTTCTGCAAGGGGTTTGTTTAATTCCTAGTTGTATAGAAAGCATAGTTCAGTGAATTGTATTGGTGCACAGCCTGTTTAAGTAAGGCCTTACCAGGTGAATCTAAAGCCTACTTTTATTTTGGTTAAAGAAAAAAAAAACCTATCAGTAATCCATTTTGTGAGTCTTCTCAGTTTATTATCAGGCAAACACAAGACATTAATGTATTATTTTTATTTACTTCCTAATTATAAAAGCTGCTTCTTTGCAAAACATTCCTTGAAAAATAAGGTTTTGTAAAGACATAATTTCACTTGAACTTTTGGTGGAGTGGAGTACAAGTTGATCTTTATACTTTACCGGTTGATAAAAAGTCTTCTGACAAGAGATTTCTAGTCTCCTGCATAACCAGGGTTTTGAGGATAGATAATTGTATTTTTTAAAAATATCTATCATAGCATATCTGCTTTGGAATAACAATAAATAAAAAAATGAAGTTAGGAAATGTGATTATTTTTTTTCTTTTAAAATATTTACTGTAAGATAGTTTGGCGCATGCACTCAGATAATGTTTTCACAGAAAAGAACTTCAGTGGTGTTTTCCTGCGCCTCCGTGCAGCACACACGAGCCACCCTTGTGAGGCCCACTTGAGGAGCTTCTGGCTTAAAAATCAGGCTGTGCCTCGGGGCTGGCCTGCCGTCTGTGTTCGCTGCAAGCTCCTGCGTTGCTGCCACTGTTGACTGTAATGAATGCCACCCCAGTCACTTAGGTGCCTGTAGAAAGGCTGCAGCCGCCTGTAGCTGTGTCCCGTGGCAAAGGAGCTGGGCAGCTCTGGGCAGCTGCAGGACGAGTCCCTTTCCCTCGGACGCTGCCCTGGGAGCTGGGTGTAGTCCCCGGGAGCTGGGGCGGGGAAGCTGGAGGGTGTGGAGAGGGGAAGGGTTAGTGCTCAGTGGTGTCCAGCCCTTTGTGACCCGATGGACTGTGGCCTCTGTCCCTGCAGTTCTCCAGCAGGAATACTGCAGGGGGCTGCCGTGCCCTCCAGGGGCTCTTCCCGACCCAGGGGTCAGAGCCGGAGCCGGGTCTCCCGAATGGCAGGCGGACTCTTTCCCGTCAGGGTGTGTGTGGAGCCCCATCCATGCCCACTGCACAGGCAGGCACGTCTGCACAAAGGGCAGCAGGTGAAAACGGGGCAGCTTTTCCAGTGCCTCTCCCCACATGCTCCCCTCGGCCCCTCAAGGACTTGGCAGCTTGGACAGGCCTGTGGTCAGAGAATCCAGCACGGAGGGAGCTTGCGCTGTTGGTCCAGTGGAAAGGAGCTCCTCGAGCTCTTTCCACGAGTCACCGACAGAACGAGACAAAGCCGGCCTAATGCAGTTCCTGTCTTCCCTGGAATTTCCATTTCATCCGATCTCAGCGTTTAACCAGCGAGTGTCTCTTCACAACAGGGCTTTGTATCCGCGCCCGTAACCATTTGTAAGGAAATGTGAGCCTGAGTTTTACAGTCACACCAGTATTTATGGGCAGGAGGGGCACACTCTAGTACAGTGTGAGATTCTAAAAAGGAGGTGGGCTTCTCTTCTTCCTGTGGATTTTTCTCTTTGCAGAGGACATTCAAACTCATAAACATTTTTTAGAAAATTGTCACTCCAATTTATGTAAATGACATGATCTTAAGAAAATGTATAAGACATGGGGCTTCCCCCGTGGCTCAGTGATAAAGAAGCCATTTGCCAATGCAGAAGGCGCAGGAGACACAGGTTGCTTCCTTGGCTTGGGAAGATCCCCTGGAGGAGGGCATGGCAGCCTACTCCAGTATTCTTGCCTGGAGAATCCCATGGACAGAGGAGCCTGGCGGCCTGCAGTCCATGGAGTCGCACAGTGGTGACTGGACGCACATATATAAGATACATACAGAACTGCCTTCCAGTTATTTTTAGCAATATCTTATACCTGCTTTTCACCTAATTTTTTCAGATTATTTGAAAGTCAGTACTGTGACCTCTCTTCCCTGCTCCTCCCACCCCCACAGTTAATCCAACTGTTGCTAATTTGTTCTTTTTTAAAAATCTGTTGTATAGAGTGAGGCAAAGATGAAATTACACAACTGATACTTTTAGACCACTTTTTGCCACCTAATCTCTATTCATGTAGCATAGGCATTTTGAAGTTTTTATAAAGGAATTTCAAAAGTGTCTTGGTACACATTTGGGGCCTATATGTCTCTACCTAATACTCCTGAAAAGCAGTGTTTTTAAACCATCTCGTTTATAACAGTGGAGGCGAACACCGTGCTGAAGCGAGAGCTGTGCCTAAGCCTCCTGGAGCCTTTCCTGGATGAGGCCCCTAAACCCGCCACATCTGTCCCATATGAGCTCACCCCCTGTCTCAGCCCCCGTTCCTCTCATACCCAATGCCCCTCACTTACATGGAGGGGTGCAGCAGATTTTTGTATGGAGGACTAGTAAAATACTTAAAGCATGAAAAAATAGAGTAAGTGACAGGAACAATAGGCAGTGATCATAAAATATTCTGTTTAATCTTTTTTATGTGCAGTGCTTCACAGCATGAAGGCTTTTGTGTTAAATCAAGATTTATAATCCATTTGGCAAATTTCTAAAATGACAGTGATTCATTCTTGATTCACCACTAATGGACATTTTTAAAGTTAATTGTTTTTAATTTACAGGAGAGTCCTTTTTTTCAATCTTGAAAATTGTCCCATGGTCTATTTCTGCATTGGATAATATTTAATACAATTTTGTGTTAGGAATGCATAGTTACTCCAAAAGTCACTGTGCTGGCTTTAAGAATAATAAAGTTAGTTTTGTATTATCTTAAAACTCCTATATATTTTCTTATTTGGGTTTGGGGTGAGTTATAAGCATTTAAAAGTAGACGCTTTCTCCAGGTAACATTTTCAGCATGGGTTAACAAAATGCAATGCTGAATTTGCAGTGAGTTCAGATCCATGGGGCTCAAACACTCTGAGGACATCTTGATGCCATCCTTGAGGGTATTTTCCACTTTTCCCTTGTTAGTAAGGTATTTTAAGGTGACTTAAATGAAAATCAATCATAATACCAACTTCTCTATTCTTATAGACATGCAGGACATTGGGTTTTCCCAGAAATACCGATGGACTTAGTTGATACTACAGCATCTGGTCCCTTTTAAAGATGCATCTCCAAACTTTCAGAAATTCACAGTTTATAGTCCTTGTCCTGTTAGAGTAGTGAATTGAAGGTAATTTTTCTTTGTTCACCTTACTCCTAGAACAGAGTAGGCACGTCATGCAATTATACTGACTAAAATAGCTAAGGTGGTTTTTATTTTCTCCTGGGCTTTGCTCAGAGGGAATGATAAAGAATCTTCTGTTCCTTCCTCCTTGTCTGTAGGAGGAATATTGTTCTTTTGGTGTTTAAAGTACAGCAGGTGGAGAGAGGGGGGCTATTCTCTAGAAATTACCAGATTATGGCTCATCTGCTGCCTCTACCATGCATTGCCTCAGCTACTTAAAATGACCCAGCTGAGTTTTTCCACAATGTTTGGTTTTCTGATGATGTAAGATTGCTGATATTTAAACACAGTTAAGGGCGTGAGTTTACAATCCATTTTGTGCATGGGCCGACCTGGGAAACATGAGAGTTGGACCATAAAGAAGAGTGAGCATCTTAGAATTAATACTTTAAAATTGTGGTGCTGGAGGAGACTTGAGAGTCTTGTGGACATCAAGGAGATCAAACCAGTCAATCTTTAAGGAAATCAACCCTGAATATTCATTGGAAGGACTGATGCTGAAGCTCCACTACTTTGGCCACTTGATGCAAAGAGCCGAATCATTGGAAAAGACCCTGATGCTGGGAAACATTGAGGGCAGAAGGAGAAGGGGACGACAGAGGTTGAGATGGTTGGATGGTATCACTGACTCAATGGACATGAGTTTGAGCAAACTCTGGGAGATGATGAAGGACAGGGAAGCCTAGAGTGCTGTAGTCCATGGGATCACAAAGATTTGGACACAACTTAGCAGCTAAACCACCACCACCACCAAATGAATAAAAGTATTTTTTACAAATGCCAATGATTAATTTATTCGGTATCATCCATAATGTTATTTCTATCACTGAGGAGATTTTATTGTCATATAACTTTAAAGGAGCCTCCCAGATGGCTAAGTGGTAAAGAATCTGCCTGAAAAACAAGAGACATGAGTTCAATCCCTGGGCCAGGAAGATGCCCTCAAGAAGGAAATAGCAACACACTCCAGTATTCTTGCCTGGGAAATCCCATGGACAAAGGAGTCTGATGGGCTACAATCCATGGGGTCGCAGAGTCAGACACGTCTGAGCGACTAAAACAAGTACCGTGAAAATGTTAAATCCCTTTAGTCTCTAAGGAAAAATGGAGAAATGGCAGTTTCTATGCCCACACTCACAGCCCCACACTCTCCTTTCTGCTGATATACAGATACTTCCCTGATTTTTAAATCCTGACTCAAGCAAGAGAGAGAGTTCTATGCCACTATTTTAGCATCAGAACAAAGTAATTGTAGGTTACCCTGGTAACGAGCTCCAGGGGAAGAAATTCTTATAAATTAACACAAAACAGCTCTTCTTCGAGTGCTCTCAGCCAGCTCCTCCATCATCCTGGAGAAGGATGGACAGCAGCTGGCTGTCTTCCCCAAGGTACTCCTCACCACGCACTTTTTCTAGGCTCGCTTTGAATTATCTTTCTCAAGTTTGGTAATCTGAACTCTTGATGCTTTTTGTGCAAACTCCTTGAAGTGGTTTCAGACTTCTAGTGAAGTTGCAAGAGTAGGACAAAGAAGTCCTCCTAGACTCTCCCCTAGAGACTGCTTTCCAGCGTTGCCCGAAGCGTGAAGCCTAAGACCTCCATGCAGCAGACCCAGTGCAGGCACCCAGCCCTCCTGCCCAGCCTCCTCTTCACCCTGGAGCAACACTCCCTTCTCCTCAGCGCTGCAATTTAATTAAACTCTTGCCAACCGGGAGGTCTAGGAAACATTTGTCATTGCAGGAGAAACACATCCCTGCTGTGGGCTGCCTGGTGCCCCAGATCCATTTGCTGGAGTGTTAACTCCTGATGTGACGGGACTTCCAGGAGCTAAGTACAGCTTAAATGCAGTCATGAGGGCGAGCCTGGGCTCTTACAAGGAAGGAAAGACAAGAAAGGAGAGACGGTGTGTCGTGTGCCCTGGTCAGCAGGCAGTGTGTGCAGGCCAAGGAGGGGGGCCTCCCCGGAAACTCCCTGCCGGCGCCTTGGTGGTGAGCATCCAGCCTCCAGAGCCTGAGAACATAAAACTTGTATTGTTTCAGCCCCCCAGTCCTGGTGTCGTGTTATGACAGCCCCAACTTAACACAGCACCAAGAGGTCATGGAAGGCTTGGTGCTCTCGTTTTCAGAGGCTCCCCCCCGCCATTTCAGTGTTTTTCTCAGGCCCTTTTCTGTCATCACAAACCCCAAACCCAGTTCATAGCCCACACCTGGTTTATAAAGCCAGCCCGCTAGATGGAGCTGACATCCTCGCTGCTAACATCTGACCCGCTCCTGATCTCTGACCTGGCCTGCTCTCTCAGAGCTTGGTGCTGGGGCCCCTCGACCGTCCTGTCCTCTGCCCGGGGGCAAGCAGACAGGAGCCCACAGATGGTTCTCGGTCTGGACCCCGCGGTGCAGAGGCAACTGGGCAGATCGACACGGTATCTGAGAAAACATGATCACCCTAGTGTTCTGTTCTGGTGGGAAGAGGCTTCCTTCATCAGACAGACCTTCCCAGCACCTCTGGACCCAGTGGGACGGTCCACAGGTGAGCACAGAGAGACGGAGGAGCGTGTGGCTGGGGGTCTAGCATACCAACCACTCAGAGCTCCACCTGGAAACGAACTTTCCTGCAGCTTTGGGGTGATGCAGACCTCTTGGGCTTCCCAGTGGCTACAGGTAAAAAACCTGCCTGCCAATGCAGGAGACCTAAGAGACGCGGGTTCAGTCCCTAGGTTGGGAAGATCCCCTGAAGAAGGAAATGACAACGCACTCCAGTGTTCTTGCCTGGAGAATCCCTTGGACAGGAGCCTGGTGGGTACAGTCCATAGGGTCGCAAAGAGTTGGGCACAACTGACGTGACTTAGCACACACACTCACATTCTGCAGACCAGAATAAAAGTCACGGAATACAAGCCGTGCAGATATCATTAAAAGTGTATTACTTTATTTCAATATTCAAGAACAGTGCATACTTTCCTTGAGACCCGTGGTCACAGCTCTCATTGTTGGGTGTGGCCACGAATGGAGGTCACTCAGTCACAACCAGCTCAAAGACGCAGTGTGTGTGTCGAGCAATTTGGAGATTTTGTTTCTGAATTTTTTTTTTCTTACCCTCTCATCATTGAGGCTATGTATTAATAGACATTATATTAAACCCACGTGAAATATTCAGAATTAGAAGGGGATTAAAGGGCCGCGTTTGGGCATTATATTGACTATTCCTCATTTTCATCCTAAGGGGGGTTGTGACGCCAGTGTGGGGACTTCGTGGGGGGCTGGTGGGAGAGACGCTGAAATCAAAAGGTGGGAATCAGTAGGTTATGGGGGGAGCACGGGAGATGTCAGCTCGGGTTAGAAAAGAGTGGGATGGAGGACCCCTCCCGGTCCTCACTGGGGCCGGCGCCCAGTCCGGCAGTGATTCGGGAAAAGCGCGTGTGCGGATCAGTGGGTTTCCAGGAGGAAGCGTTTGGGGTGGTTCTCTCTCCCCAGGGGTTAGTGTTCGCTGTGCGCACCGCCGTGCCGAGCACGCCACCTGTCATCTTTGTGCTCGCGATGGCTGCGGCCACCGCGAGGCTCCCGGAACGTCCTGCCACCGCTCTGAGCTGCGCCACCTCCGCCCTCCAGCCGGGCTCCATAGGAAGTAGGTCGTCGGGGGGGCCACTGCGGTCCCCGCGCGCCTGCGCCGTCGCCGGACCCCCGAGGCCCGGCCGAGTCCGCCCCGCGTCCCTTCTCCGCACGCGCCGATCCGGCTCCTCCGGGGTGTGAGCCGCGGCCACCACATGGGACACTCCCAGCTGCCCGCCCGCCTGCCACGTACCAAAGCTCCGCCGCGAAGCCGCTCCACTGAGATCGGTTAGGAAAGGAAGCGCTTTAGGAGGTGAGAGGAGGCAGGAAAGAAACCAAAGGAAGCTCAGAGCCACAGGTCGTTCTCCACACCCTGGGTGGGGGTCCGGCGGCCACGTCCCCCAGCAGGGTCCCCAGGGCCGCGCCCGAGGCCATCCCAGGGCAGAAAGCGGGTGTGGAGGGTCGCCCGTCCTGGATGCTCCGGGACCTTGCTGATCTCCAAGGGTGAGCTGACAGCTGCACCGTCTTCGCTATTGAGCCGCTGGCCAGGAGCCCGCAGGACGCACGTGTGGCCAGGGTTGGGGGGGACGCCGGCTGCACTAGGGAATTTAGACAATGGTTAGCGTTGAGGCGGTTGTATTAAGAAGCTGGGGACGGGGTTCCGGGAGGGGAGCTGGGCTTCAGCGTCTAGCCATCGGGGACCCGGAACGGCTGTCTCGTCCTCCCTGTGAGAGAGAGAGACGGAGAGTTAGAAGGGCTGGGGCCCTGTGGTCAGTGGTCACCAGATGCAGGGCCTCTCTCCTCGGGGTCTGTCCTAGGAATGAAGCTGCATGGGGCTGGTCTCTGACTCCGCGCCTCACAGCATCCTTTATCTCACTGCACATCCAAGTACAAACAGGACAGGGCGTGTGGGCACTGTGTTTCTGGGGGTGAAAAGTTCAACTGATACATTATTATGTCTCAAATGAGGGCTTGTTTTCTCCTAACATCCTCCCCTCAAGAGATGGGAGGCCCAATGCCCCTCCTGTCCCAGCTCAGCAGGAAGTAGCCAGAAAGACCTCGATGCCCCTATTCCCAAAGAATTGGGCCTCCCATCTCTTGAGGGGGGAACGTTAGGTAGTTAGAATAGGAAACAGGAGTCCAGAATGGCGGTGGCTAAAAGACAAGGAAGGGAAAAGCCTGTGAAAATAGAACAAAGGAAGGTCTGAGGACCGGAGTGAGTACCTCAGGTAGAACAAACAGCACTCCTGGCTAGCCCAGTTTACACAGGGCAGGCCCAGGGGGAGGAAAAAGCATATAAAAAGGGGAGCCAAAGGGCCGGGGGTCTCTCTCCAGTGCACACACGCACTCTCTCCTCTTCATGTCTTTTGTGTCAACATGCCCTCACATCTTGAGGATGTATTTTCCTTTACTTTCTAAATGAAACCGAGCTGTAACATGGCACTGTAACACTAGCTATGATGCGCCGAGGGCTTTAATGTCCGTCACTTCAAATTTTTGTCATGAGGAGACAGAACCTAGGAAATTACACAGTCCCCTGACATCTAGACTAGAGATTCCCAGGGGCCGCAGGAAGTGGTCCATGAATGATGGCCGGGAAGGGCTCATCTGCATGAGGCTGAGATGCCGAAAGCGCAGCCCCACTTGGTCCACCAGGGAGTGGCCCCCGCCCCACCTGCGAGCCCTCTCCTGCGTCACCAAGGAAACCAGCCTCCCAGATGAGCCGTCCACAAACTGTGACCTCAGGGTCTTAAAAAACCAAGAGTTGACATGTTTTCTGGACAAATACAATTTGCAGAAGAGCTGGCAGTGGTGGAGGTGGAGGAGTGGGTGGGGATGATGGAGATGAGGGAGCTTGTCCAGGCGTCCGTTCGAGAAGGCAACTGTCACCCCAGGCGCCACTTAGATGAACTCAGAGGAGGGTTTTGGTTTTCTTTTTTTTGCATTTGAATTCTTATTCAAATTTTAGTCTCTTTTTGGATTTCCCTTTTCTCGTAGGTTATGAATGAAAACTTGATCTCTCAAAGATCCCCTTGAGACTATGAGCCCCTGGAAGAAAAGATGATTGTGAAATATGCTATTGATCCAATGACAGATAGGCCTCGTCCTCGTCTTGCATCCCCCACGTGACCCAGAGATTAGGCAATGGAAGCACGAGGCCCTGTGTCTTATAGCTAACTTGGTCAACAGAGAGATGATGGCTCTGATTTCTTGCAATTTTGCTTTCTCCCCAAAACATTCCTCCATTGCTGATTCACTATAGGCATTTTGTTTTCACATGTGCGGAAGTCTGTGGAACTCTAGCCTCTGGAGGTGTCGGGCATCATTCAGAGATGCTCCCCCTGCAGGAAAGGGGCTTTGTCCCCCAGCCTTGGGGCGGAGCCCTTCAGTGCGGACCTGGGTCTGGTCCCCGGGTGAGTCTGGCTGGGCTTTGGGTACTTGATCCTCAGAGCCAGTCCTGGAGTAGCCCTGAGCCAGGCAGCACTGGCCCCTCCTTGTCCTGAATTTCAGCGAGATTAACCTTAGGGCCTCCTGGAAAGTGTGATTTAGTCGTGCACAGGAGCAGACCGCCGCCCCATCTGACCAAGCACGTCTGCGCTGATACGGGCTCAGTGCCCCTCCTACCCTGCTTGCCAAGCAGCTTACGTGAGACACCACTGAACACCCCAAGGGCAACTTTGAATGAAAGATGGCAGGTTTATGGCTTTTCTTTTTGATTACTGTGCCTACAATTCATTATCTGCTGTGAGCTAAATCTCTGACGTCTGTTTCCTCTTGTGAACAAATCCAGCCTGGAGGGGTGGGGATGTTCTTAGCATCCCTGTTTGCTAGTTGAAGGAGCTGAAGCTCCTCAAAGAGGTTGAGTCATTTCCCCAAAGTCAGCCAGCAGAGGGGAGCTTGCATTAGAAACTCTGATGAGGACAGGCATCTTCCCAACTGCAGACATCTGGGTTTTCCCTTGGTTGCTGTGGTCTGGAAGTCTTGGGGGACTCAGAAATGGTCTGGACACTGCAGGTGACCTGATGGAAACACTGCAGCTCCGGGTTTAGACCCAGAGCCCTGCCAGGATATGCGTCATCACTTTCTCACTTCAGAATCAAGACACGTATATCGTATATCGTAAGGCTCTCTGTTTCTTGGACATCTGAGGTAGTATTTATCTCCTTATCAGATTTGCCTCACGGTCAACATTTTGAAGACTGAGTCCTGCCCACATTGAATCTGACACCAGCCAACTTAGCAATGGGTCACCCACCACTCACTTCATGTATTTAAATGTCTTCCTGAAGAGACTGAGTCTCCTCAAAGCTGAGTCCTGCTTCTCAGCACCCTTCAGAGTCCAGCACCTTTCAGAGCCTAGGTCGTTGTGTCTGTGTATTCTGACCACTGGGTGCGCCACACACACGGGACTGGACATGGAATTAAAGGTTAGGTGACTAACCTACCAGCGTCTGTGTTCCTGACCAAACCATTTCACCGTAAACTGTAAAATCTCTACATTTCAATGAGCTTAGCAGGAAGCACACTTCCGCAGGTGACTGGGGTTGAGGAGCCATCACGCTTTGCTGGTGGGGACTGAGCCCTTGGACAGGGCGCGTGGGGCTGTCCGTCTCCTGGTGACACAGCCTCGCCACGGACCGCAGGACCTACTCGGGTGAAATCTCTCTGTGACCTGCCGTAACCAAGCGGGTGAGCCTCGGGAGACACTCCTGGTCTCATCCGAGACCACGGACACCTGGGAAAGGAGTCTGTGGAAACGCAGGTCTCCCCCGGGGTCCGCTGGCTTGGGGGCATGGGTGGAAGAAGCTGCACATGGGGTGAGAGCAGGGCTGCGATGCTGGCACCGTGATGCCCGAGGGTGCAGGACGGTCCCACAGCCCTGAGGGCGCCATGAGCACCACGTCCTCAAGAGGCTGCTCCTGCCCTAACAGGTGGACTCTGCCCTTCCTTGCTGGTGTCTGTCTTCCTCACGACATTTCTTCCTGCTGGAAGGGGAGTTGACCAGATCCTTGTAAGAGTCAGGACTGCAGTTGTAGCTGGACGTCAGCAGGGAAGTCATGGCCTCATTTGGGTCAAGAGTCAGTGAAGGTGGCAGCTGCGCTGACGCTCTAATGAGAAAACCAGTGGACTGGGTTTTGGTGACGTTTTTTCCTGCCAGGCCGCCGTGCGAGTGTGGTTCCATTATCAGGGACGAAAGGCACCCCCGGGAGCCTCGAATCTTTGTGGAAATGGCCCCAACTGCTCGAGAGGCTCGCTGGGGCTCCATGGGCTCATCTCCGCTCCCGAGCCCCTCCAGCTCTAAGCCTGCTGCCCTGTTCCATCTTCTTGAGGCCTGTCTGGGCATCTGGGCCCTGCCTGTCGGGGCCAGCCGCGTCTCCTCTGTCTGAGGAGACAACAACCTGGCCCAGCCCTCGGGTGTCCTGGCTCCAGGGCCTCTGTCTCCAGGGTGTTCCATCTCCTCACAGGTGAGCTTGGTCTCGGACCTGGGCACCCACCCCTCTCACCCCAGGAAAGCTCTGCCTGCTTGCAGCTGTGGAAGGAAGGAGTCTGAGGGGCCTGGTGTGAGGGGTCACTGCCCGGGGCCTGGCCCTCCCGAGTCCAGAACCTTCCCTTCCCTCTTCTGTCCGGCTTAGGCCTGGGGTGGCTGTGCCTTGTCCCCATCAGAGCCCTCCTGAGATCTCAGGTTTCTGAGCAGGGCTGACATGTCACTGACGATGCCGAGCTGTTTCGAGGGGGTCTGGGCACGGAGCCGGGCAGATGGCACGGTACCCCTCCTGTCAGAGCAGCTCCCCACACATTCCCCCATCTCACAGAGGAGAGACCGAGCCTCAGGGAGGCCGGGGGACCTGGGTGTGTGGCTCGGATGTGAGCCGGGAAGGCAGATGTCCGAGGTCTGCAGGGTGTCTCCCCAGAGACACCAGACCAAGGTATCTCCCCTTGGTCACCCTCAGGGACCAAGGCGCTGCTGCCCCGGTCAGGAAGCCACCTGTCCTTCCAGACGGGGTGCCCTCCAGGCCCCTGAGCCTCTCGGGCCCCACCATGACCCCGCTTGTCATCAGGCTCCCTGGGGGACCCTGGCCTGGCATCCGGTGCAGCACCTGCTTAGGTGAGCTCTGCAGAAATGCTTGCCCCGAAGGGCTGGGCAGGAGCAACTCTGGGGAAACAGCGGGTGGAGGGGCTGGAGACTGGCATCCCCAGACCATCCCAGACTCGTCCCCGGACCCCTCCCAGCGCCTCCCACGTGGAGAAGGTACGTTACCAGCTTGAAGATTTTGGAAAGCGTGCCCTGGGCGTCGTGCCCCTTGAGTCCCTTGTGAGCCGATTTGTAGTCAGATGCTCTGCCTCCATAGCCGAATCCTGGCTTCTGGCCCTCAGCCCCCTGCAAGAGAGGGTGAGGCTCGCGGTCTGTGCCCACAGCCCGCGGCCCGCCCCGGTCCATGTCCATCTGGTCTCAGTGGCTGCTCAGCCACAAACTGGGTGCCCGGCACCTCTGGCCGGGGGTGGGACCTTCCCTGTGGCTGTGGCCGCCGTTCTCCTGGCCGAGCGGGTCCCAGGGCGGATCAGCCAGAGTCACACACACATGCTCCACAGTCTTTGCCCACACACGTCGGGGGAAGGGGCGCCTGGGCCATGCTGGAGAAGGGTGGGTGAGGCCGTGCCCCTGACAGGAGCCCGGGAGACAAAGCCCGGCCCCAGGACTGTTCTGGCCATTGGCACAGACCCTTCACATCGGCTCCCCTGGGGCTCAGCAGCCTTCACACTTGGGGCGTTGGGGGCTCATCCATTTTTAAAGGGCAAAGACACAATTCCAGCCTGGAGGGGCCGCAGGCCAGAACCAGCTCCCCTGGCTGCGCTGTGGGTGTCCTGAGTGTGGATGGACCAGGGTTATTCCTGGGGCTCTGGGCTGCGAGCTGGCGACTGTAGAGGGAGGGGGGTGGGCTGGGAAGCCACATCCCCAGGTGTGCACCTGGGCACAGTCCCAGGGCCGGCAACCGGGGTGGGTCTCAGCAACCCGGCTCCCTGGCTGTGTGACCTTGGGCAACTGTCGGAAGCTCTCTGAGCTTCAGTTTCCTCTTCTGTGACATGGAGATAATTGACAACCTGCTCTGAGACCAGAGCTTGTGGTTCTGAATTCTCAAGCTTGCTGTTGTTATGGGAGGGGGCTCCTCAGGCAGCCCCACCTCTGCCTCCAGCTTCTCTGGGGGGACCCCTCTCACTTCAGGAAAGATGGAGAAAGCTGGCTTCCTGCAGGTAGCAACGACACACAGTTACTGAAATGTAAAGGCGTGTGTCTCTGGGGCCAGTTTGCATTCCCATAAGCTCCAGTTTCAAAGGGACCTTGCCCTGTGAGCATGAGAAGGGAGGGGGGCTCTGGGGCTCAAACACAGTGAGTGTCAGCGTCTTGGGGTGCATGCCTCTTGCACAGATCTTGTGCAACGGACAGGCTCTGGGATCTCACTTCACATTTTGCCAACAAGAAGCGGGACTCTCTTTGTCCGGGCCTCTCCTGAGAATTCTACAAATGAAGTAAAACCATCTCTGATCGAGCTCTAGAGCCCTTGGCCTCAGCTTGTGGTCCTTTTCGGTTTCAGGAGGGTGTTGTGGGGCTTGGGAAGTGTGGAGTCCATCCCTCCGGTCCAGAGGTGCTGGAGGTGGGCTTCAAGGATCTTGCAGGTCAGCTCTCTTGTGTTTGGACTGGAGCTAGACCAGGGCCACCTGTCTAGGCCCCCACCCTCCCCCTGCCCCACCCCAGCCATACTTCTGTGGGTTCCTTCACTTTCAGCCAGAAATAGACGCTGGGAATAGATGCTGGCCACTCAGAACGAGGCAGCCACTTTCACGTGAAAATCTGGTTTTAAGGGTTATCGAGTGCGTGAGTCTCGGGGACTACACGCAAGGGAGGCCTACTGCTGCCTTCGCATCCCACAGTTTCCACGGACACACTCCCTCCGTCACGGGCGCAGGGGCCAAGGATGGCTAAAGAGAGCCGATGAAGGATGGACCAGCATGGGAGAAAGCCGCGTGGTCCCACGTGAGCCTGTCATGCTCTGACTCTGCTGATTTTCTCCAGAATAAAGTGCTTCTGAGAATAAAATTCAAGAATTGGTTTTAAGATTGATAATCTGCTTAATTACTCTCCTTTCAAATTTGTGGTCACTTTTATCTTTGGACAACCTAAAATTTGCCAGAAAAACATACAACATAGTTTAGAAAACTAGTGAGATTTTCAGGATCTCCAAGCGGAAGACAGTCATGCGGATCTCGGAAACCAATAGACCGGCTCGTGGAACACAGAGCAGAATTTTGCTTTGGAAAAAAGAGAAAATTAATGGATTAGTGGGAACAAAAATGGAGACATGGAGAGGCATGCAAAGGCATTCTATTAACTGCCGGGTTGGAAGGGCCTTAAACAACGGGAAGAAAGAAGGTCTCCTCCCCCCATCACTCCCAGTCATCAGCGGCTCTGCCCTGGTCCCCCATGCCTGGAAAGTTAAGAGGCAGGTTGAGCGGTCACTGAAGTAAGCTTTCTGGGTCAGAAATGGATTTCGTTCTTCAGTATCATCTTTTTCTCCTGCTGGCACAAGAAGTCCTTCATTAAGTGGCTGTGACCGCTGGCCTGGTCAGTTCTCTACATTATCGGCACTTTTCGCAAATTCATCAGATCAGAAAAAGGCTCACGTGTATCTGTATGAATGTCCCAGCAACATCTCAGTTCACACTGCAGTAATCATGTGTTGGAGCGGTTCCTGGAAGCTTCCTCTGCCTTTTCTCTGAGGGCGGATGCCACCCTCCCTCCCTCCTTCCTTCTTTTTAAAAAATGTACTTATTTTTTATTGAAGGATAATTGCTTTACAGTATTGTGTTGGTTTCCGCCAAGCATCAACATGAAGCAGTCCCTCTTCCTTCCTTCCGCTCCCTCCTGCCTCCATCTTCCCCTCTCTGTTTCCTTTCTTCCTTCTTTCTTCCTCCCTCTTCCCTTCCTTCTTTCTTTCTTTCTGTCTAAATTCATGCATTCATTTCTATGTTGCCTACTAACTGTGCATCAGTGAGATGTAGGCTCTGTGCTAGAGAGAGGACACTGGAGAATGTGTTTCTGTCTCCAAGACAGACACAGTTCCTGGCCTAGAGGTTAGTGGGTCTCCTTTTATTCTGGAAATTTGATCAAGTTAAGACTGTATCTAACATTTACAAGTAAATACTGCTGTTTGATTGCTTAGTCATATCCAACTCTTTGAGACCCCATGGACTGTAGCCCACCAGGGTCCTCTGTCCATGGGGTTCTCTAGGCAAGAATAATGGCGTGGGTTGCCATGCCTTCCCCCAGGGGATCTTCCCGCCCCAAGGATCCAACCTGAGTCTCCTGTGGCTCCTGCATTGGCAGGCAGGTTTTTACCACTGAACCACCAGGGAAGCCCTTACTGGAAGGTAATTTGGTTAAAGTACAGATCAGCATTAGAAGTTGGTGTAGACACCAAATTTTACTAGAAGCTGAACAAGTCAGCCCTTAAAAATTTTCATGGACACTTTGTTCTCAGAAATTCCTAAAAAGGTTTTTCTGGATGGCTCAATATCTAAGCTTTAGTTATTACTACATCAAAACCCAAACCAAAATCTTTTGGGTCACTTAGGTTATTATAAACTGAATAAGTGAATTCAGCATTCTTTTGTCTTGTTAGCAGAATCTCTGTTTCTCAACAGAATGTCAACACCTGGAGGGGGTGGGGTTAGCTATTCCGACATGTGCACAGGCAGACTTCAGGGACTGAACTTCCTCATCTGCCGTTTTGGAAGGAAGTCAGGAACTTTCTCAAAGACGGGGGTCCTCCTTCCCTGGGGAGAGTCCAGCAGAGTCTCCTAAGAGCCCCTCGGTGCGTGGGCCCCCGGGGCGAGCAAACAGAAGCATGAGCTCAGCTAGAAAGAAGGGCCTGCTGCGGGGGAAGCAGCTGGGGCACAAGCCGGAAGGATGGAAGGAACGTGGACATGCGAGCCTCCGAGATGGGCGAGTGGCGCAGCTGAGAGGATGGGGAGGGGAGGCGAGGGGAGGCGAGGCGAGGGGAGGGCGGGGCGCGCGGCACCTACCCAGCTAAATCTGCTGAGGGACAGTCCTCGCCCCTGCGTGAGGAAGAGAAAGAGAAAGTGACACAGGGATCAGTGCAGGCACGGCGCTCTCTCTTACAACAGGACACGCAGTCGGAACAGCACCGAGCTGAGGCAGGAAGTACGTTTTGTCAGACTCAGCGCATCCCTGCGCCGCCCCGGAGGACTTCCGATCCAGGCAGGGAGGGGACGGGAATGGTGTCTGCCCGGGGCCAAGCGCTTCTCAGCCCGTTTTAGGTCTACGTGGGCTCCACGTGGCAAAACATTCTGGGGGGAAATGAGGGAGCTCTGAGTCCAGCCCCCTGTCTGACCCATTTAGGGATTCCAGGGGTGTTAGGCGATGGCGACTCAGCACGTTCAGAGCTCTTACCTTTCCTTGCGATGGAGGAGGTGTGCGAGGTGTCACCTGCAGAGACACGGGAGAATGGTGAGCTGGGGGTGGGTCCCTCCTTCACAGCGGCCCTGACCGCTTGGAGAGGGCCTCCTGTGGTCACCTGTCACCCCTGTGTTCACCCAGCTAGAGGGAGCTGCTTGCCGGGAGGGTCCGGCACCGATGGTATAAGAAGCCACCCACTCGGTCTCTGCCCAGGACCCTATTCTGCCCCAGGTGAGGGATAAACACAGGATCTGAGGATCTGAAAGCACCCAGTGGCACCCGGATCGTCCAGAGCACTCGGAAAGTGTTTGGGAGGATGTGAAACACGCCCAGGGCTCTGCGCTCAGCGGGGCGAGCCCCTGTGACCGGCACTCCGGTGACAGTCCCTGTCACACGCTGATTGTCAGAGACCCTCTCTGGGGTCGGCAGTCAAGGGCCCCAGATACTAGGAGCCTGGAAAGGAAACCTTCAGCTGTGTGGTCCCTAAAGCCCCCATCAACATGAAAAAGGAGGTCTATAACTAGAGCCTGTGCTTTTGCGACTATTTTTTTAGAGCCAGTTCTAGGTTTCTAGAAAAATTGTACCGCAATTGCAAAGCGTTGTCATGACCTACTGTCCTCTGCACAGCCCACCCCCTGGATTCTGTGTGGTCCATTCGTTACAACTGGTGAGCCAATCTATCACCGTCCGAGGGTTATAACTGTGTCCCACGGGGATATTCTCAGACACCCCCCCCCCCCACAGATTAGAGCTGTCACCTGGGGATGTACTCAGACCCCTCGTGGATCAGAGCTTAGAGTCCCCGGGGATATACTCAGATCACTCCCCCCTGGATTGGAGCTGTGTCACCTGGGGACACACTTAGGCTCTCCTGGGAGGGGGCATGGTCGGGCACCCCTCATCCTTCCACGCCCCCACCCCACAGCCCTCCACTCCCCCACCCCACGCCAACACTCACGATGTTCTTGAAGAAGTGCACTACGGGATTTTCGTCTTGGGGCCGGCCATGCTGCGCCTTCTGGGGCAGGGAGCCATAGTGGGTGGTTCTGGCCGCGTGGTGTCCATCCTGAAAGACAGGGGGAGACGTCTGGAAGGTCAGAGGAGATCTTATGGGGATTTCCTGAAAGCCACTGGGACAGTGAGCCGCAGCCTCGTGGATGCCTCCTCCATCCCCAGCTCAGGGCGCGGTTCAGAAGGACCCTTCTTGCTCATGAGATGCTGTTGTCACCAAGTCTAGGGTGTGCTTCTCGGGAGTTTAGTGCATTTAATGGGCTCAGTGTCGCTGCTGGGACTTGCACTCCTGTCTGGATTGTCACTGGTGTTACTGGCACTAGTTACAGGGGCATGTTCCCACACACGTCACCATCAGTGTCTATGACTCTCTGCAGATGGTCCTCCCACCACCATCCACCAGGTCGGAAGCCCTGCAGTCATCCTGGCCTCTCTCTCTGCTCTATTTCCCCCTTTGGGTCCATTCACAACCCTTATAGGTTTTTCTTTAAAATAGTCTGTGCATTTAAAATAGTCTCCACCCCACGCTGACAGCAAAGCCTGAGACTGGGGCAGCCCTGCTGGGCCCTGCCCCTTCCCGCCCGGATTCATTTGCAAAGAGAGGATGCTCTGCATCTCCTGTGCGCCCCTCCCCCCCACAGCCACTCCCTGTGTCTGCTCACAAACTGGACCCCTTCTCTCCAACCCAGGGGGGCGGAAGGAGCAGCTGAGAGCTTACACCACACAGCATGTCCAGGCTTTCTCCACTTTCTGAGAACTTGTCTTGGCTGTGAGTGGTCCTTTGAATGCAGTGTCCACGTGCCCTCCAGTCCCCCTTCTGTGGCTCTGCGCCTTGCTCACTCCTCAGGTTCTAAGTCCCTCCTTCTGTGGGTCCTGCAGGGGCCCAGGCTTCCTGCTTCCCCAGCCTCTCCCCACTGTGCCCAGACCCCACCTCCCCGATGCCCCGGCAATGCGTTCTGCAGGCTGCAGTTCTCAGTTTCCCTCCGGGCAGGCTCAGCAAGTGATCTGTTTCTGTGCAGCTCAGTCACAGTCTCCCTCAGAGGGTGGAGCCAGGCCTGGGGGTCATGAGCTGAGCCTCCCTCCCCCCATGGGGCTGGGAGCTTCATGGTGTTCAGGTTCCCCATGCAGGAAAGCCAGGGAGTTGTGTTCTGCCAGGCGGCGCTCGTGGTAAAGAACCTGCCTGCCAGTGCAGAAGATGTAAGGGATTCAGGTTTGATCCCCGGGTCGGGAAGTTCCCCTGGAGAAGGAAATGGCAACCCACTCCAGTATCCTTGCCTGGGAAGTCCCATGAACAGAAGAGCCTGACAGGCTACGGTCCATGGGGTCGCAAAGAGCTGGACATGACTGAGCAACTCAGCACTCAAGCACATGGGCATGATGGTGTGGGTGGAGGCTGATACAGTGGGCATTTGAATTGAAGACGTCGGCCACAGGGGCGAACTGGAGCATTTCAGGAACTGCTGAAACACCCCTGCCCTGCTGACTCTAACTTATCCTCTCTGTGGATGCTGCCAGAAAGCAAGTAATCTGGTTCTCCCTTGTGTTGTGTTGTCTGTCACCCAGGGCCAATCAGATTCCGTCACCGCTGGCCAACCCTACACATTCTTCTCCAGTGAAGGAGAATGTGAAACCAAGAATTAAAAAAGAAAACAGATGAGCTAGGAAACTGTTTTAAGTTACTGGGGCGTATGTGCTGAGTTGCTTCAGTCTTGTTCGACTCTTTGTGACCCCATGGACTGTAGCCCGCCAGGCTCCTCTGTCCATGAGATTCTCCAGGCAAGAATACTGGGGCGGGTTGCTGTGCCCTCCTCCAGGAGATCTTCCTTAAGTTACTCACTTCAAGAAAAATATCTTTTGTGTTTAGACACAAAAATATCTTTGTGTCTAAATATCCAACGTATCTGGCAAGTGAAGTTACTTATTAGGTAGCACCTTAATGGCCCAAAATAATGAAAACAGCTCAGAATTTTGCACAACTAATGCAAAATAATTTGGGGTAAGAAATGGCAGTCCACTCCAGTATTCTTGCCTGGAGAATTCCATGGACAGAGGAGCCTGGTGGGCTTTAGTCCATGCTGTCACAGATAGTTGGACACAACTGAGCTAATGAATGCAGGCTTACTTTGGTGTTTATACACCACTTTTCTGCAGGATGTGTTGGAATTTTTGTCACAGAAACACTGTGTACTTCGATTGGCCCATTCTGCGATTAAACTAAGAAGGTTTCTTAAACTTTACAAAAAGGTTTTAAATAAATGTTCAGTAGTATCACGCAGATTCGATATTATTAAACTTATTTCTGCTGTGATGTAGTTAATGAAGTGCTGTGTGGACAATAACAATGTTTCATGCCTGACCCACACACACCAGTTTCTAACGCTGAAAGAGACAGAGAGTCTACTTTGGTGATTTTTATGATGAGTGCACTGGAGAAGAAAACCTCCATGATATGAGGGTAGTCAACAAGTTTACAGACCTGACACTGTAAACATGATCCATAAAAGGAACAAAATTGATAAATTGGACCTGATCAATATTTCCAACTTTTGCAAAGGTTATATTTAAGAGAAAGAAAAGAAGCTACAGACTGAGAAAATATTTGTAATCACATATATGATGTGGGACTTGAAACCGCAATATGTAAAGAACTCTAAAATATCAATGGTAGAAAAGAACAAACAACCAGGTTTAGAAATTGGACAAAATGCTTGACTAAACACTTCATTGCAAAGGATGAGCAGAAGGCAAGGGAGCACATGAAGAGATGCCCAACATCATTAGCCATTAGTAAGATGTAAATCAAAGCCACCCAAAGACACCACTATCCCCCTACTAGAATGGTTGAAGTAAAGAATACTGACAAGACTAAGTGTTGGCTAGGATGTAAAGCAACTGGACTTCACATGCATTTGCTGGTGGGAATGCAAAATGGTATCCTCACTCTGTAACACAATTTGAGTCTCTTATAAAGTTAACCATGCACTTACCATATGACTCAGCCATCCCACTTCCTGCTTTGAATGATAAAAGAAAAGTTACATGGTTTTGGAAGTCATTTTTATAATTAATGTATTCGTCTCTGCTCTTTTGATGGAAGTAATTTAAATCTTAAAACTTACAATCACACAAAACTTGCCCAATAATGTTTATAGCAGCTCAGTTCATAATCACTAACTCTGTAAATGACCCAAATGTTCCTCACTGAGTGAGGTGATAGACTGTAGTGTGTCCATGTGAAGCAATACTGCACAGCAGTAAGAAGGAGCAGATTTTGATACACTTGACAACTCAGAGGCATCTCCAAGGCATTGTGCTCGGTGAAAGAAGACATTCCAAAAAGCCTGCATACTGTACGATCTCACTCACACATGACAGGCTTCAAAAGACTGCACTACGAGGAGGGTGAGGAGTGCAGGGGTTGGCCGGGGTCAGGGATGGGGAGGGAAGGTGTGGTGAGAACTGGAAGGGACGTTTGGGGGTGATGCATCCCTATGGTGGTGGCAGCCATGTGCGTGTGAGAATTCACAGACCTGCACACCATAAACAAGCCAGTCTCACTGTGTGTGGTCCCATCACTTCACGGAAAATAGATGTGGAAACAATGGAAACAGTGAGAGACTTTATTTTCTTGGGGTCCAAAATCACTATGGATGGTGACTACAGCCATGAAATTAAAAGACGCTTGCTCCTTGGAAGAAAAGTTATGACCAACCTAAGCAGCATATTAAAAAGCAGAGACATTATTTTGCTGACAAAGGTCCATCTAGTCAAAGCTACGGTTTTTCCAGTGGTCATGTATAGATGTGAGAGTTGGACTATAAAGAAAGCTGAGTGCTGAAGAATTGATGCTTTTGCACTGTGGTGTTGGAGAAGACTCTTGAGAGCCCCTTGGACTGCAAGGACATCAAACCAGTCCATCCTAAAAGAAATCTGTCCTGAATATTCATTGGAAGGCTTGATGCTGAAGCTGAAACTCCAATACTTTGACCACCTGATATGAAGAACTGACCACTTGGAAAATACCCTGATGCTGGGAAAGATTGAGGACAGGAGGAGAAGGGGACGACAGAGGATGAGATGTGTGGATGGCATCACTGACTCAATGGACACAAGTTTGAGTAAACTCCTGGAGTTCATGGTGGGCAGGGAGGCCTGGCATGCTGCAGTCCACGGGATCGCAAAGAGTCAGACGTGACTGAACTGAACTGAACTGAACCCGTCAGAGTAGCAGCTGAGGGAAGCAAGCCAGTTCTCCAGAGGGGTTTCTGTATCCGGTGTTTGTTTGCTGAGACCCTGGGCCTGGTCCTGACCCTGTTTACGCATCACTGGAAGGTTCTGTGGTGAGCACAGGAAGAAGCACTAAGAACTCGCCTGGTTGCTGGCAATGACACCCTCACGCAGAGGCGGGGAGGGGCCTGCAGTGTCTGAGTCACCTTTACATTTTAAAAAAAATTTTGGTAAACCATACTTAACATGAACCAGAGATCAAATTGCCAACATCCATTGGATCACTGAAAAAGCAAGAGAGTTCCAGAAAATATCTATTTCTGCTTTATTGACTATGCCAAAGCCTTTGACTGTGTGGATTACAATAAACTGTGGAAAATTCTGAAAGAGATGGGAATACCAGACCACCTGACCTGCCGCCTGAGAAATCTGTATGCAGGTCAGGAAGCAACAGTTAGAACTGGACATGGAACAACAGATTGGTTCCAAAAAGGAAAAGGAGTACGTCAAGTCTGTATATTGTCACCCTGCTTATTTAATTTATATGTAGAATACATCATGAGATACGCTGGGCTGGAGGAAGCATAGGCTGGAATCAAGATTGCCGGGAGCAATATCAATAACCTCAGATATGCAGATGACACCACCCTTATGGCAGAAAGTGAAGAGGAAGTAAAGAGCCTCTTGATGAAGGTGAAAGAGGAGAGTGAAAAAGTTGGCTTAAAGCTCAACATTCAGAAAACTAAGATCATGGCATCTGGTCCCATCACTTCATGGCAAATAGATGGGGAAACAGTGGAAACAGTGGCCGACTTTATTTTGGGGGCT